TTAGGGACCGCACCACTCTCACGCCGCTGAGTCGGCCGGTTGCGGTGTCCCTGGCTGACCCCTCTGGGGGGCCTGTCCTGTCTCGCTTCTCCACTGTCCTCCCGTGTCCGGCGGCCCCCTCTGGCACCCTGACTGGTCTTTACCTCCCCTCGTTCTCGACAAACTTGGTGAGTGGTGCTGACCTCCAGGATGCGGGTGTCCACCAGTTCACCCCTGCTCGTCAGCGGGTGACCCACTGCACGGAGGCGGATACAGGTCGCCACCTGGCTACGTTTACACGTCGGCCAGGGTCGAGCCTGTACACACTGACCACTGCTTCTCCTCCAGGGGCTGAGTCTGGTCAGGTGTTTGCTGCAGCGTCCAGGTCTGGTCCTGAGTCTGCCCCCTGCTCGTGCCGTCGTCTGTCTCACGAGACCCTCCTCTGGCACCACCGCCTTGGCCACCCCTCTCTGCTTCGGCTCAGAGGCATGGCCTCGCGAGTCCTTGTGTCTGGTCTTCCCCGGTCTCTCCCTCCCCTTCCTCCGGGCCCTGGCCCCACCTGTGTCCCCTGTGTCGAGGGGCGCCAGCGTGCTGCCCCTCACTCCTCCCAGTTTCCTCCGACAGAGGCCCCGTTGCAGACGCTTCACATGGACGTGTGGGGCCCAGCCCGCGTCCGTGGACAGGGTCAGGAGCGCTACTTCCTGCTGGTGGTTGACGACTACTCGCGTTACACCACAGTCTTCCCCTTGCGCAGCAAGGGTGAGGTCACTGAGGTGTTGATCGACTGGATCCGCGCAGCTCGTCTCCAGCTTCGGAGGAGCTTTGGCTCTGACTTCCCTGTTTTGCGTCTGCACTCGGACAGAGGCGGAGAGTTCTCCTCTGGCCTCCTGAGTGCCTACTGTCGTGCGCGAGGCATCCGTCAGACCTTCACGCTTCCGGACTCACCACAGCAGAATGGGATTGCTGAGCGCCGCATTGGCATGGTCATGGACGTCGCTCGTACGTCCATGATGCATGCGGCTGCTCCCCATTTTCTGTGGCCGTTTGCGGTCAGTTACGCTGCGCACCAGATCAACCTCCACCCCAGGGTCTCTCGACCGGAGACCTCCCCAGCCCTGCTGTGGACGGGGAAGGTTGGCGATGCGTCGGCGTTCTGGGTCTGGGGATCTCGGGCGTTTGTTCGCGACCTGTCTGCGGACAAGCTGTCCCCTCGTGCTTCTCCCTGCGTCTTCCTGGGGTTCCCCCCCGACGCCCCTGGGTGGCAGTTTTACCACCCCTCCTCTCGACGTGTTCTGTCCTCCCAGGACGTCACGTTCGACGAGTCGGTACCCTACTACCGCCTCTTCCCCTACCGCACTCCGTCCCTCCCCCCGCCCCCGCTCTTCTTGGTACCAGGTCCCCCCCCGGTAGTCCCCCTCCCCCCTCAGGGTCCTGCCCCTTCAGGTGTGTCCCAGGTAGACGCGGTCGAGCCTGTCGAGGTCACTGGTGACTCTGGTGCTGCTGCGGGAGCTGAGCCTGGGGGTGCGGAGTCTGGGGGTGCTGAGCCTGGAGGTGCCGAGTCTGGGGGTGCTGAGCCTGGGGGTGCTGAGCCTGGAGGTGCCGAGTCTGGGGGTGCTGTGCCTGGGGGTGCTGAGCCTGGAGGTGCTGAGCCTGGGGGTGCTGAGCCTGGGGGTGCTGAGCCTGGGGGTGCTGTGCCTGGGGGTGCTGTGTCTAGGGGTGCTGAGCCTGGAGGTGCTGTGCCTGGGGGTGCTTCGTCTCGCCTGGAGCCACTCTCCCCACAGGAGCTGCGTGAGTGGTTTGCCAGGCGCTGGAGGCGTGCTGCTGGTGCTGGTGGTTCTTCGGCTGCAGAGGGTACTGCTGCTGCGCGCCCCGCCGGTGCTCGTACTGTGGGTGCTGGAGCTGCTGAGTCTGAGAGTCCTCCTGGAGCTGGTCCTGCTGAGGGTGTTGGCGCTGAGCCTGCCGTTGGCGGTCCGACTGACAGTGCTCCTGGTGCTGCGGCTAGAGGTTCTGGAGCTTCTGGTGGTGCTGCTGGAGGTGCTGCTGGAGTGGGTGCACCTGCCGGGGCTGCTGGTGCTGTTCCTGCTGTTTCTAGCGTCGCCGCGCGGCCCCGACCGTACTTCGTTCCGCTCCTGCAGCAGGTTCTTGGTCTTACACCTCCTCCTCCTCCCTTAGAGGGTCCGCAGCCTGTCCGGTCACAGCCACAGCTACAGCCTGCCTCCCCTTTGCCTGCTCCTTCTCCCTACGCTGGTCCGACTGGAGGTCTTACTGAGCGTCGTGAGCCTGCGTCTCGTCCTGTGTCGCCTGTTCGTACTGAGCGCGCTAGTGGTCGCGGGTCGCGTCAGCGTCCTCCTCCTGTCCCTGGCACGCACCGGATGTCTCTGCGTCCGTCTACTGCTCCTCTGCGTGCCCCTTTGCCTTCTCCTCCTGCTTCCTCTCTTCCTGCTCTTGCCGACCCGGAGTCGGACTCTCTTCGTGCTGCCAGTCCTACTGTCACGCGTCTCCTGGCTACTGCTGTCATTGACCCCTCCTTCGAGTCGTCTGCTGCGTCTGCCCTTGTCACTGAGCTTGTCGACTTTGCTGCGCGCTGTCGTCTAGACTACGCTGCTCGTCTTGTCACTGAGTCTGAGTCCGCCTGTCCTCCGTCCGTCGGGGGTGAGTGTGCCCTTGGCACGGACGTCCTTGAGGACAGGCAGGAGGAGTTCCAGTGTCTGGCCGCCGCTTCACCTCGTCTCGCGTCTGTACTGCTAGCCCCTGAGGGAGACCCGGATGCACCAGACATCCCGACTCCGCGCTCTTACGCGGAGGCGATAGAGGGTCCCTACTCCTCTCAGTGGCAGGCAGCTATGGATGCAGAGATGGCTTCCTGGAAGTCCACAGGCACCTACGTTGACGCTGTTCCCCCTCCTGGGGCGAACATCGTCAGTGGCATGTGGATTTTCAGGGTGAAGCGGCCGCCGGGTTCTCCGCCTGTCTTCAAGGCGCGTTACGTGGCTCGTGGCTTCAGTCAGCGGCAGGGGGTTGACTACTTTCAGACCTTCTCCCCCACCCCGAAGATGACCACTCTTCGGGTTCTGCTGCACGTTGCTGCTCACCGTGACTACGAGCTCCACTCTCTCGACTTCAGCACAGCTTTCCTGCAGGGCAGCTTGCACGAGGAGATGTGGCTGCGTCGCCCACCTGGCTTCACTGGGTCTTTCCCTCCTGGTACCCAGTGGAGTCTCCGGCGTCCAGTCTACGGTCTCCGCCAGGCGCCACGTGAGTGGCACGACACACTGAGGACTACGCTCGCGGCACTTGGGTTTGCTCCTTCCACTGCCGACCCGTCGCTGTTTCTGCGCACCGACACCTCTCTGCCGCCGTTCTACATCCTCGTGTACGTCGACGACTTGGTCTTTGCCACAGCTGACACTGCTGGACTCGCCTACGTGAAGTCCGAGCTGCAGAAGAGACACACGTGCACTGACCTGGGTGAACTGCGCAGCTACCTTGGCTTGCAGATCACCCGGGACAGAGCACGCCGCACCATTACCCTGACTCAGTCACACATGGTGCAGCAGGTCCTTCAGCGCTTTGGCTTCACGTACTCCTCGCCTCAGGCCACTCCTCTGCCTACTCGCCACTCGCTCTCAGCTCTGCCTTCGGATGAGTCCGTAGAGTCGAGTGGCCCGTTTGCAGAGCTTGTTGGCTGCCTCATGTACCTGATGACCTGCACACGACCTGACCTCGCATACCCTCTTAGCATTCTCGCACGCTTTGTTGCTCCTGGGAGACACCGACCAGAGCACATGGCTGCAGCGAAGAGGGTGTTGCGCTACTTGTGCAGTACGTCGGGCATGGGGCTAGTGCTTGGAGGGCGCAGTCCAGTGGTCCTCACTGGGCACGCAGACGCTTCTTGGGCTGACGACCAGGCTACGCAGCGGTCGTCACAGGGTTACACCTTCAGCCTTGGTTCCGGCTCTGTCTCGTGGCGGGCTACCCGCTCGTCTTCAGTTCTCGGCTCCAGTTGTGAGGCTGAGATCTACGCTGGGGCTATGGCTGCACAGGAGTTACGCTGGCTCACCTACCTGCTGACCGACCTTGGAGAGCAGCCTCGTTCTCCTCCAGTCCTGTACGTAGACAACAAGGCCATGCTGGCCTTGTGTCGAGAGCAGCGACTGGAGCACAGAACGAAGCACATTGCTCTTCGCTACTTTCTTGCTCGTGAGCTACAGCAGCGTGGACAGCTGCGACTTGCGTACGTGGCCTCTGAGGCCAACACTGCTGATGTCTTCACCAAGGCACTTGCGCCTTGTGATCATCAGCGTTGCTGCACGCAGTTGGGTCTTGTGCCTGTCTTGCCTCACTTGCTCTCCTCTTGACCTTGCTTGTACCTTCGCATATATATACTCTTGCTCTTGTATATTTCTATATATGATCTTGCATGTGAACTGGCCTTGTGGCCTTTGAACTTGTGCTCGGAATGCGTGGTGACTTTGTGATCCACCCTGAGCTTGCTTTGCTTTGCTTTGCTTGACTGGTCTTGTGACCCCTTGTTCTCCCCCACTTTGCCTATGGGGGTGTGTCAGAACATATAGCTTACTTGTTTGTGTAGGCTATAGTGGGGTATCCCATAGGGGGTACAACACATTAGGGTTTCCTATTTGTATTCACTTCACTTCATAGTCATTCATCCTCGTTCTTTGTTTTCACACAGAGTGAATGTAAATGACTGAGTTTATAATAGCATGCATACATCGAGTTTATATAAGAGTACAAGGGAATAGGAAAGGACCTAGACTAGCCACGTACTCTAAGGGGTACATTCCCTTATTACAACTGAATTCAAAAACCGTGCGGCGCGGGAACCCGTTCAAAAACTGTTCCCGCTCTTTTCACTTTAAATGTTTCTGCCTGCATCGGTCTTGATCTGACGGTTGGTGCGTCGCTTCGGCTCTTCTGACTCCTCAACTTCGTACTCGGTAGAGTCGGCTCCTGGAGCATACAGGAATGCCTTCTCATAAAACTTCGCATCGTAACACAAGCTAATGCATGTTCGTGGCCCATGCTACCACCCCTAGCGCTCCTCCAACAATGATGGCAAGTGGAGCAGGAATCTGAAATCACAAATCCAAGCACAAACACATGGCAGGTAACAGGTGTGATGAAATCAACAAGGGATACAGGTAAATGGCAATTGCCATGGCATCATCTCGACATTACAAAAGGAGCTGCCACTCACAAAATTGGAGTCCTCCTGTTTGCATGTGCATTCTTTTACACATGATTCACTGTTACAATGGGCTAAGAAGAGTAACTGTAACGCGACAAATTTGGCCGCAGCATATCCAATCATGGCGATGCAGAGTGGTCTAGTGTGAGACGTCTCAGAACTAACTGTAACACATGAACACACCTTGAGGAAATTGGTAGAAGCGTATCCAATCATGGCAATGCAGAGCGATGCCATGGGGAAGGGACTGACTTTGTACACCTTGAGGCCCAGGGAAAACACTGATGCCCAAATGAGACCGATCTGAGAAGTGTTGGGAGGAGGGTGTGTGGCGAAGTGGAAGGGGAAGGAAAAGGTGGGAAAAGGGAAGGAAGGGGTGGGAGGAGGGATGGGACAGGTCGGCTAGGAATATGAGCTGACTTTATGCGTCTCAAGACGGAGCTTGAGGCGTGCTGATGCATGCTATCAATGGTGCATGCCAGCAGGCACTGCAGGGCATGAGGCACTGCAGGGCATGAGATGATGCACATGACAAGGTAACCCATAAGGTGACAAAGGATCGGGTCATGCTTGAACCTCCAAGAACACACAGACGCTCCGATGAGCTGATTGCAACGTGGTTACTGGACTTGATGAGATACTACTAACAGGTTTCGAGACATCTCGAACTTGGAGATTTCTCAACACTTGATTGCAAGTTTAGGGTCTAGGGTCTTGTAAGGTTTCTTTCAGGTGGAAGCAGAACCATGCAAGACAAACAGGAAAAACAATGCATACAGTACAAATAAGAATACTTACTGCAGTTGAGTTGAAGCCCGGTGTAGCACGCTTGTACCTGCGGTGGTCGAAAGGAAAATCGGTTACAAAGACAGTAGAGAAGCATTGCAGGTCAACTGCTTCATATAAAATGGACTAGCAGGCACGACACACACACACACACACACACACACACACACACACACACACACACACACACACAGACTCCTCCTACAGCTTCCACTGGCGGAATTTTCCCCAGAAGGGCAGCACGCCATAGATGACGAGGATGGGAGACCTCGATAATGGAAAGCATCAAAGCTGGAAAGAATTAACAATGGGAAACATCCATTGCCTCTTCTTACAGCTTCCACTGGCGGAACTTGCCCCAGAAGGGCAGCACGCCATAGATGATGAGTATGCCGGGCGAGAAGAGGCCGAACCAACACGCTATCACCCCGCCCATCCCCCCCACCTGTGTGGTGCGTGTGCATAGAGGTGGTGATTTTGTGCATAGAGAAAAGAGGGGAAAGGTTAACATCAGAAGGGCACGACCCAGTAAATGATGAGGATGCTGGGAGAGAAGAGGCCGAACCAGCACGCTATCACACCACCCATCCCCCCCACCTGTGCGGTGCGAGTGCAGCAGCATGGGTAGGGGCATGGGCAGGGGTATGAGCAAGGGAATGGGGATGGGTATGGGGATGGACATGTGCATGGGTATGATGGCACGGATATGGGCACCAGCATGGTTATGGGCATGGGCATGGGGCAATAGACTCACAATGGCACTGATGTAGGCGGAAAAGTTGAACAGCGGACCAGGCAGCGTCTGTGTCCGAGTGTTGAGCAACGCAGAGTGGCCACACAGCACGCACACCCACACGGCCTACATTCACACTCCCAATGCCTCAGCCATGCAATAGATGGACTCACAATGGCACCAATGTAGGCTGAGAAGTTGAACAGCGGACCAGGCAGGGCCTGTGCAAGAGCGAGTCCGGCAAGAAACTGCTGGGAAGTTACCCATGATGTGTTGGCCTCCACTTCATAGCACTGCGGTGTGTAAAACGCGCATCACATGCACATCACATGCACATCCATGTCACATCGTACCAGATGCAGGCATGCATTTCGGAGACAAATGAAAAAGATGTGCAGCAGCAAGACAGATGGCAGGCACGTTGATAACTGACCAGTCACACTAAATAGTCTCATAATCAATCACCAGGCTTCTGCTGGTTCAATCATAATCAATCACCAGGCTTCTGCTGGTTCAATCATAATCAATCACCAGGCTTCTGCTGGTTCAATCATAATCAATCACCAGGCTTCTGCTGGTTCAATCATAATCAATCACCAGGCTTCTGCTGGTTCAATCATAATCAATCACCAGGCTTCTGCTGGTTCAATCATAATCAATCACCAGGCTTCTGCTGGTTCAATCATAATCAATCACCAGGCTTCTGCTGGTTCAATCATAATCAATCACCAGGCTTCTGCTGGTTCAATCATAATCAATCACCAGGCTTCTGCTGGTTCAATCATAATCAATCACCAGGCTTCTGCTGGTTCAATCATAATCAATCACCAGGCTTCTGCTGGTTCAATCATAATCAATCACCAGGCTTCTGCTGGTTCAATCATAATCAATCACCAGGCTTCTGCTGGTTCAATCATAATCAATCACCAGGCTTCTGCTGGTTCAATCATAATCAATCACCAGGCTTCTGCTGGTTCAATCATAATCAATCACCAGGCTTTGAACCCTCCCACACTTACCCACTAGACAGTCACCTCGAATCCCCTCTCTCACCTTGCCCCCATTGGGAGGGCACACAGTCAATCACAACGTCTCCAGCAGCGGCAGCAGAACCACCTGCCCTGGTGTTCCCCCCCTTATGCCTCCCCAATCCCCCTCCACCGCACTCAACCCCTCACCTTTCCTCCATTGGGGGGGCACCCTGTCCCATAGTCAAACACAACTTTCTCCAGCAGCGGAAGCACCACCTGCCGTGCTTCCCTCCCACTTATCCCTCTCCAATCGTCCCCCACCGCACTTAACCCCTCTCCCTCTCACCTTTCCTCCATTGGGAGGGCACACGGTCTCATAGTCAATGACAACGCTCTCCAGCAGCGGCAGCACCACCTGGCCTCCTCCATAAGTCACTGACCCAGTCAAGTAGAAACCCTGTGGTGAGAGGCAAGGGAGCGGCGAGAGAAGAAAGGATGGAAGAGCACACGGTCTCATAGTCAATGACAACGTTCTCCAGCAGCGGCAGCACCACCTACCCTCCTCCGTGCGTCACTGATCCGGTGAGATAGAAGCCCTGCAGGAATGGGACAAGGAGGAATCTGGTGTGGCAGGAGGGTGAACACAAGAATGGCAATCTAGACGCCCTTCGTTACAAGCACACTACATACAAACAAGCACACCCATCATCACACACGCACCTCAAACCAGTGGATCCACTTGGCGCTCTTGTAGCTGGCTGGTGGCATTCTTGTAGACGATGGATCCGACCAGGATGGCGACCCACGCTGCAAGCATTCTACACACAAACGAACACACCACGTGCAAGAAGGAACACACTCCCATTGTCGTCACACTCGCACCCTCTCACCTCGAACCAGTGGATCCACTTTGCAGACTCGTATAGCTGGTGGCGGTCTTGTAGACGATCGATACCACCAGGATGGCGATCCACGCAAACAGCAGCATGCCGCCCATCAGAGGGGACACCCAGCCCAGCCCAGCCCAGCCCAGCCTCTGAATGCCCCCATCACCACACTCGCTCTCACTCTCACCTCGAACCAGTGGATCCACTTTGCGCTCTCATAGCTCGTGGCATTCTTGTAGACAATGGAACCGACCAGGATGGCGATCCACGCAAACAGCAGCATGCCGCCCACCAGAGGGGACACGCCGAGCCTCTGAATGTCGCTGCGCTGCGGCGGAATGGGCTTGTTGCGCTCCGTGAAATACGTGACCACGCCGCCTGGGAGAAGGAGAAGAGTATGAACGGAGAAGGGCAGAAGGAAGAAAGGGTGATGAGGGGAGGTGGGGGAAGAAGAAAGGGGTGAGAGCGGTGCAAGATCAGGAGAACAAGGGGAGGGGACCAACTGGGTGCGAGAGGGAGGGGTGGGGAGGGGGAGGGAGGGAAACAGCAGCATGCCGCCCACCAGGGGCAACACCCCCAGCCTCTGAATGTCGCTGCGCTGCGGCGGAATGGGCTCGTTGCGATCCGTGAAATACATGACCACGCACCTAGGAGAAGGAAAGGGGGGGGAACGGGGGGGGTAGAGAATGTGCTAATGTGTGATATAGGTGACCGCACCGCCTGGGAGAAGGAAAGGGGGGGGGGGGGGGGGCGAGGAGGGGGGGTAGAGAATGTGCTTTTGCTCTGTGAAAAAGGTGACCGCACCACGTGGGAAGGAGAAGAGGATGAAGACAAGGGGACAGAATGGGTTGTGAGGATGGACAGGTGATGACAGCTATATTGAAATCACTTTTGAGAATTCTCAAAAGGCCACACACAGCTTCTTCCCCTGCACCACTGCTGCCTTCACCCACCCACCACCACCAGTGATGTCCGTCCCTCCACCAAAACACACCTTCACCCACCCACCACCACCAGTGATGTCCCTCCCTGTGTGTTTTGAGTCGACTCAAAACACACCTTCACCCACCCACCACCACCAGTGATGTCCCTCCCTGTGTGTTTTGAGTCGACTCAAAACACACCTTCACCCACCCACCACCACCAGTGATGTCCCTCCCTGTGTGTTTTGAGTCGACTCAAAACACACCTTCACCCACCCACCACCACCAGTGATGTCCCTCCCTGTGTGTTTTGAGTCGACTCAAAACACACCTTCACCCACCCACCACCACCAGTGATGTCCGTCCCTGTGTGTTTTGAGTCGACTCAAAACACACCTTCACCCACCCACCACCACCAGTGATGTCCGTCCCTGTGTGTTTTGAGTCGACTCAAAACACACCTTCACCCACCCACCACCACCAGTGATGTCCCTCCCTGTGTGTTTTGAGTCGACTCAAAACACACCTTCACCCACCCACCACCACCAGTGATGTCCCTCCCTGTGTGTTTTGAGTCGACTCAAAACACACCTTCACCCACCCACCACCACCAGTGATGTCCGTCCCTGTGTGTTTTGAGTCGACTCAAAACACACCTTCACCCACCCACCACCACCAGTGATGTCCGTCCCTGTGTGTTTTGAGTCGACTCAAAACACACCTTCACCCACCCACCACCACCAGTGATGTCCGTCCCTGTGTGTTTTGAGTCGACTCAAAACACACCTTCACCCACCCACCACCACCAGTGATGTCCGTCCCTGTGTGTTTTGAGTCGACTCAAAACACACCTTCACCCACCCACCACCACCAGTGATGTCCGTCCCTGTGTGTTTTGAGTCGACTCAAAACACACCTTCACCCACCCACCACCACCAGTGATGTCCGTCCCTGTGTGTTTTGAGTCGACTCAAAACACACCTTCACCCACCCACCACCACCAGTGATGTCCGTCCCTGTGTGTTTTGAGTCGACTCAAAACACACCTTCACCCACCCACCACCACCAGTGATGTCCGTCCCTGTGTGTTTTGAGTCGACTCAAAACACACCTTCACCCACCCACCACCACCAGTGATGTCCGTCCCTGTGTGTTTTGAGTCGACTCAAAACACACCTTCACCCACCCACCACCACCAGTGATGTCCGTCCCTGTGTGTTTTGAGTCGACTCAAAACACACCTTCACCCACCCACCACCACCAGTGATGTCCGTCCCTGTGTGTTTTGAGTCGACTCAAAACACACCTTCACCCACCCACCACCACCAGTGATGTCCGTCCCTGTGTGTTTTGAGTCGACTCAAAACACACCTTCACCCACCCACCACCACCAGTGATGTCCGTCCCTGTGTGTTTTGAGTCGACTCAAAACACACCTTCACCCACCCACCACCACCAGTGATGTCCGTCCCTGTGTGTTTTGAGTCGACTCAAAACACACCTTCACCCACCCACCACCACCAGTGATGTCCGTCCCTCCCCAGCATCATCACTCACCAAGCAGGATGACGATGGGGAAGATCCACTGCGTGGCATAGTAGAATGCTATGATCCGCACAGCCGAGGCCACACAGAGCACGCGAGTCACTTTGTTGCGACACATCTTTTTGCCCAACAACACTGCTGCCTCCGCTACTAGTACCATTGCCACCACCCCCCCTAAGTCCCCCCCCCAGCAACACTTACCAAGCAGGATGACGGTGGGGAAGATCCACTGCGTGGCGTAGTAAAAGGTAATCACGGCAGAGGCCACACAGAGCACGCGAGTCACTTTGTTGCGACACATCTTCTTCCCCAAAATCACTGCTGCCTCCGCCACCAATGCCACTGCCACCGCCGCCAGGCCTGCTGAGAGCGCAGACAGCCACGGCGCTGGGTCGACAAGAAACTGGGAGAACAGAAAAGTTTGGGGTGAATACAGGTACAGAGGGGTGCAGTTAGGTGCGGAGGGGCACTGGTGGAGAGAGCCCACATCTTCTTGCCCAGCACCACCGCTGCCTCTGCCACCAACGCCACTGCCACTGCCACTGCCTCCGCCACCAACGCCACTGCCACTGCCACTGCCTCTGCCACTGGCACTGCCTCTGCCACTGCCACTGCCTCCGCCACCAACGCCACTGCCACTGCCACTGCTGTGGCAGTGCAAGTCCTGTTGAGAGAGCAGAGAGCAGAGCAAAGCCAGCAATGGCCATGATGAGCGCCCCTGGGAACTGGAAGAGCGCGCCTGAGAGCAAGCAGCAGCAGCAGCCCCGCAGGGTTTGAGAGGCACCTCACTCAAGCGCTCCTGGAAACTGGAACAATGCTCCCGAGAGTGAGAAACTGGAACAATGCTCCCGAGAGTGAGAAACTGGAACAATGCTCCCGAGAGTGAGAAACTGGAACAATGCTCCCGAGAGTGAGAAACTGGAACAATGCTCCCGAGAGTGAGAAACTGGAACAATGCTCCCGAGAGTGAGAAACTGGAACAATGCTCCCGAGAGCAGCCCGCCGGTGATGCCCTTGTGGAGAAAGAAGCCCTTGTGGAGAAAGAAGTGTGAACGTTTATGCGCTTCTGCACCTAGAGACTCAAGTGCATGCACTGCCATTCTGCCGCATCTCTCACCTTCGCGCCCGCCTGAGATCAGCCCGCCCGTTATGCCCTTCTGAAGAACGAAGGGTGAGCGCTTATGCGCTCTGCACCTACAAACTAGAGTGCAGGCATGCACTGCCACTCCGCCGTATGTCTCACCTTGGCGATGCCAAAGCCAGCGATGGCCATGATGAGAGCTCCTGGGAACTGGAACAATGCTCCCGAGAGCAGCCCACCAGTGATGCCCTTCTGGAGAATGCCGATGGAGAATGACATCTGCGTGCTGGATGGCCCCGGCACTGCCTGGGTGAGCGCTAATAGCTCTGCAAACACGTCTTCTGACATCCAGCTGAGTGTAGGGAGGGAGGACACAGGGAGAGCAGAGAAGAAAGAAACAGGGCGAGGGAGTGGAGACGGGGAAGCAAGTGGTGCTTGCAGTGGTTGGACTGGTTGGGAGAGAGCAGCAGCCCGCCAGTGATGCCCTTCTGAAGGATGCCGATGGAGAATGACATCTGCGTGCTGCTGGATGGGCCCAGCACTGCCTGGGTGGGCGCTAGCAGCTCTGCAAATACATCCTCAGACATCCAGCTGGAGGGGAGGGGAGGGGAACATAGGGAGAGGGGAGAAGAAACGGGGCGAGGGGGGAAGGAGACGGGGAAGCAAGCGGTGTTTGGATTGGTTGCAGTGGTTGGGTTGGGTGGGCGAGCAGCAACCCATCCGCCGGTGATGCCCTTGTGCAGGATGCCCATGGAGAATGACATCTGCGACAAGGGACGTCATGTCATCTGTATTCATCCTATCCCACCCTTCTCTCTCTAACTCCGAACCACCATTCCATCTACTCACCCTCTCAGCTCCACGAACTGTTTGTGGCACATGGCGATGTGGGCAGAAGGGCAAAGGGGCCTTCACACCACCCTCTATCAATCCAACCCATTTTACCCCAAACCAAACCAAACCAGCAAGTTTTTGAGGCGCCTCAAAAACGACTATCAATCCAACCCATTTTACCCCAAACCAAACCAAACCAGCAAGTTTTTGAGGCGCCTCAAAAAAGACTATCAATCCAACCCATTTTACCCCAAACCAAACCAAACCAAACCAGCAAGTTTTTGAGGCGCCTCAAAAACGACTATCAGTCCAACCCATTTTACCCCAAACCAAACCAAACCAGCAAGTTTTTGAGGCGCCTCAAAAACGACTATCAATCCAACCCATTTTACCCCAAACCAAACCAAACCAGCAAGTTTTTGAGGCGCCTCAAAAACGACTATCAATCCAACCCATTTTACCCCAAACCAAACCAAACCAGCAAGTTTTTGAGGCGCCTCAAAATCAAAAACGACTATCAATCCAACCCATTTTACCCCAAACCAAACCAAACCAGCAAGTTTTTGAGGCGCCTCAAAATCAAAAACGACCATCAATCCAATCCAACCCATTTTACCCCAAACCAAACCAGCAATCTAGACAACAAGCCCCCACCACTCGCTCACCCGCGCAGCTCCACGTACTGCTGTTCTTGTGGTACATGGCGATGTGAGCGGACGGGCAAAGCAACCCCTATCAAATTGATCCATTTTACCACAAACAGACAGCAAACTCCCCTCCCCCTACTCACCCGCGCAGCTCCACGAATTGCTTGTGGTACATGGCGATGTGGGCGGATGGGCCGCCGAACGCCGTCCACCCGAGCAGGAAGAACGCCTGGAAGACCGCCCAGTAGCTGCCACGCGGCACCTGGCCATTGGGAGGTCGATGAGACGATCCATGCAAGTAAAAGCAAGCGATAGGAGGCACCGGAACAGTAGACAAACCAGTTGTTCAACAACACGGGGGCAGATAGGGCGAGGAGAAAAGAAGAGAGTGGGGGAGTCTGTTTTTTAAGAATTCTAAAAAAACAGACGAAGAGAAAAGAAGAGAGTGGGGAGGGAGAGTGGCGAGGAGGAAGGAGAAACGAAGGATACTCTTTGGGAAACCAGAACTTAACCTGCTTCTGAGAATTCCCAAAACAAACTTCAGTTTAGGTGGTAAAATAGTGGAAGAGGAGGGCAGGGGGGAGAAGATAGTACAGCTGAGGGGAGCTGGAGAAGAGGGCGGGAGTGGGGGGGGCGGGGGAGGGAAGGAGGTGGGGAGTGGAGAAAGAACGAAGCGGATAATTGAGGAGGAGAGGCTTACCTGAGGAGAGGCTTACCAGGGGAGAGGTTTACCAGGGGAGGCCCGGAGGGTCTTACCAGGGGAGGGTCTTCACTTCAACGACAACTTGAGGCACAGCAGGCACGCCCGCTGCTGCAGCTGCTGGCACAAGCGCCCTGCAGGGCTTCTAGAAGTAGCGGACAAAGACAGAGAAGCGGCTTACCAAAGGTGGGTCTTCAACGACGACTTGAGGCACAGCAGGCACGCCTGCTGCTGCAGCTGGCACAAGCGCCGTGCTCGAACCCTCGTCGTCCCCATCCCCTCCCTCCCGTTTCTCCCCCTCGCCATCCGGGGCAGTGGCAGCACCAGCATCGCCAGCACCGGCAGCAGCGCCAGCATCAACAGTGGCGGCAGCAGTAGCGCCAGCAGCAGCGCCGGCAGCAGCGCCAGCAGCAGCAGCAGTGCCAGCAGCTGTGCCAGCAGCAGTGCCAGCAGCAGTGCCAGCAGCAGCAGTGGCTGAGGCAGCAGGGTCTTCGGGCGTGGTCTTGGCCTGCAAGGCAAAAGAATCAAAGGAGAACGAAAGAGAGGATATGGAAAGTGTGGAGCGAATCAAAACGACCAAGGATCATGGTGCAAAAGAAAAGGTTCCACGAGCTTCGATATGCGTCATCTCAGGTTTCAACGTGAAAGTGCGCGTAGCATTCTTGCAGCGCGGCAGTCCGACGCCCCTCCACTCCAATCCAACAGTGCGCGCTGTGCGCGGCACGACGCGTCAAGGACAAAAAACCAAAAAACAAAAAAAAAAAACAAAAAACAAAAAAGCAAGCCTCGAAGCAATCGCATCCTTGCGCTCACCCCACCTTTCCGTGGAGGTAAGGGAAAAACAGCCCTCCTGGTTAGCACCCGATGCCAGGGACATCTCAGAACTCGAAACATCTGCGCAGCAGCCCTCACCTTGCCGACTCGGAGCAGCGCAGGGAACAGTCGCTCCGCCTTCCGCCACCACGCAGCGAGCAGCCCAGGCTTCGCAGCAGCATTGTTACCATCACCGTCACTCTCATGCTCCTCCTTCGCAGCAACATCAGCAGCGGAGCCAGAATCTGCTTTCGCAGCGGCAATCCCATTCGTGCCGTTGCCATTAAGCATTTCCGGCCTTGCGTCCCCGTTCGCCCGTTCCTTCGCTCCCTGCTCGTCCTTCTCCCCTTCCGCAGCAGCACCCGTCGTCTTCCCATCCTTCTCTTCCCGGTCGTTGTCGCCTTCCTCGCTGCTATGATCCGAGATGTCATGCAGACTAGGCACGCTCGCTGCCGCCTTCTCCTGCGCCGCCTTCTCCGGAGCTGACGTGGCTCCCGCGGCTGACGTGGCGGGCGTGGCTGACGTGGACGACGCGACACCTGGCGCGGGTTGGCCGGCGGCACCACGCGTTGAATCCGTTGAACTTGCTGCACCGAGGGGTTCACCCTGTGGCTTCACGCAGCACACGTAACGGAAGCGGCAAAAACAAAAAAGCTCAGGGAACTTCAAAGAGCTCGTCAATATCCAGGGGAAACCAGCTCGGAGCCATTCACAAAAAGCAGGAGCTGGGCTATTGTGAATGCTTTTGAGTCGACTCAAAAACAAGAAGCTCAGGGAATTTCAAAGAGCTCGTCAATATCCAGGGGAAACCAGCTCGGAGCCATTCACAAAAAGCAGGAGCTGGGCTACTGTGAATGCTTTTGAGTCGACTCAAAAACAAAAAGCTCAGGGAATTTCAAAGAGCTCGTCAATATCCAGGGGAAACCAGCTCGGAGCCATTCACAAAAAGCAGGAGCTGGGCTACTGTGAATGCTTTTGAGTCGACTCAAAAACAAAAAGCTCAGGGAACTTCAAAGAGCTCGTCTATATCAAGGGGAAACCAGCTCGGAGCCATTTAAAAAAAGCAGGAGCTCGGCTATTGTGGGATCAGACAGCAGTGAACTAGCGCGCCTTGACTGCGGCTTTCCCGAATCGCGTAGACATCTGCGCGTACACTCCTTCACATAGTACAATTAAAGGCTCTCGGACAATGCAACACTACCAAGGCCATACTGCCTCGAGGGGATCTCGGACGACAATTCTATGATATAAGAGACGACGAGCCGCCGACAGTACCAAATAAGAGATGAAGAGCCGCGGACGGTACTATATGAGGCTCTCGCTTCAAAACCAAGCGGCTCGTCGTCTATTATATGGGCGGAGCATTCTCTACTACTCATGCTCAGACCAAGGCTTCTCAAGCATGATGTTCTCACCTCAGAAGCCGGCAATCCGGCCATGATAATGAGTGGCTCCGCTAGATGGCCGCCGTCTAAAGCGGAGATATTATGAAAAATGGAGCCTTTACTCCTGGGCGGGGCGGGTATGGGTCAGAACTTATGTATCCTCAAACACAGGAGTATTTATTTGAGTTCACAAGCGGATATCGCGCAGATACGGTAGCGACTAGCTGCTTCCTCAGCTAAGGCTATGCTGTAGGTATCTCTCGGCAGAGCAGCGAGAAGAGAAGAGAACCCGCTCCGAATAGGTGCGTGACTATTTAGGACTACAATGTTTTCCCGTGTGCCTCCCACGGGCTCGTTGGATGGAACGTCGCGGTCTCAGACAAATATTTGTCGAATATTCATTGCACATGCACTGAACCAAGACGACACTAGCGACACAACCGACGAGGCGCAAGCACCCGCGCCACGTCGCCCGTTGTTGTCCCACGCGCAAATGCTGCTGCTTCAGCCGCAACTGTGCTTGCTGCAGAATGAGCAAGAGGCTGGAGGCGAAAGAATTATATGATTCAGCTGCCATCATGCTTGCTCTGCGGAGGAAATGAAAGAATGAGCTTGTGCAACAGTGGGGAGAGGAGACATGGTGCTTGGTGTGGTAACCCTGTCTGGGAAGAGCTAGCCCTGGCTAGTGCTGCTGTGCAAAAAATATCGGGAAACGGCTAAAACCCTTACAGAACGTTCTGTGACGTAACAACTCTATCTGAACCGTACTAAACGGTCTGACACACCGTGACAGCGGGGATTTGGAAGGCAGGGGGGTTTCTGCTGGTGCTTCTTGAATTTGATCCAGCGAATGGATCGAGCGAACAAGAGACACGATGACAGGACGAGGCAGGACAGGTCACATCACAGTTAACGAGTCGCACACGAGAATGAGTAACAAGATGCGATGAATCGAGACAGCGGAAATGACAAGGGCGATTCGGTACATCAGCGCTATGTTGAATCTCGTTTTAGCACTAGATGGTATGGTGAACTCAATAATTCGAATCTGCTGTGCTCGGCACACACTAATTGACTTAGGCACATCAATACTGACTTGCATTTACATAATGTACACCATACATACAGTACACGGTTCTGCATTACGTATAGTGACCGGACAGCCATAACCAGTTGGAGGTGTAAACAAAGCAAATCATGTCAAATTGCAGCAGACTTCTCCACACACTTCCGGGTGTCAGTTTGGTAGCCGTAGGCCAAGAGGAGCAGCACTGGGTGAGCGATGATGCGCATTCGACAGGAACCGTCGGATAGACCAAAGACATGCCACCGGCTTCCTCCACAAACGAATATGCCTTTCCTCCCGCTCCTGCTGCTGCTGCTCGTTCTGTCGTGACCGGTGATGCAATTGCTGCTGCTGCTGCCGGCAGTGAAATGAAGAAAAGAAAGTCAGAAAACCAGACCGCGTTCTCATGGGATCCAGATCTTCACTCCTCTCCACCGCACTCCTGCCCCTTCCCCTGCCCCACTCCCTGCCCACCCCCTGAATCTCAATCCGCACGCAGCTCTTGGGCAGCTGCGGAAAGCATCCGGGAAGCTGCCGCCGGAAAAACCTGCCCGGAGAAGCCGAGGGAGAAGGGGAAGGAGTGCGAAGGCTGGGAAGGCCGATGAGGGAGAGAGAGGTTAGGGAAGTGAGGTGATCTAATCTGGGTGGGAGAGAGGTGAGTTTGCAGCACCAGGCGATTTTGAGTGAAGCGAGGGTTGAGAGGAGGGAGAGGGATGCGGGCAGTGAGACAAGCGACCTGCAGCTGCGAATTTCGAGGTATGATAGCTCGGGCAGCTGCCCGAGGTTTTCGGGCAGTGAGTTGAGGACCGGGCAGGAGAGGAGGTAGAGGGAGTGGAGGGAGAGGAGGGAGTGAAGGTCGGAGGGGAGAGAGGAGAGCGACTTGCAATTTGCAATGTGGAGGTGGTTTAAGGATATGCACTGGGAGAGAGATGGAACAGTGGTGATTCTTGGGCACCCCTGAATCTCAAAGGACTGAAGATGTGACAACTGCCCGACGGACTCGGGCAGCTCGCCGAATTTGCAGAGACACGCAAGCCTTAGGAGCTTGAGAGCTGTCAGCTGCCCGAAATCTCTGGGCAGGGATGTCAAATTTCCGCATGATGACAGGTCCAAGGAATGGAGGGAGGAGAGGTTGGGGAATGAGTCGGGTAGCTGGGATAACGCCGAGCAGTTTCGAATCTCCAGGTGTTGGAGTGAAGTGAGCTGCCCGAAATCTTCGGGCAGGGATGTGAGAGAATTACACTGGTGTATGTAGAGGGTTTGGAGGGAGGGAGACAGGAGGGGCAGAGAGGGTGGTAGATGCTGGAGGCTCCAACAGGAGGCGAGGGTAATGTGTTGAAGCGAGGGTAAATAACCCAACCAGGGAGGGAGTGAGGTGCGTGTACTGCTGAGCTTGAGGTATTTCAGTAGAGTTAAGGGCTTGCTGATAGGGTCGTCTGTGTTGTAATCTGCATCGCTGCTGCTGCTGCTGCCACCACCACCACTGCTGCTACTGCCGCTGATGCTTCTGCTGCTGTTGCCACTGCTGCTCCCACTCCCATTGCCTCTGCCGCTGCTGCTGCTGCCACCATCACCACTGCTGCTGCTGCCGCTGTCACTGCCGCTCCCACTCCCACTACCTCTGGTGCTGTCGCTGCTGCTAATTTCACCACTACCACTTCCACTGCCGCCACTTCCACCGCTACTGCCGCTGCCGATGCCACTGCTACTAACACTGCTGCTGCTGCTGCTGCTGCTGCTGCCACTAACATCCCCACGGCTGGTGGTGGTTCTTCCACCCTGGCCGCCCCTCCTAGCAGCCTCTGGGTTCTGCGGCAGCCCAGCAAACATATGTCCGTGATCAAACTCCACATCCAGTGACTCGATACAAGACAGGCGCAACAACGAGGACGGCAGCGACGCGATCCTGTCACACCCCGATACAGTCACCTCCCGTAGAGTCACCATTTGCTGGAAGCAGTCCGGGAGAGGCGCGAGGCGGGGGCATTCGGAGACTCTGAGTCGCTGTAACGAGCGGAGCCCGCTGATAGACTCGGGCAGCAGCTGCAGCAGCTGCTTGCATGTGAATAAAACGAGGGACGTCAGTCTGCCCAGGTTTCCCAGGCTGGTGGGTAGAGATTCGAGCCCACAGGACTGTATCAAGAGGTGCTTTAATGAGGTAAGTTCGCCTAGGCTCTCCGGAAGGGAGACTAACTCCGAAGCGCCACGTATGATAAAGCTCTCGAGAACAGGTAGGTTGGAGAACAGCGCGTCGGGAAGGCTGCGAAAGTCGCGTTCCGCGTTGATCTCTAAAATGCTGAGCTGGCGCAGGGTGCTGAGCGCTTCGGGGAGGCTAGAGACGTTGCTGACGAGGAGCTGACGTAAGCAGGTTAAGCGGGGAAGCGTGGGGGAGAGGTAACTGAGGTGATCAGGGCCTGACACGTGGAGGACATCTAAGGCGGGTGGAGAATTGCTGTAATGCGGAAGCATGGAGGGCGGAAGGATAGTGGAACGCGGAAGAAGCGCATCAGAACTTCCGCACGAACGACTCCCCTCCGCATAACTGGCGCGCGGAGTGGAATATGCTACTGCAGCGGCATCCGTAACGGCGGAAGCGGCGGTATCGGCGCAGGTGCGCGAGGCGGAATTGATCAGGCGGAGATGGGTGAGCGCGCGGCAGCGAGAGAGCGCATACAATAGGTCTGCGGAAATTATTGGCAGCGCGGGGGTCTCCGCAGAGGACAGCTCGGCGCTCTGCTCTTCCGCCATGCGGAGTGAAGGCTGTTCCGCCACGCGCAGGGACCGGATCTGCGGGCAAGCAGCGGCTAATCCGCGGAACAGTGAGTCGGCGGAGTCAACGCAGTCGATGCAGTCAACGGAGTCAACGCAGTCATCGGAGTCAACGGCGTCGATGCAGTCAACGGAGTCAACGACGGCGCCCCGCGGAAGGTCCAGAAACGTGAGGTACGGCAGGCGGGAAACCGCGCGGAGGATCTGCGCGGAAGACAAGGCGCGCGGAGCGGAGAAAGCGGGAGAGAGCTTGCGCCAACGCTTGCAGACCAGCGCCGGAGGAGAAGGAGAATATGCGGCGGGATGGGAAGGAGATGCGGTAGTGGGGGGATAGCGGGCGGAGGACGAGGCGAAGTCAGGGGGGTGATACGCGGAAGAGACTGCATGGGGAGTGGAGTGCACGGGGCGCAAGGTTAGCGGAAGGCGTAAGGGGGAGCGGAGGGGGGAGGGGCATGGTGGCCGGAGACAGAGGAGGAGAATACGCGCGAGAAGCTCGTCGGGTAGTGTGTGGATCGGCGGTAGGCGGTCGACGTCTGGCGAATCCGGAACCGCGGACTCCAGTAACGGATCTACGCTGAACGACTCCTTGCTTGGCGAATCCATGCTCAATGTTACAGAAAAAGAGCTAAGGGGTGGACGTTACGGCTACTGAGACGGTTCCTGGAGGAGATTATTGTTGAGTCGACGCAAAAATTGCTCGTCGAGATTTGTCAGAACTTAGAAGTCGACCTAAATGTCACGCGAGAGAGAGAATACGGGATTCTTCTACGACGAGAGTTTCCGCAAGACTCGAGACGAAGTGCTTTTGAGGCGCGGCGTCAAGATGCACAGGCCGCGTCACGGGTAACGATGGGTGAGTGGTGACAGTATCCTCTCGGTGACTCCAATTGACGCGCGCGGGACACAAAGAGCACAGGTCGTGTCACGGGTAAAGGCTGGTGACTGTGTCCTCTCGGTAAGAACTAGGCTGAATTTTGAGTCGAATCAGATGTCTAGACGCACGGGTCGTCTCACGGGTGACAGATTCCTGTCGGTAGAAACGAAGCTTTTGAAAAAGTCAATTTCAAGGAGAACAGGGGGCAGATTATGCTCCGTCCAAGGCGACGCGCACGACGACTCGCTGATTGCTGCGCGCTGCTTGCTTGCCCGCTTTCACAGCAAGAAAACACTTCTGCTAGTAGCAATAGCTGCATGCGCCGCGCCGTGCCCCACTACGGCGTCGTCCCAAGCTCAGTCAAGCTCAGAAGGACGCGCCCGGCGACGATGCGCTGGCCTAGGCCATGAATTCGTGTTCCTGAATTGCGGTGACAAGTCATCCCAGCCGGATGATCCCAAGCCAGCAAGGGAGGATATGTATCCGCCTTGCTGTGCGGCTGGTCTTGAGTTTCCGCTGAAACAAGCAAACTGCTGCTGTTGGAATGGAGTTCTCGGAATTCTTCCCCACAACTTTGAGTTCCCTGAGTTCTGAGTTTTCCCAGAGTTCTCCAGTTCCTGGCTGGCAGTGATCTCCAGGCAGACAATCGTTCACTTGTGATTTTTCATCAGGCCCTATTCCACCGCGAGGACCTGACATCCGCGCTTCCGTTTCCTAGTCTCGAGTCTCCATCTCAACAAGCTGATACTGGACGGAAAGTTGTGAACGCTTGAATTTGTAACGTGTCGCTTTTGTGGATTCTAAATACGACCTTTAAAGGTGCTGTCACAAAGTCGGCCATTTCTCGAGAATGGGGCTTGAGCAAAACAGGGGCTCGCAACAGAAGTGTCACTCGCGGAAGCGGAAGAGGGCTTGCGGTGCGCGATGGAAGGGGAGGGCAGGGGGGGCGAGGAGGATGCGGTGGCGTCGCGGCGAGCCCTCAAATGTAGTACAGTGAAGCAGGGTACTGTACTGCCGTACGACCAGCCCAGAAGGAGAGGTGGTGGTCAGGCCTGTCGAAGTTCCTGGGACCCATACTTGCGCTCCCCAGCTCCTCCCCATCTGACCCTGTTTTTGGTGTAGCTGAGCGTTTGGGCGCCCTTAACGGTCACGGGCGCACCCCAAAGTGATAACTTAAAATCCGGGCCTGTGAAGAGTTTGCACTGACGCGAAGGGAAATTTTGGGTGCTCTAAAGCTGACTTTCAAACACGGGATGGCTAGAAAACGCTAAGGGAAAAATCCACTCCTCTCGTGCAACCTCAGGAGAAAGGAGGGGGGGGGGGCTTCAAGACGCCAAGGGAAAATTCGGGTGCTCAAGCTTACTTAGACACTTTACTAACGCAGGATGGCTAGAAAATGTTAAGGGAAAAATCCACTCCTCTGGTGCAACCTAAGGAGAAAGGGGGGGGGCAGGGGGGGGACACTCAGACGCTAAGGGGAAATTCGGGTGCTCCAAGCTGGCTTAGAAAACGCTAAGGGAAAATCCACTCCTCTTGTGCAACCCAAGGAGGAAAGAAGGGGGGGGGGGACACTTAGACAATAAGGGACTATTCGGGTGCTCCAAGCTGACTTAGACGCTTTACAAACACAGGATTGGCTATAAAACGCTAAGGGAAAAATCCACTCCTCTCGTGCAACCTAAGGAGAAAAGGGGTGGGGTCAGGCAGAATTTGGGGGGGTGGTGGGTCCTACAACCAGGAAGCAAAACTTCGAGACAGGGGAAGGCCTGGTTTGGGCCCTTAACGCATCCGGGGAAGGGTCGAGCGCGGCACTTAGTGGCACGATGGTGGGGCTGGCTCTCTCCTGCCAGCAGGTGAACCCAGCAGGAGCAGAATGTGACTAAAGCTTACATATTGGCTGACGCATTTGTCAAAAGCGGAATGCACTAATACAGAAGCTGCACACGGCCTAACAAAGCCCAACAATACCCTAAATACTTTATCAACAAAACCAGTTGCAAAGATGTAAGCAGCTAAAATCATTCAATACATTGCATGATACTGACATATGGGAACAAAGGAGACAAAAAAAAAGCACCTTTTCAGTCATTGTGCAGACAGGGTTGGAGTTTTAACATTTGATACTCGCGGGATAGACTACGTACCGTAGTATTGGTTTAACGCAAGTCACATCCAGGGTGATACATGAGGAGCGGGGACGGCACTGAAGAGAGGCATCACCTACCCACCAGGCCAGATATCCACATCATAGAATACATTAAATAGCGGAGACATACATTAAAAAGCATATGAATTGAGGCCTGGAGGTTATCCCATATATTGTTATGCACTGTCTCCGCCACACCATGGCGCCTTAGCAAAAATGGGAACCATCCATGCTTGTACGCAAAAACTACAACAGATCCTACAGCCTGAACTCCACCCTGGGAGGTTCATAGGTGTACGCCTCGGTATTGATGGGTGCCCCAAGACAAGACAGCTTCAGAAAAGCCCCGATCAAATCAACCTGGTGGTGGGATACATGCACACAAAAAGATTGCAGGGGGAAAAAGAGCAGACGATCATAAGGGGAGGATAAGCATGCTTTCACAGGAAGAAAATTTTGCACACAGAATGGATCCAGCCAGACACTGCACCAATGCTCTTGTGCTGCAGAACACCCAGACCAAGGCTTTCTGCACAGAGCCAGCCCACCATTATGATTCTGCAGGGCGTTTTCGAGATTTCTCAAAACCATCCTGCACCGCCATTATGATTGTGTTCAACAGACACACCACACCTACCATTCGACCTCATCTCGGATGCTCTCAGAACCAAGCACACCATATCTTGATACTCTCTAACAACCAAACACACCACACCCACCAGGGAACTGCACCGCGCAGTCAGTCTGAGACACAGCGACCCCCCCCTCTTCCTGGTCGTTAACACCCAGCTGCGAGTCGACTCAAAAACAGACTCCTTGCAGTCAGTCTGAGACACAGTGTCCCCTCCCTTCCAGGTTTTAAACACCCAGCCTATGGCAGGTGAGATTCTATCTGATCCCACCTCATTTTTCAAAAGAGTGCCAGGGACGCACCTCGTAGTCAGTCTGGGACACGGTGGTGCGGCTCTTCCTGTACTTGGCCACCCGTCCCTTGAGCTCCCCTTCAGCTCCCTGCGCTGCTCCTCCCAAACCAGCATGTGTTCAACCCAACAGTCCAAGCTCAGCGCGTTCTCACCTCGTAGTCAGTCTGGGACACGGTGGTGCGGCTCTTCCGGTACTTGGCTACCCACTTGCTCATCTCCCCTCCAGCTCCCCACCTCCCACCCCCATTCCCTCAGAAACGCATACATCCATCCCATCACAAGCTCAATCTCACCTCGTAGTCAGTCCGGGACACAGTGGTGCGGCTCTTCCTGTACTTGGCACCCCTTGAAGCCCCTCTTCAGCTATTTTCTCAGATCCCCTTAACCAGCACGTGTTCAACCCAACAGTCCAAGCTCAGCGCGTTCTCACCTCATAGTCAGTCTGGGACACGGTGGTGCGGCTCTTCCTGTACTTGGCCACCCACTTGCTCATCTCCTCATCCCCCGCCAGCTTCGCCTCCACAGCCTCCAAGTCCCGCCCCAGGAACAGCGCCAGGGTCACCACCTGGCGGGGCCTCAGCCCCAGGGCGGCGAATTTGTCCTTGATCTCTGTGGCGCTGAGCTGCTCCCAGATTGGGACCCGCCCTGCCGGGTCTGCTTGCTCCGCGTCCGCCCTGCCCAGCTGCTTGTCAAAGAAACCCCACTGGAAGGGAGGGATGGGAGAGGGGAGGAGCAGGGCGAGGAGGCGAGAGGAGGGAGAGTCAAGCAATTGGGATGTTAGGAACTGTTGGAGGGGCAGGGTGAGGTTGACCACCACTAATCAGCCTCGCAGCTTCAGCCCCAGGGCGGCGAATTTCTCCTTGATTGATCTAGGCGGCGCTGAGCTGCTCCCAGAGTGGCACTCGCCCCGCCGGGTCTGCTAGCTCTGCATCCCCCCGGCCCAGCTGCTTGTCAAAGAAACCCCACTGGAAGGGAGGGAGAGGAGAGGGGGTAGGAGTGGGGAGAGGAGAAGGAAAAAATCAGGGTGTAACATAGGGCTGGAAGGGCAGCGCCAGGGTCACCATTTGGCGGGGCCTCAGCCCCAGGGCGGCGAATTTCTCCTTGATCTCACCACCCCCCAGCAGTGCCACCCCCCAGCAGTGCCACCCCCCAGCAGTGCCACCCCCCAGCAGGGCCACCCCCCAGCAGTACCTGTCCAGGGGAGCCAATAGCGAAGTAAAGGTTGAGGCCCTTGGTGTCATCGCCCCCTGCCTTGCGAACCGCTGCTGCCAGGAACGTGGTCTTCACGGCCGATTGCGCTGCATGGAGAAGGTGGGGGTTGGGAGGGAGGAAGAGGGGGTTGTTTGAGGCACCACCAAGCATCGCCCCCCGCCTTGCGCACCGCTACTGCCAGAAACATTGTCTTCGCGGCCAATTGGCCAATTGGCCGCTTGGAGGATGGCGTGGGCAGCAAGGAAGTGAATGGGAGGGTGGGGTTTTTTTTTGGGGCGCCAAATGGGTCCTCTAGGCAGGGAAGCGGGGGGCATGAAGTGAGCTCAGGTCACCCAGCAGCAGCACGCAGTGCCTCACGGATCAACTGTGGAGCAAGCACAGCACAGCACTCAATCCCGCACGTACTCAAGCTCACCTCCGAACTGAGTCAGGTCGGCGTAGGACAGGGGACCGCCCTTGGCGTAGAACTGTGTCTACACGTGTTTTGAGACGTCTCAAAAGGCGTCTGTGTCCACACGTGTTTTGAGACGTCTCAAAAGGCGTCTGTGTCTACACGCGCCTTCACCCCCTCCAAAAGACACTGAAGCTCTATGCCTCCCCACCTCCACACCAGCTGAAGCTCACCTCCCAGGCAGATCAAGCTTACCTCCAAACTGAATGAGGTCGGCGTAGGAGATAGGCCCGCCCTTGGCGTCTTTGTCCACACGCGCCTTCACCCCCTCCAGCAGCTGCAGGGCCGCCTTGAGGCCCTTGTTCTCCGGGCGCGACAGCTCCTCGCTGGGAGGGGTGGGGGGAAAGAGAAGGGTGCAGAGGGGAGGGAGGTGGGGAGATGGTGACTTTTGAGTCGACTCAAAAGTCAACTCGGGCGAGAGAGCTCCTCGCTGGGAGGGGTGGGGGGAAAGAGAAGGGTGCAGAGGGGAGGGAGGTGGGGAGATGGTGGTTCCAGATGTGATGTACTAGAATCAAGGGTTGAGGGATATTGCCAACAGCTGCAGGGCTGCCTTGCGGCCCTTGTTCTCCTCGCTGCGGGGAGGAGCATGGCATGGCATGCTATGGTATATGGCATGGCATGGATGTCATGGCACGAAATGGCGTGGCGTGATATGGCATGGTATCGCATATGTTGTTGCTACCTGAATCGGATGGAACCGTTCGCTCCTCCTGTCCTGGTCTCCTGTTGGGAATCAAGGCAGAGAAATATCACGAAAAGCATCGCGGGGGAGGGGCGATGAGGGGAGAAGATGGAGACATTGAAGGGAAAGAATAAGGAGAGAGAGAAAAAAAAATGATCGGTGAAATGCGTCAGGGGTCCGAAGGCACATAACCGTTGATTTTACAGGCAAGAGAAGTGCATGCCTTGTATCCGTGCATTATAAGTGCTATATTGGATTCACTTTCGAGAGTTCCCAGCAGTGCATCCGCGCATGATGCATGCACAAGGAGTGCGCTTCAGGAGTGGTGTGTCATTACGCTTGGCACCAACCTTGTCATACGTGGCCGCATCATTGAGGGCCAATCGCAGGATGTCAGGCACAAGCTCCTTATTGGCCTGCCACGTGGAAGACGGGTTGGGTGGGGGAGAAGAGGGGGGAAGAGGGGGAGAGGGGAAGAGGGAGGGAGAGGCGAATAAGGGTACAAAAATCAGGGAAGTTGACTGCGCTAATTTTGATTTTCGGATTACAAAAAAAGTGTCCGGACGCAGAGAAAAAGTTGAAAGGTAGAACACTATACAAGCGGACCAAGAGGAAGTGTAGGGACGATGGGAGAAGCAGAGATGCGGAGGGAGGGGCGAGGAGAGACGCAGAGAAAACAGGGCTGATGGGAGGAGAAGAGAAGAAAGTGGCTCACACTGATGGTGTTGAAAAGGTCCTCCTTGAGGCCCTCTGATAGTGCCACATTCGTTACACGTCACAAGGGGGGATGGAAAAGAAAGGAAACAAAGAAATTGAGTTGTCAATCAAACAGCCGGCCACAGCAGCTCCGTAGGTGGCCTGGCCAGTGCAATGCACTCTTTGCTGGAAGAACTGAAAAAATTGTTTCTTGGAGTTCGTTCGAGCGCCCTTTTTTCCTTCGAAGCCGTTCATCCTCGCAGCCGGAATCGCTCTTGTGCACATCACCAACAGAGCGTAATGGCAGCTGTGACAAGAGCTGCTGTGTTGCTGTAATCGCACTCACTCGCTCACGAAGCGTATGAGAACAAGGAGGACTCACTCAGGTAAGCTGCTTGCTGGTTGCGCTGTGGCATGGCAAGTGCAAGACTCACAGCATTGGCAAGTGCGAATTAGTCGCTCCGTGACTTCTGAGTCGACTCAAAAGTCACCTTGCAAGGCTCACAGCAACGGCAAGTGCGAATCACTCGCTCCGTGCAGCCTACAGCACTCACTCAGGTAGGCTGCTCGCTGGTTTTTGAGACATTACAGAAAAGAATTAGTCCCGTGCGGCCTACAGCATGAATTCGCTGCAATCACTCAGGCACGCCGCTCGCTGGCCGCGCTGCACGATGTTGGCTGCAAGAGCGGGGTCCGAGGACGTCAGCAGAGGCACCCACAGAGGGCACCCAATGGCTGTGTGGCTCATTGCAACACCCAATGCCCGCTGGCCGCGCTGTGGCAGATGCAACGCTCACAACAGTCAGTGCGAACCAGTCAGTGCGAACCAGTCGTTTCATACGGCCCACAGCACTCACTCAGGTACGCCGCTCGCTGGCCGCGCTGCACGATGTTGGCTGCAAGAGCGGGGTCCGAGGACGTCAGCAGAGGCACCCACAGCGGGCTCTGGAATGAGAGGCAGAAAGGAGGGAGGGTAGCGCGGGGAATGGAAGGGACACCAGGCGATCGTTAGAGGCCGTTTTCCTCCAGAGCGGGGGTGAAGGTAAGGGGGAAATGACGAAAGGAGGGCAATGATGATAGACAAGAGCAATGCAAAGAGAAGCAGTGGAAGGGAGAGTAGCAGGCGGAAATAAGCAGAGGGAGGGGAAGGGAGGGGAGAGGAGGGGAGGGGAGAGGAGGGGAGGGAGGGGAGAGGAGGGGATGGGAAGGGAGGGGAGGGAAGTGGATGGTGCACGCATCGAGGACTTGAAGGAATACAGATCACAAGGCGAGCATAGACCACAAGGCGGCGAGCGTAGACGACTAGACGGCGTGCGGCGAGCATGTACTCACGGAGGCAGCGGTGAGAGCAGTGAGCATCGCTTGGCGACGGGGGATGACGAGAGCAGAGGAGGAGCCGGAGACGACTTGTGGACGTCTCAAAATAGTTAAAACCACGAGGAGGCGTGCGGTGAGGGTGAACTTACAGAAGCAGCGGTGAGCGCAGTGAGCATGGCTTGGCGACGGGGGATGACGAGAGCAGAGGAGGAGTCGGAGGAGGACGACGCGTCGGTAGACGCCTGGCAGCGAACTGCTGCACGCTGCGAGAGGTGGAGCGACGGAGAGGGATGCAAAGGGATATAGCGGGATATTGCGAGGTACACAGGGATACAGAGGGCTATGGGGGGAACAAGCCAGGGAACACAAGAAGAGCGGTGCGGAAGGAGAGAGTTACGAGAGTGAAATGACACGGCGGCGGAAGAGAGTAGCTTCCTTCACAATGAGTATGGCCACTTTCTTGCCACGCGCTTCGCGAAAATTGAAGCTTATGGGGTTCATCGATAGCCATTTTTGCTGTTCGAAGAATGTTTATTTGGAAATTATTCTTGCGGAGCTCTTTCTGAAGCGGTACCTGGAAGGACTTCACTGCTGCAGTCTTGGAAGTGCCTGTGTGCAGATGGTATGGTGTGGCATGGGATAACAAGGGAAGGGACGGATACAAACGCATGGGATAAGAATGGCATGGAATTGACGAATACTGACACGCAGACCCATGGTGTGACAGGTCAAGAACGTACGATACCGGAAAAAAAAAAGATTGCCTGAGAGAATTCGAGTGCGAGCAGAGAAGAGATGACTCCGCAGTGTGTGAACTATCAACCAGCTCATCCGTCCGCTCTGACTGGTGTTCTTGCAGCAGATTAACAACCTCCATCATCCTCACGCACGCTTCTTCACACTTTGAACAACCCACCCCATCCCCGTTATGAGCTTACCAGCAAGGGTCTTGCCCTGCACGAAGGAAGAAGACTCCGCGGAAGAGAGAAGCGGAGCCTGATGAGGGGGGGGGGGGGGGGGGGGGGGGGGAAGCGGGCGAATGGGGGAAGAGGAGGGGGATTAGATGGCGAATGCAGATACGACCGGGCGGGAGGGGGGGGGGGGGGGCTGGGGGAAGGGGGTTGGGGGGGGGTGGGGGAGATGAAGTGAGGAAAATGAGGAGGGACCCTGGCCTCTGCATTGAACGGGAAATCGAGAAAAGAAGTTAGACGAGTCGGCAGATAAGATTTGCAATACAGAAAACGGAAATTCAAGGAGCGGAGGAAGACGAACCGTGGCAACAGACGACATGGCGAGGGAAGCCATTGTGACTGCCGACTGGAGCAAGTGAAGCAGGAGAAGCGAGAGGGAACGGCAGGAGATTTAGCCTAGAATCCTCGTAAACTGACACTGGAATTCAAAATTAGTACGCGGAGAGGAGGGTATGGGCCTCAGTGGAATATGGAATCTGAAAGGAGGTTCTCTGAATCTGCACAGCACAATTGTGCAATTGATGAAAATTCATGGTGCTGGAGCTGAGTCAGCGGCCAGAGATTTGAGGGAGTTGATGGAATTTGACTGGGCGTGGTGATCGAGGAGGCCAGTAAGATTGGACAGGGCGAGGTTGGGACTGCCACACCAGCAGCTCGAGAATCTTGAAGGTGTCCACGTGCTGAGAAAGGACAGCGCCAACGAGGCGAAAACTTGACACCCAGCGAACACATTATTCGACACTCCAGTAAACGCCTGAAGCAGTCTCAGTGTTATGCATACTCATTGTATAGTGAGATGCTTGTTGCTTTGCTCACAAAATAAGCACAAGCATCCTTCTTCCTTGAAACGTCTCATTACGAGCCTTTTATATGTATTGAGCTATATTATTCGAATAATTCAGAGCTTTTACTGGTGATAAAGTAGAATGGTAACTTCAGAGCTTGATTTTGTTTTTTTTTTTTTTTTTTGATATCAAATACATTACAGGAATGTATAGACATCGACAGTCGTAACTGTTATGGGGAGGAGAGCGCTACAATAGCTAGTATCGCAGATCTCCTCTGAGACAGCTATGGTGGCTGGTGTGTCATTCTGGGATTGTTCCAGATTGTGCTGAATTCGACCCTCCGCGTCAGCGGTACACCAGGGCCCACGATATCAGGGCAAAACATCCTGATTACCCTGATTTCAGGATGGTGTTTTAAGCTTGCCCTGAAATTTCAGAATGACGATGAAATTTACCCTGTAACGTCAGGATGATTCATGTGTTTTGCCCTGAAATTTCAGAATGGCAGTGAGATTTTGCCCTGAAGCGTTAGGGTGAATGTAGAGGGATGCCCTGACTCATGGGAAGGGGAAGAAGGGGTGGAGGGGAGGGGGGGGAGAGGGGGAGAGGGGAGGAGGGAGGCTCGGGGGTGTGTGTGCTAGTTTTGTCCCCCCCCCCCAAGGTTTTTGCTCAGCCCATTGTAGTGAAACCACTGAACAACCTGCTCCTCTCGTGGCTTCCCCTCCACTCTAGTGTCTTGTATTTTTTTGCCCTGAAACATCCGGATGAATTTCTGCTGGTGCCCTGAAATTTCAGGATTGCCAGGAAATTTTGCCCTGAAAAATCAGGGCATTTTGGAGAGTTTTCAAAAGTTGCCCTGAGGGCTCAGGGTGCCCTAAATCCTAGCACAGGCCCTGCGGTACACCGCTGCTGCAGATGCGTCGCATCACCACCGCTTCGTCATCTGCCAGGTGTGCCCACACATCATACGAAAACTGTCCCTTCTTCCGCGCTGTCGCCTCGCGCGCCAAGCAGTACATCCTGACGTGAGCGGTGAACCTTATCATCGCCTGCCGAGCCACTTTCCCGGCCTGAAAAACCTCGTTTCTCCACGCTGCATTGCACCTTGCTAGCCACACCTGGTGCAGGAAGATTGCGATCCACGTCCCTTCCGGAAAACTCGACAACGTGTTTCTCTGCGCGAAAAGCAGGTCTTCAAGATCCAGCCACGCTAGGTTCGGGTGCATCACCTCCAACCCTCGTCTGAGTACGTCCGTCACCCCCTGTACTGCAGGGCACCTGAGAAGGCAGTGGTCCGGGGTTTCTTCCCCTCGGCAGTGCGGGCAGACCACCCCCATGAAGAAAAGTCTCGAGCCCACTTGCAGATTTCTACAGTGGAGCCGTAGCAGGATCTCACGTGCCCGTCGTGGGGTGGCAAGGGAGTCCCTCTGCCTTATGACTCTGACCCACTCAATTTCCCTCCTTTGCCCTTCCCACCTCCTCTGATCCTCATGTGGTACAGCTGCGCTCGCCAGCACCATCCTTATCCGTCGCAGCGAGATTAATTCTCCCCCTTCACATGCTTGCGAGAGCAGCAGCTTCGTTCGTACGTCACCCATGGGCCCCAGAAAATTATGGCCCTCCGTGTACATCGGCACCCCGCTGCGTAGCCCAAAGTCCACCGTGAGGTTGCCTTCGTAGGGCGTGAAATATCCACCGCTTCCCACGTCGCACAGGATTCCCACCACCTTATCATCCTTTGCTCCCTCGACCTTCCAGTAAGTGAAGTTCTCAGTCCCGGCGTTGTGCGAACGCAGTAGCTTCACCGTGGCCACCACCTCTTTGCTCGTCAGCTTTGTGAGTATTATATCCCTCCAGCCTGGGGGCGCAGCTTGAAAAGCCCTCAACGCCCATTTCGCCTTCTCCTTGTTCCCCAGCTCTCTTGCCAGTGCCTCCAGCTTTTTGAGTTCGCATGTTCCATCCCGTGATTTGACGATCAGGTCCCCCATACGTAAGCCCAGCAGCGCCTCCGTTCCTTTCTGGTTCCCGAAAGGACTTGCGCCTCTGTAAGGGATGTTCGGGTTGAAAGCCAGGTGCTCCTGCTCTACCTCCCAACGGTTCGTCGGGACACGTGTCTTGTACAGGGTGAATCCCAAAATTTCACGATTAACTCCTTCCAGCGTGCGCTCCCCTTTTCCCAGTGGTCTAGCAGCGATTTGTGCGTGAAGATTGTGTCCAGCCCCAGGGGCATCTCCGCCGCCCTCTCCGCCAGCCACTTCTTGACGGAGCTCGGCCGCAGCATCAGACGGCAGACGTTCCGAATGGAGATGCTGTTGACCCTCTGCTCGGGGCAAATCAGACCCAGCCCCCCGCCCTTCCGCGGTGTGCAGACCAGTTGATAGTTCCAGAGGATGAAGCGTTTCTCCTCCGCTGCTTCTCCCTTCGAGACGAAGGTGTGGCAGATCTTGCGAATCTTCTTCCAGATGGCCTCCGGCGGCAGGTATATTTGTGCCTGGAAAAGAAAAATCGGAGTGATGTAGCTGTTGATTATCGTCACTCTCGCCGATGTCGTCGGGTGTTGCATCTCCCACTTTGCTAACTCTCCCTTCGCCCTGCCCAATGCTTTGTTCCAGGATGGAGTTGGGTCACCATTCGGCGTGATCCAGATCCCCAACAGTCGCTCCGGCTCCTCCTTGTCCGCCCATTTGTAACGCAGGTTGTGCGGTGGCGGCTTCCCACGGTTTTTCCCCAGCGGGAAGACTACCGTTTTCCCCTCGTTCACCACCAGCCCTGACTCTCTTCCGAAGACTGTCAGAACATCCGCCGCTACTTCCAGCTGCTCTGCTCCGCGCAGCAACAGTGATGTATCATCAGCGTAACCCAGGTATGCTAGCGTGCCCACACCTCGCTTCCCGATTCCCAGCTTTTTCCGATTAAACTCTTGGCACAGCGGCTCTACTGCACAGAGGAAGAGGTACGGCGCCAGCGGGCAGCCTTGGCGCACTCCCTTCTCCACCGCCACCCTGTCTCCTGTCCAGCCATTGATGTGCAGGCACGTCCCCGCGTCTTTGTGCAGCCCCTCTGTCCAGGATACGAAAACCTCTGGCAAACCCAGCTTCCGCAACGTGCCAAAGAGGTAGTCCCGCGAGATTGAGTCAAAAGCCTTTTGAAAATCAATCATCATCAGGTACCAGTCCTCTTTCCCATTCGCTCCTGCTTCTATAGCATCTGCGACCACCGACACCGCGTCCGCCAGCTGCCTACCAGGTAGGAACCCGTATTGGTCCTCCGATATGACCTCGTGCAACACCACCTTGAGCCGGCTTGCCATCACCTTTGCTATGATTTTGTAAACCGTACTAAGAAGCGTTATCGGCCGATAGTTCCCCAGGTCGCCTTTATCCCCCTTCTTATGCAGCAGGATGGTCACAGCTGTTGAGACCGTGTGCGGCAACGCCTCTCCGCCCGTGAAACTCCTCACCAGGTCCATCACCACTGGTCCCAGCAGCCCCCAGTTGTAATCGAAGAGCTCTTTAGGCAGCCCGTCAGCGCCCGGTGATTTCCTTGGGGCAAGTTCCCGTATTGCTTTCCGAACCTCGTCCTCCGTCCAGGGTGCACTCAGCGCTCTTCTACTTGCTTCCCCCAATCGCCGTTGCATGGGATGATCTTCCGTGGCAGGTACCGCGCTGCTGCTGACACACCCAAAGGCATCACGAAAGTGAGATGTCGCCGCCGAGAGAACCTCCTTCACCCCCGAGAACAGGCTCCCGTTCCGCGCTACCTCCCGAATTGTTGTTTTTGCCTTGCGAGTCTTGATTTGCGCCGATAGAGTGCCCGACGCCACCTCCCCGTCCATCTCCGCTTCGATGCCTGCCCATAACTGCAACTGTTCTTTATGGCTCCTCTCATATGCCTCCAGCAGCTCCTCTTTCCGAAGTAGAGTCCTCCCCGTTCGTTGGCAGTGCGGGTATCTGGACACACGCAACCTTAACCGTTCCACCTCCCTGGTGAGATGGAGTTGCGTGGCCTTCTCTCGTTTCCTTTCTTCCCTCGAGTATGCCTTCAAGCATGTGGTTAGTCTCTCCAGCAGCTCGTCAACTGATGCTCCTGCTGATTCCTCGATGATTTTTTTGATGATTTTCTGTACTCCTTGCTTCTGTGTATGATCTGCCCGTAACCTCCAGATGCCCGGCCCGTTTTTCACAGCCTCCGCCGACTCCAGCACCACCCCTATCCCGCTCCAGTGATCAGTCATTCCGTTGGTAATCGCCACATGCCTCGCCTCTACCAGCTTGCTCAGCAGTGGTTGTGAGATTAGTGCCCTGTCTATCCTTGAGCTGGACCTCGTTGCTCTTGCAAAGAAGGTGTATTCCCTTTTGTCCGGGTGGATATGTCTGAAAGCATCCCGCAGGTCCGTATTCCTCCAGCAGCTCAAGAGGCGGTGATTCTCTGCCGAGGAGCCAGCCTGTGAGGTGCGATCCAGGTCCGGATCCTCGACCACATTGAGGTCACCCATCACCAGAATGTGGTGGAACACCGGCAGGGATTGCAGAAACGGCTCCAGGCTGTCTCTGTAGAAACTACTCCTGTTCACCGCCTGAGCCGGGATGTATGCTGCTATCAGCAGGAACTCCAGGCCACCCCAGCGAACGACCACCGCCAGGAGCCTGCCAGAGTCATGGGTGAAACTGGTCGCGAAGACCAGCCCAGGTACGAAGCTCACTATAGCAACCCCCCCCGCCGATTCACCAGGGTTTTGTCCACACACTGCAGTAGCACTTGGTGTTATATCAGTCCAGAAATTGTGGTCAGCCTGCAACCTCGTGTCAGTGATTATGGCCACATCCGTCTTCTCTCTCATCCATTCCTTGCATTTCCTCTGTTTCTCTACCCCGCCGAGTCCGTTGATGTTGAACTCGCACAAAACAACTTTGTGGGCTTTATCCATTAATCAACAACTGTGAAGCCCCTTCGCATCCACGGGCTATAAAGGTACACAATGCTACTGGAGCAGGTAAGCCGTTGGTTCCAGCTACCTCTCTTATTCCTCTGCCGATGCGTACAGCTGCTGTGATCCTGCTAACACGCACTACTTCTTTGGCTTTGTCAGGAACTCCTTCTTGAAGGATATCATCTTCTGAGGGAACGTGCCGACACGTGTTGCTGAACTCTCCTTCCGCAAACCCTCCTTGTGACGAGCGGATACAATGTGAGACGAAGCCTGCTCGAAATGGATCCCCTGCGCCTTCTCGCATCCTGCCTGGACGCAGACCCATTCCTCCCGTGTGCCTCCAGTGGAAGTGAGGATGATCGCAGGGTCTCGCATGATACGCTTCAGGAGATCTGAAGCTTTCAGGGACGCAGCTGCGGGGGGAGAGGAGCAGACAATCGTCAGTACGCGGTAAGAAGTGAAAGACGAGCGGGAAAGCGGGCTTCGGAGGCAGGTATAACTTCTCTCTGCTTGTACCATTCATCTGGTGAACCTTCTTAACCGTCACATTCCAGTTGTTGAAATGGTCTTGTCTCGGGGTGACATAGCGGTCGTGATAGCGAGTCATGTGCTGACCACCACAGAAGTCACAGGTCAGCGACGGGTAGTGAAGCAGGTACCGTTTCCCTGTGGTGGGATCTTCCACAAAGGTGCGCCAGCGGTACTCGTCGTCAGCATGGGGGACGAACAATCCACGGATGCGATCCGTGTCCAAGCCTGACACAGGGTCGACTGTCCGGTGAAAACCGAAACCACTGGCAAACGTGCTCCTGCCACGCTTCACCAGCTTTGACACCACCAGCAGACGACGGATCAGTTCTGCCGACGTTTCCGCAGGTACTCCTTTGATTATGATCTCCTTCGCCGTGGGGTTCAGTACGCGCTCACGCTGGAAACGCGCGTCCTCTGGGTGCTGCCAGGTGAAGTCAACGAAATCGCCGTTGACGCATTCGTGACGAATGATCTGGTTCCACACGAAGTTCGCGTCCTTGACGTGATTGAATGTAACCTGCAGGCGTCCGTAGCGCTCTCCAGAGAGAAACATCGGAGCGAGGTCCTGGTAAGTTGTGGTCAGCAGCGCGTCTGGTGATAATAAATCCTTCCATTCATCCAGCATGGCAGCAACTGTGAAAGCCGCGCGCTTAACCTCCGCTTTCCTGGCAATCGGCACCAACAGGGTTAGTGAGAAGCGCTTCAGAGCAATAATGCTGTTAAGAGAGTCTGGTTCTAGGTGATCATCGCTGTCGTCACTCAGGTAACCGTCGTCGTCGTCATCCGCAGGGGTCCCTGTTGATTGCGCGTCATCATCAGCAGTGTCCGTAGCATCACCCTCATCACGCGCATCTCCCTCAGCGAGTCGTTTTCCGTCGCCAGTACATTCCCTGGTAGCATCATCGTTCTGATCAACAGCTCCCTGCTGCTCCTGGAAGGCCTCGAAGGGACCTGCCAATGTCGCTGGAGCGGGACACAATGGAGGCTTTCCGGTAGCAGCAGTCTCCTTCAGAGGTAAGGCAGGTACGTCTGTCTCCTGAGCCATGTCAACACCCTTCTTTGCTTTGTTGCCCTTACGCCCGTTACCCATGGTGCGATGATGAAACTGACTTGACAGCCCGTGCTTGGCTGATAAACAAGCCTGACTGAGCACATTCACCACGCCGTGCTTATATTTCTTGTGTTTGAACGCGAACCTCTGCAGATCCAGGCCACGCGATAAGGCCAGGGTCCTGGCGTAGATCTCCATGCCTTGATAGCTGTTTGCTCCTTTGAAACTGGAACTTTGAGAAATGCGTGCGTTGGTTGTTCCGCGAGATGACGGAAACGTTGATGACGCCATATACAGGTGGCAACCATGGAGTAGCCTTGATAGCTGCTGCAGTCCACATGATGAAACCTGAGGCTGATTTGAAGTTAAAAATTGCCTGGACGATAGCCTGGAGCATACACAACAGGTGTATAGGTTCCCGTTATGAACACTAAAGAGACACCGTTGTGTAGATCTTAAAGCCGCGAATCGTCTGAGACAATCAATGTCACCATCAGGCTCGAAATTGATGGACATTGGCCGAGTTAAAGCTCTCCGCCATGGCCATGGCTGCAAGGAAATCATAGCAAAAGATGGAAGGAAATTGGCAAATCCACGCTGTTCCTAGAGGATAATAGAGGAGTTGAAAAACTTCAACTTCAGAGCTTGATGTGAACCAGGAAATTGTACTACTTTGCTTATAATCAGGCTGCATAACTGTAACATCTTATTCAGACGAAGTACGTGCTGCGAAGTTCCTGCCCGAATCCGCCACCGACCAATGGCATCAAGCTCCACCTCGGCATTCCCAAGAAACGGCGGTACCACAACCAACCGCACCAACCTCGAGAAAAGCGAGCGACCAAGCCAGCACAACCATCACCAACAATCATCAGGCATTCAGGAATCAGGAGCAATGGATGACAAGACGACAAGGTTCCAATGAGCGACCATTTACGTCGCGCAGGTTAGAAGAAAATCAGGGTTCTTGCCGGCATACGAAAGTGTCATTGTTTCGTGCCGCCAATGTTCGAAGCCTCCATAACCGCACAATAGGATCTGGTGAAGCACCAGTAAAAATCCCATACACTAGGTCGTTACGAATCAGAAGCATTTCCCGTCGCCGCTAGTTAGGCGATCCCCGGGTGACATCATGAGTTGCGATACAATACGGCAAACACCCACGAGTGCAAGGATTAGAACCATCTTGTTGTGAGCTTCTTTCCTAGGAAGCCGTCCGTTCATAGTGCGATTTACCGAGTATTCCTAGTATTCACGTCAGCACCGGATTCTGTTGTACAGCGAAGTCTTGCACCCTTACTTAAAAGACGTACTCTTAGAGGGTCAGTCGATTTCACCTCTTCGAACCCTACGTCATCGCAGCAATCCATCGTGCTGCACCTACCACACGCAGTAATTTATCGCTTTTCTGTAGGGGGGATGACGACCGGCGAAAACTTACCTGTCGCAACAACATAGTAGCGCCTCGCACACGCCAGTATGGAAAGCAGCAGCAACCATAAGGATAGCAGCAGCAGCAGCAGCAGCAGTAGCAGCAGCGCCGTCAATCGCGGCGGCACTCTCTGGTTCCTGCAACCCGCCGAGCCGACTAGCTACGTACTCGACGACTCAGCGCCTGCCAAATCCCGCGCGGGCAAAAACGTGCACCAGAATGCAGCAAAGAGCGCAGGCGGCGGGGGAAGGGAGAGTTTCCCCTTCCCCCGGGCAAGATCCGGAAGCCCGCTTGCGCCCTGGGGAGGGGGGCGGGGAGGGGGAGGCGGAAGCGGAGGGAGTTCGGAGACTTGGATGCGCGGATTCAGCGGGAAATTAGGGCGGTACCGACGGTGTATGCTGCTGGTGGGGGGTGTGACTTTAGTGAATGGCATTCTGTCTGTGATTCTACTGGAGCTGATTATCAACGGTGCAAGGTCGTGCCCCGGGGGTAACTGCCACTTGCATGTGACCGAAGCTGATGCGCAGCTGAAGAATTATGACATGTGAGTTGACTGATCACATGTGACATGCGAGTTGATGACTTATCACATGTGAGCTGGTGACTTATCACACGTTACGTGGGTTGATGATTCATCTCGTGTGAATTTAAACTTTTTTTTGACATGTAGAGTGAGATTAACTTCTCATTTGTGACTTACCACTCTTTGGACCAATAGGGAATCTCAAACCCACTCCCGCCCCCTCTATATTCCCCCACCCTCTCCCCCTCTCCTCCTCTCCTCCTCTCCCTTTCAAAACCCCTCCCCTGTATTCGCTCTCGTCAGCCATTCCACCCGCCAGCTGTCGTCACGCAAGGCCCAGTTCCTCTCGGACGACGCTGATGTGGACAATGACCTGGACATAGAAGCTGACGTGGACGACGGGTCTGTCGTGGATATAGAATTGCCCTCCCTCTCCCTCTCCTCCTCCTCCTCCTCCTCGTCTCAAACACGAGGGAGAGGAGGGCAGACGGGGAGAGGGGGCAAGCAAGGGAGTGAAGGAAAGCAGGGGAGGTTAAGGAAAGGGGGGAATGTGGGAAAAGGAAGGAGGGGCGGAGCAGAGGGAAGAGAGGGAGGAGAGGGAGGGAGAATGGGCTATGCTAAGGCCAGAGAAGGTGTGAGAGGAGCAAGAGGCGCAGCAGGAGAGACACGCCACGCGTTGAAAGGCAAATCTAGTAGCTCATCAAGGTCCGGGTCTTCCTTCTCTCGCTCCTCCTCGTCGTCAGATGAAACTCCAGATGAAACGCCGGAGGTTTCATCTTCCGTGTCATCTGACTCGCGGTTCAGTTTCTTCGCCCATCTCGACGCTGCTGCTGCACACCTCTCCACTGGCCGTAAAGCAATCTCCGGTCGTGTTTCCTCCCCCCGTTCTCGAGGCTCCCCCATCCCCTCTAGTGTCTCCTCCCACTCCCGTGTCACCCCCTCCCCATTTCACTCAAACCGAGCCGTCACCACACCGAGGCCTGTTGTTACAAAAGCCGTTCTTCCCTCGCCTGCTGTTACCACACGTACTGTTGCCACACGTACTGTTCCTTCAGCTGCTGTTACCACGCCCGCTGTTACCACACCTACTGTTACCACACCTGTTGACACCCCCCCAGTTCGGACAAGCAAGGGGAACGCTGCTTCTGCTGCAGCCACCAGCAGCACCCCCAAAACAATCACTCAACCTGCTTCCACTGCCAATAGGACTCCCAGGAACACTGATAGTAACATCCCAACTACAGTTACTGTCACACCATCACCCGTTACTGTCACTCCCACAAGCACTAAAAGCACACCCACAGTAGCTACCAGCACCCCTGCTTCTACCGCCAGGATCAGCACAGGTGATGCTGCTGCCGCTGCAGCAGATTCTGGCTCTGCAGAGAATGCTGGTGCTGGTGGTGATACCGATGGTGCTGCTGATGCTAATGCTGCTGCTGATGGTGCTGCTGATGCTGGTGCTGGTTCTGATTCTCGTTCTGTTGAGGCTGGTCAAGAGCAAGAAACTTCAAGCAGTGGTGAGTCTGGCAGTAGCAGCACTGGTGACAGAAGCACGAGCAGCAGCAGGAGCAGCACCGGGGTAGACAGCAGTGATAACAGGAGGAGCAACAGCGAAAGCAGCAGTGACAGTGATGATACTGCATCCACCGCTTCCAACACCTCTTCACCTTCCCATCCTACCATCGACCACCAGGACCAGAATCCCCCCTCTCCTCCCTCACCACCCCCCGTGCAACTTCTCTCCTCATCTCCGGTACTCCCCTTTCCTTCCTCCTCCCCCCCTCCCACCATCATTCCAGCCAAACAGACTGCCGCCCAAGAGAAACAGGCTCGTCTTCAACAGCAGCAGAGGGAAGCAGCCGCCCGGCAGAAGGAAGCAGCCGCCCGAGAAGCTGCCGCCCAGCAGCAAAAGGCTGCCGCCCAACAGAGACAAGCTGCTGCCCGAGAAGCTGACGCCCAGCAGCAAAAGGCTGCCGTCCAACAGAGACAAGCTGCCGCCCGAGAAGCTGCCGCCCAGCAGCAAAAGGCTGCCGCCCAACAGAGACAAGCTGCCGCCCAGCAGAAGGAAGCAGCCGCCCAGGAAGCTGCTGCCCAACAGAGACAAGCTGCCGCCCAGCAGAAGGAAGCTGCCACCAAGCAGAAGGAAGTAGCCGCCCAAAAGGAAAAGACTGCCGCCCAGGAGCAGCAAACCGTTGCCGCCCAGCAGCAACAAACAGGGCCGAAAACCCGAACCCCCAAGCCTTTTTACGAACGGATGAGCGCCAAGTGGCACGTAACCCCTTTACCGCGCGTGCACGGCGCGTACCTGTTACAGCAGAAGCACGACTACTCGTGCGTGTTACTGGTGCAGGACCTGTGCTACCTGTTTATGGCGGGTAAAGGGGCATACCATAACGCGTACACAGGTGTGTGGTTTGTGAGGGAGGCTATGAGTGAGAATAGCTCGGAGTTAGTGGGGCCATACTCGCCTGACTGGAAGAAGCCAAGGGGAGCGACCAAGGGAAGCAGCAGAAGGAGGCTATTAAGTAGTGGCGGAGGGTCGGAGCTAGTGGGGCCATATTCGCCTGAGGAGCAGGAGGAGCAGGAACGGCAGAGTGAGCAGAAGGTGGGGGGAGAGGGGGAGGGAGGGGAAGAGGGGGAAGGAGGGGAAGCGGGGCAGGGAGAAGTGCATGCAAGCGAGTTTCCGAGTGAGGGTTTAGATCACGGTGCAAGCAGGCAGAGGAGGAGGAGGCTGCTAGGAAGAGCAGCAGGAGAAGGAAGCAGCAGCGGAGGGGGTTGGTTCAGCCGTTTCGCTGGGCTCAAAGAGGGCAAAGCGGGAGCCGGAGGCTTCATGAATACAGGCCACTATCGGGACCTGTCGAAGCTAGATCTAGGCAAGAGCATGTGCTCTGTTTTCAAGCCGGGGAAAGACCTTGATACCACACCTCTGTTTTCGGATTCCCACGATCTCCCAATCCTGAAGCTCCGGCAGAATAAAACGTACGGTAGATTTTTGGGGCACCCCGCGCTCGGGCAGTTCATCGCGGAGAGCAGCTCGACTGCCCGGAAAAAGCTGCGGAAGAACAACCCGAACGATTTTCGGCGGCGGGTGGGGATAGTCGGGAGGTACGACACGCACATCGGGCATTTTGGCGAATCAGCTGTCGCCATGTGGGAAGTTTCCCGCCACTTTCCAAGGGAGGGGCCGCTGGGGGAGGACGAGGAGGCTGAGTGGGGGGATGCGAAAGTGGGAGGGGCGAGAGCGTTGGGGGAGAAGTGGAGTGAGAAAGAGAGGTCTAGGAGGCGGCAGCGGTGGAGGAGGAGGGAGAAGGAGGGAGCGGAGCTCTCGCTGTTCTTCCCCAGTGAGAAGACGATCAGGAGCAAATGGACGGCTGGGATCGCTCAGATGCTTTTTGGGCCAGCTTCGGAGGTTTTAGCCGGGCACAGGGAGGGCCGGCCTGTGTGCTTTGATCAGGTGGCGTTTGTGCTGAATGCTCGGCATTTAAACTCGTCCACACAGGGGTTTAAGGAGGACGCTTGGGGTCTGGCAGAGGTGGCTGCGAAGGTGTTTCAGCGGAGGGAGGAGAACGGGGTGACAGGGGATGGGAACAGGGATTTCGAGGTTGAGGAGGAGATGGAGATGGGGGAGGAGGAGCAGGAGAAGCAGAGGAGGAGAGACGAAGCCGGTTCGGCGAGTAAAAACAAGGAGAGCCAAGAGGAGGGTGAGAAGAGGTTTCGGGAGGAGGCGATTCAGCGAGAGAGAACGCACGCGCTCGCACGTGTGGTGATCCGGCAGGGAGACGAGGTTTTGAACGCGGCTTTAAGGGGGCATGACTTTGATCGGAAGCTGGAAGTCACGGTGGTGGAGAGGGAGGAGCAGCGCACAGTGAGCAACATGGGGGAGGTGGCGTGGCATGTGAAGGACCTCTTTCCCCGCCACGTCACCAACCAGTACCACCTTGCTGACTCACCACTGCTCGAGCAGATGGCACTGTTTCAGGTGGGTTCTCAGGTGCTCTGCTTTGTCAGGTGGTCTTCAGGTGCTGTATCAGGTTTTTTTTTTCCAGTTGGATTGCTCCTTCAGGGGGGTTTCTGCTTCTGTATCAGGTGCGGGTTCAGGTAGGAAGGTCACTGTTCCGTGTGGGCAAAAAGAGGTGACGGTGGTGGAGAGGGAGGAGCAGCGCACAGTGAGCAACATGGGGAAGGTGGCGTGGCATGTGAAGGACCTCTTTCCCCGCCACGTCACCAACCAGTACCACCTTGCCGACTCGCCCCTGCTCGAGCAGATGGCACTGTTTCAGGTGGGTTCTCAGGTGCCGTTTCAGGTGAAATCTTCTGGTGGAACCTCGCCTTGCGCTACGGAATCAACTACTTCATGTGGGAAAACACGCACCCAGAAGCTTCCTTCCTGTCCTTCCCACCTAACTCCCCCCCCCCCCCACCGCCCTCCCCCTTTCCCTCTCCCCCCTCCCCCGTTCGTCCACAACCCCTCACCCCCCCCCCCCCCCTGCAGCACACAGCACTGTTCATCAGCATGCACGGCGCTGTTTATCCCCTCCCTCAGCAACCTCATCTTTGGCGTACCTCAACCCATCCCATCCCACCCCCCACTTCTCCCTCCATCTCTCACGCCCTGCCCCTTCCCCTCTCACAGCACACGGCGCTGTTCATCAGCATGCACGGCGCCTCCCTCAGCAACCTCATCTTCCTCCCCCCAGGCAGCACCGTCCTCCAGCTCTTCCCTCTCAAGTTCCACTTCGATGCATACAAGAACCTCGGCCTGCGCAACCGAATCAACTACTTTATGTGGGAGAACACTTTTGAGTCGACTCAAAAGGCAAAGCACACACACAGAAGCTTTCGTTCCTGCCCTTGACTTTCGATTTACCCCCTCCCCACTCCCCCCTCCCGCCTCCCCTTCCCTTTTTCCCCCTCCCACCTTCCACTATCCGCAGCACACGGCGCTGTTCATCAGCATGCACGGCGCCTCCCTCAGCAACCTCATCTTCCTCCCCCCAGGCAGCACCGTGCTCGAGCTCTTCCCTTTCAAGTTCCACTCCGATGCATACAAGAACCTCGCCCTGCGCAACGGAATCAACTACTTCATGTGGGAGAACACCCACCCGGAAGCTTCCTCCTACACCGACGATTGCTTAGCTAAGGGCGGGTGGGAGAATCTGGAGGAGAAGGAGTGTCGGAACGTGAGGGGGTGTTTTCTGTGTGCGAGGGATCATTCGGTGACGGCGGTGAATATGGAGGAGCTGGATAAGGTGCTTCTGAAGGTGCAGAGAGCGGTGCGGAGGTTTCTGCATGAGGAGAGCTTGAAGAAGCTGCATGGGGTTACAGCAGCTGCTGTTACTGCTTAGTGTATTGCTTCACATATGGAGGGGATAAGGTGCTTTTAAAGGTGCAGAGAGCGGTGCGGAGGTTTTTGCATGTGGAGAGCTTGAAGAAGCTGCATGGGAGCACAGAGGCTGTAGCTGCTGCATAGGCTGTTGCTTGCAGGAAACTGTTACTGGTATGTGCGTTGCTGCTGCTGGACGGGCAGCTGCTGTTGACGGTACAATGGGCAGTGAGGAGATTTTCACATTTTGAGAAATGCATGGGGTTGCAAGTTAGTGGGTAACGTAGCTGCTGCTGCTGCTGCTGCTGCTGCTGTTGCTGCTGCTTGTGAGCGTGCAGAGAGCAGTGAATATGGATGAGGGTGCAGCAGTACCCAACCAACGTCACCTCTGCTGCTTTGGGTTGGGTGCCCTCTGCTCTTTGATGGGCCTCTGACTGGGATGCCCACGGTGTATTTTGCTTGCAAATGCTGCTGGAAACAGGGTCTTGTTCAATTCTTCTTATATTTTGAGAAACTGGAGACGGATTTACCGTACTAGGAGTGAAGCTTCTGATGGCATGGGTGTGTGCGCAGCCGCAAAATACATTCCCCCATTCCCTAGTCTGTAGCTACTGGTATCGTCCCTGTCAAATCAACATGCAATACGGGCAAGAAAGTAACCTCAACTTGGCACGCTGCAATTGTGTAGCAAACCGCCATCCGATAGTTGTACTGTTTGCTGTGACTTAGTAAATGGAAGCTTACGGAGGAAGACGCATGGCACGTAAGCGCCTTTTTGGCTGAAACAATAATCGTGCAGACTAAGCAACTTATGAACTCCATTACACCATGTTCCCCTTGGGAGCTCCAACTCAAGGCCCAGTGCGCCACTGCATAGCACAGCCCCCCTTTTCTCTGTGCTTGCGTCCCTCCTTTCATGGTTATCATCTTTATCTCCTCCCCTGCTTGCATCCCTCACTCCCCTCTCCGTCCATGTCCCACCACATCACAACCATCACAACCGTAAATGCTCACTTATCCATGCTCACGCTTGCCCACCTCGTCCCGCCCACCAAGTGTCCCTCCAAACCCAGCCCACACATGGATGAGATAACACAATCTGGATATCATTAATGCCATACATGTACAAACACGCGAGTCAAAATTGTGGGGGGTGGTGGGGAAAATTGTTGAAACACAACACACCCCCCGAGGTCATGCCATCAACCCATGAGCGCAAAGCCAAATTCAGCTCTCCTTCAATCTGAGAGTACTACCTACCAACGAGCGTTGAAGCTGAGAGAGAACGTACTACTGCACTACCATGCAGCACTTATTCCTGGGCTCCACGCGCTTCGAGACTTCTTACGCGTCGAAAAAACGTCTGACTAGACTATCAGTGGTCGACAGCCAGAGCGCGAAGCTCGAGGACGAACGTTCTAAAAAAACTACCCACTAGTAACCACGAACCCCGACCCGAACTGGCAGATACTCAGCATAGGCTATGCGACAGCTGCCACGACCGCAGTTACTTCAACGCCAATGTCGCCGTCTCTTCGCAAAATCACAGCTTCTAATTGAGCCGGCGACCTATCGTTATCACCGTCAGGAACAACCCCGCTCTCTTCGCGCACGACGATCGTGACGATTCGCTCTCCAGACTCGGCAGATTCGCTCACTCTTCGCGGGGTTCGTGAACCCTTTTCGCACGTTTCGCCGGCCGTTACCGCAGCCGGACGAAGGTCTTTGCGACAGATCGGGCACGTGCTTTTCGACGACAGCCACAGATCAATACAGTCCGCGTGAAAGCGGTGGCCGCACGGCGGAAGCAGCTTTATCCGTTCCCCTTCGTCATAGTCACCCAAGCAAACCGCGCACTCGCGTAAACACGCGTTTTCCTCGTCTAGGGTAACAACCACGTGATCAGGAGCGGGATTGGCGGCGGAATTGGCGGCACATTTGTCGGCCTCAGCAGCCAGTCTGGAGAATTCTGAGGCGGCATCAGGAGCTTTGAGCTGAGACGCTACAGTCACGCCGTGATCGGTAGAATTCCCACTTTTCGTTGCCTGGTCGGCGTGTTGATCTTGCGATTTTCGCGACACGAGCTTTTCTGTGAGTCCCGCCGCGGAAAGCTCGGCTTTTTCCGAGCTGAAAATCATCACTGGGAAAGAGCGAATCAGCGACGCGTCGAGACCGACAGATTTCGTCGAGTTGCTGTTACCACCGCCGATGCGAACCCACACGCGATGCGGCCGCTGTGGACTCGGAAGGTCGCCGCCGATTGGTTCATGGCATTTCATCCGTCGCATGAGGTAAACGAGTAGCGAGATGACGGCGGTGACGAGGATGCATGCAGCAACGGCCGCGACGAAAGTGAGCGGAGAGAAAGAGGTTGTCGTCGAAGGGGATCCTGCCGGTATTCCCAAGGTCGACGCGTTTGCTCGGGAGTTGAGTGCGCTGCCACTGTCGGTTGTTGCGACGGTTGCCAGGTGCGGTACTGGTGGAGGAGAAGCCATAGTTGTTAAATCAAGAAAGCTGATTTTCAAGCTGGTTTTCAGCTGAATATACTCCGCGTACGGCCGCACGCAGGACAGAAATTTCACTCCACTTCACCCACAAGCTAAGTGACAGGAAGTGACTACACAAAAAATCCTCAAAGAAGACGGACAGCAGTCTCTATGAATCTTGTGGTGGTCAGTGCTGGATATGTAACAGCAAGCACATCCTCTCCTCTCATGAAGTGTGGGCTGCTCAAGGGAGAAGTGCGTGCGTGGGAGGGAGGAATGGCTTCTTGAAGTCGATACGCCGTAGTATCGCACTGTCAACGTGTTGATTCATTCGAACCGTATTGTACCAATGAGTATACTCTATGAACCTTACCAGCTTTCCTGCCTAGTGTCTAAGCCTTTGAGCCATGTGTTCTTGCCCCTCATTTCTTCCTTTCAGTTGCCCATGATGCTGCCCTATGAGAAATTGACCAATCGATAGGCGCTTTCGAGACGCGGACAGTGACAACATTGCGCTGCGCGGTGATCACTGCGTGGCTAAAGGAGGGTGAGCTCTCTGAACCGAAAGCAGTGGCCGTCATCAGTGCAACGAACGAAGCTCGCTAGCGGAAACAAAAAAGTGGAGACCACACGACACTCGCAGCCAGATGCGACAAAGAAAGAAGCACAGCGCGACTGATAAGGGCAACGGAGGCAAAAAAGATCCGCAACACGTCAATGGATGCGCTGACTCGATATCTACCTCAACTGACTCTCGTATTGGTTGCAAATTTTTGTAATACGGCTCATGATTGGTACATCTTAGGCTCGGTGCTGGTGAGTTGTGAACCACTTCCAACGTGTGGCGGCTGTGGGGCTTGTTTTCGATTGCGCCGCAGCCCACATGGCACGACTTCCGAAAGGTCGAAAAGTCAACAGTTGCGGACATCTGCACCACACCTTATTGGGGAAGTGATAAGCAGTCAAAATGAGTGGAGGAAGTGGGTGAAAACAACCTCCTGAGGAACCAAAGGTCCCAGCATTTCAGGTATGGACACGGGGTTCTTATCACCTCGAAACTTTCCTTCCGAACCTCATCTTTCTGTATCCCGTGGAATCTCACAACCAATCACACCATATCCATATGGTCGGTGAAATATACCACGTGTGACAGGCATTACCTCACAGATGGCAGTTGGTAGGTAGTCGTGCACGAAGGGGTTACAAAACATAGCTCGCGAAGGTGTGATACTACAAATATTTCAATATAATGACTGTACATGCGACACCCACAGCCAGGTGCTAATTGTATAAGATTATCATACTCAAGGAAGAAAACTGGTCATAGGATTGCTCCCTGCAGCTTCAACGAGAGCATCGGCAAAGCCAGAGAGCCATGGAACGTTCAATGATCCCACTGCACAGTACCAATCATAATAGTGTAAGTAGAAGATATGTTACCTAAAAAAGGAAACCAAAAGGTTAAGGCACACCTAACTTACAAGCAGCTTGTGGGAGTGATGCGATGCTTTCACGAATGGCAGTCGCAAGTGAGATGAGGGACTGGGGGTCAGGGATGCCTGAGAAAAAGGACTGGGGGTTGGGGATGCCTGGGTCAGGCAGAGTGGGGATTGGTGGAAGGGAAAAAGGATTACCAGTAAGATTGGGGATGCATGAAAAAGGAGGGGTAGAAAAAAAGAAGAAAACAAAAGAGGGAAGACTGATAAGGATAGATGATACAGCAAACACAGAAATGAACCCACAGCGCAAAACAAACAATATGCCCTTACCAAGACTGGGCTGGGAAGGAAACCGAGGAGGTTTAGGAATCAGCGATCCAAGGAAGGGGATGCTTCGAGCCAGATCGATAGGTACGGACTAGGGAAGGAGGACAAGATGAGAAAGAGGGGGGGAGGGGAGAGGTGGGGGAGAGAAAGAGGAGGGAAGGGAATGGGAGAATTGAAAGAGAGCATTTTGGAAGAGCAAGGTGTTGACAAAAGAAGTTTCGCAGAATAAACAGCTTTGAGGCACCTGGAAACAAGAAAGTGACTGAATACAGAGGGATTTCTCGAAAGAGATAAGTATTTTTTTTCACTTACCACGAGACGACCAGCAAAAGAGGACACGTCAGCACCATTCCCAATGGATAGCCGCAGCTGGCAATGGTGCTGAGGATACGTCAGCTGGTACTGACTCGGATCCCTCAGGATATTCACCAACGCTGCTGCTTCTGCATACATTTTCCTTACACTCGGACTGGCATTCTAGCAATGAGTACACTCACCACGAGACGACCAGCAAAGGACACTGCACCGGCACCGCATCGGCACGCATCGGCACCGCTTCCAACAGACAGCAGCCGCAGCTGGTACTGCCCTGGATTCTTGAGACGTCTCAACAGACAGCCGCCACAGCTGGTACTGGCCCGGATTCCTCAGTATATTCACCAGCGCTGCTGCTGTATGCTCTTCCTAACACTCGGATTTCGCATTCTAGCAATGTTTCACCAACGCTTCTGTACCTGTTTTCAAAGACCCGCACTGTGCATTGTAGCGGTAGTTACACTCACCACGAGACGACCAGCAAAGGACGCCACATCTGCACCAGTCCCAACAGAAAGACGCAGCTGATACTGGCCCGGATCCCTCAGGATATTCACCAGCGCTGCTCCTGGCACCGGCACAGCTCCCCATAACCACCCCGAACCCCTCCGCACCACGCCCTGTACTGCCCCCACCGCTCCACCCACTGCCCCCTGTGCTGCCCCTGCTGCTGCAGCTACAGGATTTGACACGGATCCAGACAAACCCCTGCGTGGTGCTTGTGTCCCTGGTGCTGTACTTGCTGCAGTTGCTCCCAAGCCTTCCCCTATCCCTGTTGCCCTGGCTGCTCCTGTTGCCCCTGCAGTGACTTGGGGTCCTGCTGTGGCACCTGAAGTAACACCTGGTTCTGTTGTTACACCCAGGCCTGCCATTACACCTGCAGCAGATGTTCCTAGCCCCCCCAATACACCAGCCACACCTGCTGCTGCTGCAGTTAAGGGATCAAGGGGAGAGGACGAGGAGGATGCTGACGTGGCACGTGTGGCAGAGGCAGCAGCAGGAGGGGTAGAGTTGGCAGTGATGCCCATGAGTGGAAGGACGAGACGAGGGGACGACGCTGTGTGGGGGTGGTGGGCAAAGAAGCGGGGAAAGGGAGGGTGTAAGTAGATGAGTTTGTGCTTGTACACATGTTTGCAGTGATGAGGAGTTGGCAGTGGTGCCCGTGAGGCGGAGGACGAGACGAGGGGATGATGCTGTGTGGGGAGGAGCAGGAAACGAAGGGGAAATTAGAGGTGGTCGGGAGGGGGGAGGAAGGGGGGGTGTTAGGTGAGTGAGCTCGTATTTGTGAGTGAGCGTGTATTTGTGCTGCGCGTATGCAAAAGAGTGGATGGATGAATGGGAGGATGTATGGAGGGAGTGGATGGGAAGAGACGGCGTCATTTCCGATGGTGTATATCCCCGCCTGCTCTCTCCACCCGTTTAGAATGCACATCAACTCACAGCACCGCACTGCACCCACAGCTACTCACCATTGAGCATATCGCCGACAGTGTATATCCCCGCCTGCACATTCTCCCCTGCCCCCTGCGCCCAGGGGAGGGCGAATGCGAGCGTCGCATTAGCCGCATTTACAAGCAGCGTGACCACTGATGCGCCGCCACTTGGCAGCGTCGATGCACCACTGAGACTACCAGGGGTAGCACCAGCGGCAATGGAGCCAGGAGTGAGAGTAGTTGTTGTGGGATTGAGAGCGGTGGAGGTGGGTGTGGTGGGAGTTGGGGAAGTGGAGGCGGGGAGGAGGATGGGGGTGAGGTTGGCTTGAAGGCCGCCAAGGAGGAGAGGCTGGAACGGTGAGAAGGTGGATGGGGAGGGAGGGGAGGAGGAGGGAGAGGAGGAAAAGGGAGGGGAGGAGGAGAGAGGTGGGCGGATTGGGGACGGCTGCTGACCGGGCGTTGGCTGTGCCTCTGCAAAGAAAGAAGGTGAGAATGGGATGACAAGGGGTAACAAGGTGTAGCAAGGGATGGATGACAAGGGGTGGCAGGGGATGACATGGAAGGGAAGGGGAAACGGGTGCAGAAAAGTTTGTTAGCGAAGGGGAAACGTGCATCCGCATTTTCTGGAATGCCAGAAAGGGGTGATCAAGAGGGAGAAGGAAACCGGAGCACAAGGAGTGGGGAACGGATGGTGGGTGGGGGGAGCAAGGAAGAAAGACGACGAAGAGGAGGAGATGAGGAAAAAACGGAGGAGGAGATGAAAAGAGACGAACTCAGCTCAAGAACAGACTCACCAGCAGCAGTGAATTGGAGGAGGAGGAGGGCCGCAGCAACGACCGTGAGGCGAATCAGTGAGGCTGGCGCCCCAGCAGGAGCAGCGGCATGGGACGATCTTCGAGGCGCATCACAAGCTGCACGGAATAGGGAGGGAGCGAAGCTCGGCGACGGCGACATGGTTGCCACCCACCCAAGGCGGACACGCGAAACCTGTTGATGGGAAACGGAGGTTGACTTCGGCGGGGAGTTTCTGAATAGCGGACGAGTCAAACCCCGCACTCGGCGAGAAATGGCTTGCTCCCCAACTGACGCACAGACGCCAAGCTCGAGAATGCTGCTCGATCTAGGTCTGAGTATGGTTTTTAATGGACTCAGCCTCAGCGTCTGATGCGCAGTCGCTGTCGCACGCTCGCCTTAAGCACTCGGCGAAAGAAGCCTGAGCCTGTGTTGTCTCCGCAGCGCACCTTGGGAGAAGCCTGCCCGCGATTCGACCTGCCACGCCACGTTCGCAGATGTTTCGAAGGTTCCTCAAGGGGATTGACGGTCAGGGGTGCAGCGACTTGACGTCCAGTCAGCGTGCAACTTGTCGGACCGACCGATTGGACTGTCACTCACGAGAGTGACAGGCACGACAGGCGCGACACTGGAGGCGCGAGAGGCGCGAGAGGCGACTGTTGTCACGAGTGAACCCCGACGTGGCTGCGAGTGACTGCTGCTGAGTCGACTCAACTGCGCAGAACCATTGACCGCTGCTGACGTGGCAGTGGCCGAAAGTGGGACTCTACGCAGCCCCTTGACGTAGTAACATCTACCGAGATTCCCTGACGCATTTTCTCGATTTCGACGCGAGGACGCGCGTGCTGCCCGACATACTGGGGGATAACATGGGAGAGGAGCGTGCGAGGAGCAGGGATGCACAAATGTGCTGGTTTAGCCGCCATAGCTGGTACTAGCTGTCAGGACCAGAAAGCCGGGAATTTCGAGGTGAATGTAAAGCAATCCAATGTTGGTGTGAACTTGTTTTGCGCGCGAGTCACCTTGGGAATTCACAATCTGCTACGCTCGTTACAAGCCACCCCGTTTCTTAGTTTGTCTCCTCGCCCTCAAACCACAAAACTGTCCCCGTAGCGCAATACCCGAGTGTGTTTCCCCTGCACATGGTGAGTAAATTATTGGTGAGGACAGTGATAAAATGTTTATGTGAAAGCACATTAATTTCGCTCCAATATGCGTCGCTGTTTAATATCCATAGTATATGATAAACAAAGCTACTAATTATCAGCCTAACGGTTGAGATTCATTCGAGAGTAAATTGAAAAGGGTGAAGAAGGATAGTGAAGTTAGCAATGTTCTAGGTGGCTTGTTGACAGCTGTTACGAGTGCAATTGAGTGAACGAACGAGAATTGCACTATCGAAGCAAGAGTACAATGAGCGAAGGCATGAGCGAAGAATATATAGCGAAACTACAGTGGTAACGGTAATGGTCGCGCGACGAGCCTGGGACTGAGGTTGGGAAAGTCTCGAAGCGTAGGCCCGGAGCGCGGGTTACCAGCCGAGCCGTGAGGTCGGGATGCGATGTGCGAAAAGGGCGGGATGATGAAATGATGCGATGGTCGCGAGTGGTAACGGTGCTGACTGAGGTGCTACAGTGATGTACGCGTTGAGCAGGGATGCGAAGTAAGGAAAAGGAATTTTCCTTACACTACCCCTCTCCCCAAGGAGGCCCCTCTTACGAGAGCGCATGGACGTCGCGGAAATTTCGGCTTCGCAGGTACTCGGTGAAGACAGGGTGGTTCTCGATTTTATCCAGGGAGACCCAGTTGTCTTCTGTGGGCGTTCGGTCCTTCCAGCGAATTAGGAACTCGATCCTTCGGGCTCCCCGAGGGTCCCGGACTCGGTGGCTGAGGATTTTTTCAGGGGTGATGATTGGTTCGGGTGGGGGGCGTGTCATGCTGGCTGGGCGATTTCGTGGCAGTTGGCTCGTGGATGGGATGTAAGGGCGAAGTAGGCTGACGTGGAATGACGGGCTGACGTACCAGTCAGCAGGGAGGAGGAGGTGGGCGGTGACGGGTGTGATCATGTGGCTGATGCGAAATGGCCCACAATATCGGGGGCGAAGTTTTGGAGTGATGGGCAGGCGGAGGTTCTGAGTATCGAGTAGAACGAGGTCGTCGGGCTGATAAGTAACGGGTCTGCGATGGCGATCGGCGTTGCGTTTAGCGATGATGTTTGATTTTTTTATTGCTTCTGCTGCCCTGGTCCGTGCTGCTTGCAGAATCTCGGCGAACTGTTGTGCTCGTGGGACGGGGTTGTCGGGATTCGGTGTTATGGGTACTGTTGGGTCCTGTCCGTAATTCAAGTAAAACGGCGACTGTTGCGTCGTGGCTGATGGTGCGTTATTGTATGCGAACTCGATGAGTGGCAGCTGCTGTTCCCACGTATTCGGATCGTCGCACGTGGCTCGAATCAGCTGCTCCATGGTCTGATTTGTCCGTTCCGTCTGTCCGTCGGTTTCGGGGTGATAGGATGAACTGAATTGTAAGCGCGTGCCGAACTGCTGCCACAGGTTCCGCCAGAAGTTGCTTGTAAATTTCGTGTCTCGGTCACTGATGATCGATGCGGGTATCCCGTGCAGTCGAACGACGGTGGTGATGAAGAGTCGGGCGGTTTCCTCGGCTGTGATTGATTTCCTGCATGCTGCGAAATGAGCCATCTTTGTTAGTCGATCGACGACGACCAGGATCGCGTCATTCCCACTCGCCCCAGCTGGTAACCCCGCGACGAAATCCATCGTCACCTGCTGCCAAGCACGCTCTGGGGGCGGGATGGGTTGTAATTGTCCCGCCGGTCGTTTCCTGCTTGACTTCATGAGCTGGCAAGTGGGGCACGATGCCACGTGTCGTTGCACATCGGTCAACATTTCTGGCCAGTAGTAGTACCGCTGCAGCTGCTGCCGTGTTTTTTCTACCCCGAAATGTCCCGAGGTAACTCCGTCGTGTGCTTCCTGTAACAGTAGTTCCCGTAGTAGCGTGTATCCTGGTACCCAGATGCGGTCGGTTCCAGCTTTTACGTAATAGACTCCTTTTGCCGCTGCGAATTGCTGTGAGTTGCCTCCTGTAAAGAACGGGTCTGTTTGATATCCGTGGGTAAATAGGCCTGTCAGTAGCTGGCTGGTCTGGGCGAGTAGTATTGCGTGGATCTGGGCAGTGGGGCGAGTCAGTGCGTCGGCGATATTCGAGGCTCCTTTTTTGTATGTGACCGTATAGTGAAAATTCGACTCGAGGAAATCGAGCCATCGAATTTGCCGTGGGTTGAGGTGGGGCTGTGCGCGGAGGTACTGTAGAGATCGATGGTCTATCCGTACTGTCACGTCTGCGCCGGTCAAGTAGCAGCGCCACACTTTGAACGCGTGCACGATCGCGAGCATTTCGCGGTCGTGTATCGGGTAATTTCGCTCAGGCGGATGTAGTTTGCGTGATTCGTAGGCGATGGGTTGGAGGCCGTCGCCGAAGTCCTGTAACAGTACAGCTCCGATGGCGATGTCACTTGCGTCGGTAACCACTTCGAAAGGGCGGTGGGGATCAGCGATGCGTAGAACGGGTGGTGAACAGAGAACGTTTTTCAGGGCAGAGAAGGCAGCATGCTCTTTCTCCCCCCACGTAAAAGCGACCCCCTTACGCATTAAATCAGTGAGTGGGGCTGTTAAACGTGCCATGTCGGGCACGAACCGTCTAACGTAATTAACAAACCCTAAAAAACTCCGTAGTTCCGTGATGTTCGTCGGGGGACGCCACGCCTTTACCGTATCCAGCTTCTTTGGGTCAATCTCAACCCCAGCCTCCGAAATAACGTGACCTAAAAACTCTAGCCTATCCTTAAAAAACTCGCACTTGGAGCCTTTGGTGAGTAGCCGATGTTCCTCTAAAACCTTAAAAACTGCTTCAAGATCTGCTAAGTGTTGCTGCTTATCCCGACTGTAAACGAGGATATCGTCGAGGTAAACTATCACGCATTTATCTAAAAGTGGCCTAAACGCCTCGTTCATGGTCATCTGAAAAGTCGCAGGCGCGTTCGTCAGCCCGAATGGCATTACTGTATACTCGAATGATCCGTACCTAGTCCTAAATGCTGTTTTGGCGCAGTCCGATGGTTCGACCCGAATCTGATGGTAACCTCCCCGTAAATCTATTTTCGAAAAGACTCGTGCTGTTCGTAGTTGGTCGATTAATTCATCGGCGCGGGGAATGGGGTATCGCGATTTGATTGTTACCCTGTTAAGCGCTCGGTAATCGATGCACATGCGGAACCCTCCGTCTTTTTTCGGTGTGAACAGTATCGGTGCGGCGAACTGTGACGAGCTCGGTCGGATAAACTGCTTCTCTAACAGGTAATCTAACTGCTTCCTTAACTCGTCGAGCTCGAGTTGTGTCAGTCGAAATTGCCGCTGTACAGTTGGCTGTGCCCCTGGTTCTAACTCGATCCTATGGTCGTGCGCCCGCTGAGGTGGCAGTCCCGGTGGTAAATCGTCCGGAAATATCTTTGGGAACCGTTTCAGTAGTGCCTGTAGTTCGGTCGGTACGGCTGCCAACAATTTCTCTAAATCACTCGGCTGCTCCTCTTTTTCTACTAGCGCGATGTCCACTGCGTACACGTCAGCTCCAGTAGCGACAGCCCGTTTCATTGTGACGGCGTTGACCTGGACCGTCGAAGATTTGGGTGGCTGCCAGCGAGGTAGAACGACCCAGTTACCACTACTTCGCACTATGCAGCTCCCCGTCGTCCAGTCGATCCGTGGTTTGTACCGTCGCAGCCAATCACGTCCTAATAAAATGTCGTGCCCATCCAGTGTCGTCGCGAGCATTTCCTGTGTAAACCCGAAGTTCCCCCCGCAGCGGACTTTTACTCGCTCCACCTTTTCCCGTATGGCCAGGGGCGTGCCGTCGACTAAGCGTGCATCTATCTCAGGTAAGCATCGGTTAAGTGTTAACTGTAATTTCCGTGCGGTTGCAGTATTAACTAATCTGTGGCTCGCTCCTCCGTCAATAAAGATCTTCACTGCTGCTCCCTGTATTTTCCCGTAGATCAGTACCGGGCAATCCGTCGCTGTACCCTCCTTATTCATCCGAGCCCGATCGATGGCGTGAATCGGTACTGTGACTCGGTGAGGGTCGGTGTGGTTGGGCGAGCAGGCAGTCTCGTCAGTAGTTTGCCCAACTTCTACTGACTGCTGGCGTTTCCCTGCCTCCGAGACTCCCTCCCCTGCTTTGCTCCTCGGCGCCTCAGCTCCTCTGGACATTCGCTCTTGCGATGGCCCGGCCGATTGCAAGCAAAGCAGCGCCCTCTAAACGGCGCGGCAGCTGCATTCGCTGCGACGGCATGTACAGTGGCGTGCTCGGTCGGTCCCCGAGGACGATGTCCGTAATAGGACCCCGGTCTCGGTCGGCGTAGGATATCGATTTTCTCGGCGAGCGCGAGGATCTCGTTGAAATTCGAGAGCCCGCGTAGCATTATCTCGTGCGAGATGTCCGGCTTCAGCCCTCCGACGTAACGGTCCACCCGCTCCGCCTCGTGCATGTAGCCGACCTGTTCGCAAAGTGCGAGAAAACCGCTGGTGTAGTCTTGAACTGACCCGAGCTGGCGCCAAGTGCGCAGTTTCTGACGCGCCGAAATCGAGGCCGCGATCGGCTCAAAACGCGCCCGAAGCCCTGCGCACCACGCATCCCACGTGCTGTATTGGGCGGTTTCGCAGAACGAACTCCAGGTAACAGCTGGACCCGAGGGCCCTTCCTCGTGCGACGGTGGCTCGTAGGCGCGCGGCGACGTCACAATGACTCGCCACCAGTCCATGGCGAGGCCCCTGAGTAATGAAACCGCATACCGGATCTTGGCGGCGTCCGACTCGACGTAGTTAGCGTCGAAAAACACATTCATCGTGAAGACCCACGATTGAACTATTGGGCCGCCGCGTTGGCTTGGGTCGAAGTAGGGCGGGCGTTGCGGCTTGAGTGGCATTGGGGCCATTATGGCGTTTTCACCACTTGTCGTCGCAAACTCCATGTGCCGACGGGCTTCTCGGGGCTCCCGTGGGCTTAGCGTGCTCCTGTTCCCTCCCATGCCGGGCATCGGTTGGGCTGCGCCGTCACTGGCTGCACCTGAGCGCTGTCCCGTGCTGTGGTGTTGTGTTGGTGTGCCGGATGAGATGAAAATTGGCTCCTCCGAATGTGCAGATGCATTGGTTGGTGCGTGGGATGTCGTCGGTGCATTCGCCGTTGACTGTTGACGGGCGGAGTCACGTTCCGCCGTCAGCGTCGCGATTTCAAGCGCCGAGTCCTCCAATTGTCGCACGAGACGATCGAGTTGTTCCTGCGTCAACGTAGCGAGATTGAAATCGGCCATGGCGGGGGTGTCGGGCAAGCTCAGCGAGAGCCTCGGTCGTGGCCGTGCGTGCTTTCGAGAGAGCACTACGAGCGGCGGTGCTGTGTCGCTGAGAGACGTCTACCCCCCCCAAAAATTGAGATAGTGGGAAGCGAAGGTGTGGATGCGGTCCGAGAAGAGATCGTAGGCTCTGATACCAAGTGTTACGAGTGCAATTGAGTGAACGAACGAGAATTGCACTATCGAAGCAAGAGTACAATGAGCGAAGGCATGAGCGAAGAATATATAGCGAAGCTACAGTGGTAACGGTAATGGTCGCGCGACGAGCTTGGGACTGAGGTTGGGAAAGTGTCGAAGCGTAGGCCCGGAGCGCGGGTTACCAGCCGAGCCGTGAGGTCGGGATGCGATGTGCGAAAAGGGCGGGATGATGAAATGATGCGATGGTCGCGAGTGGTAACGGTGCTGACTGAGGTGCTACAGTGATGTACGCGTTGAGCAGGGATGCGAAGTAAGGAAAAGGAATTTTCCTTACAACAGCTTGCAAGCGGATTGCTACAATCGAGATTGTTATAGAACGTTGCTCCTGGACATGCTGCCAAGGTTCAAGTTAGTGAAGAAGGCCGTCGATTGAGTACACATGGTAGCAATCGACGGCCACTAATATGCTACCTTGTGACTCGGCATATGCTGCTCAGCCTTGCCGATGTGGTAGGTGCGACCCACGTGTTACCAGGCTCAGCTTCCTGGGCTTCACTCCAAGCCCAGAGCAGGCCTGTCTTGCCCCAGCAGCAGCCAAACCCCGCTGAGTCATCATGTCGGGCAGCCAGCAGACCAACCAGCTCACGTCACGATGGCGGGTCACGGTTGGTTCGCCGTGTGACCACAATTAAAATGTGGTTCTGGAGGCCGAGCCGTGCCTAGGCGTCTCGATTCGGTGCATTCTTTCGAAGCGCATCTTGGGAATGGGTACGGAGAACGCGACCCGAAACACAAACACCATCCCATACAGCTCATTTGGTGAGTAAAAATACCTCAGTCGAATGAACCTTGCAGAACTTACCTTGGTTGGTTGAAAACTTCATCTTGGCTGGTAGTGGCTCAGATGGTAATGGGGCACGCGTATCCCTAAAATTGACGGCGTGAGCCACGAGACCACAGACAAGAAACAGAGAACCTGCCCACTCCCACTTCATCTTCCCTATGTGCGTCTCTCTTCTAAGCATTCCTCGACTTTCTCTCGTGACTCGTCGCTGTAGCATCCGCGCCCCTCGATGTCGTTCCCTTCCGGTTCCTCCGCCAGCGCCTTTCGGCTGCGGGCTTTGTGTTGGCGCTCCAAGCACAGAACCAGCAACCCTAAGATCAGAAGCCAGGGAGGGGCCAGGCGGGACGCTACGGAATCCCTAGGTCGTCGTTCCTTGGTCGTTGGGTCAATGAGTCAGTCGCTTGCGATGAGTCATCGCCCGACCATCCATTTCCCGCGCTTTCCGCAGTGAGCTGGAGCGGCTCGCACGGCCTACACGCATGTTCCTCTGAGGTTACCACACCCAAAATCTCCAATTAATTTCTTTCGACGCGCTTCCACTACACAACGTCCTTTCCTCTTCTCACCTTCCGCTGACTGGGCAGGATCAGAAGAAGCCTCCGGGCCGGGGGTACCTAGTAGGTTCGCGTCCTTTGATCATCAAAGCCTCAGAGGGCGTCCCCCTGCAGTGTACGCACCGTCCGAGGGAGCAGGAGCGCCGCATCCCGCACATCCGTCTCTGTCCGCTCTCCGCCGCCCCTTTCGACACCGCCGCGAAACCCTGACCTGCCAACAGCAATAACCCTGACCTGTGGTGCCATGGCAAGGTAAACCGAGCAGCAGCGGTCCCCCAACTTCTACTACAGAGTCGCTAAGCCAGCCGCGAAGCGCGGCCGGCGTTAGGAGGGAAACTTCAGGCCTTAGGTTTCCTCAAAATCACTCATCCCTTGGAAATACCGAGTATCGGCCACCCATTTACTTCTCGAGAGGAGGAGCAGGGGATGCACTGACTGATGCACTGATGCACACACACCGACTCGTTGAATCCGATATTCCGTGACGCAGGGAGCAGCGAAGCAAGAGCCGCTAGGACTAGTTGTGTCACTCATCGACGGATTACTCGCCACTGGGAGAGCAACAGCCGCAAGCAAGCCATTGGTCAGTTTTTGCCGACATCTGTTTTCCCTCCCTGTGCGAATATTCCGCCCAACGGCGCACCCTTTCGATCAGAATCGTTCGCTGCATCTGGAGGCGAGATCGTGGGATGAACGAGCTCAGGTAGTAGCGTTGATCAGCCGAGTCGCGGCCTCTCGGGAGCGGAATACCCATAGCCTATCATTGATTCGTTAGGAGGAAATATTCGATTACTACAAGTCTCGTCGTGTCAGTTATCTGCATCGATCGAACGCGTTCGTCAGAAAAAGGAGATATTACAGCCGTGACGGTGACTGCTTGAACTATAAGACAGAGTCTGTCGAACGACGGCGTACTAAGCTTTGTTGAAAGGCAAGTCAAGAAGCAAACAGTTCTGGTGGTGCTCTTACGCCTCGTGCCGACGCGTACAGACGGGAGTACTATTAGAGACAGCGATCTACAGAAGCATCAGTGCACCCACCGACTGTTGCGACTCGATGCTGCCATGGCTGCCACCGCACGACCAATAGTAGACGTTGGCGCTGGCGCCTTCACTACCGCTCGTGACGACGGAAGCAACGAGTTTGCAGACATGATGCACGGCACCAAGCAGACGGTTTTGGAGCCGCATCGTTTTGAAAATCTGGCCAGGGTCCTCCGCCCCCTCCCTCTCCGCCGCCTCCCCCTCTCGCTAACTCACGGCCTGTCACTGCCAGCAGCGCCAATCACGGCAGCAGCAGCATCACCAGCAGCAGCAGCGCCTCTAGGCCTCGCTCTGTCTCTCAATATTCCCTCGCCGTCCACCCTCCCTTCCCCCCTCCCGTCCGCCCTCTCCTCCTCCTCCTCCGCACCTCAGCTGCGCCTGCTCTGCATCCCGTCCCCACTTCCCGGCGCCTCTGCTTCCGCAGCTGCGGCATCCGCCGAGGCAACAGCGGAGGCTGCGGCGGCAGCGGCGGCGGGGGCTGGGGCGGCGGCGGCGGCGGAGGCGAGCTCGAGCTTCTCCTTATCTCTCTCGCTGTCCCTCGACCGTCCGATTCGGAGCGCGACCGCGGCGGCAGACGCTACTACCAGTATCACAGCTAGTGACGGCTCGGCTATCGCGCTGACGCTTGGATTAGGGGTTACTACGGGCGGGAAGCGAAGACGGGCCACGTCGGATTCGATTCGCGACGACGATGTTACCCGGTGCGGCTGGCAACTCCCAGGCTTGACGAGGATGTCTATATCGGGGAATGATGACGTCATAACGATGACAGAGCGGAGCGGGGACAGTCCAATGGGGATGGCGAATCCGCCGGTGGCTGTCAGAGGCAGTGGCGCGTGGACCAAGTGGAGTGTAACTCAGCATGACGTGTTTCGGTCCGACGCTGACGTGGCTGGCTATGGCGCTGACAGAGGCTGCGGCATGCTGACGCCACAGCTGAGATTGACCAGCGAATCAGGAGAAGGCGAAGGAGTTGGGAATAAGCGATACGAGATCGCAGAACGGCCACAAGTGACGCTGGCGCTATTGGGTGAGGGAGACTGGTCGAAGCGGAGACGGGTGGAGGAGATGACGTGTCATCACGGTGAAGAAGCGCGTTCAAGTTTTGACTTTTGGAGAAACGAGACACTTGTTGTCGAAGAGCCTCTTAACGAGTCCCTTATTGGGGAACCTTCCGGGCCGCATCATTTCAAGTCGAATTCAGTGGTCAGCGAAAGCGGCTCGAGCCGCTCACCCGACTCGCCACGTGAGCCGCTTGTCCTATTCGGAAGACCGTTAAATGCAACGGACGACACGGGCCATGCAATGGGTGCCACAGCAACCGACGCTGCCGCTTCTCCTGCTTTTGCCAGCGTCACAACCCCGTCCACTCCTGCTTCTGCTGGCTGCACTCGCTCGTGCGGGCCTGACGTGGCCGCTGACGTGTCAGACGCTGAGGTGACAGCGAGGAAGAGCGAGCCGGCTGCGACAGCTGCGGCTGTTCTCGATTTCCCAGCAGCACCTGAATCAATGGCTGGAGCAGCAGCAGCAGCCGAGGAGAATCACGCCGTTAATCGTCGAACCAGCTCGAATCTGCGCGTCGGCAGCGCACCCGGCGACGGCGCAGTGCGCGGGATCGGCAAGCTAGGGCGGCGCTTCCGCGGGATCCGCCAGCGCCTGTGGGGGCGGTGGGCGGCGGAGGTGCGCGACCCGTTCGCGCGGCGCCGCCTGTGGCTGGGGAGTTTCGACTCCGCGGAGGAGGCGGCACGCGCGTACGACGTCGCGACGCGGCGATTAAGAGGCCCCTGGGCTAAGACTAACTTCCCGCTGGACCCGCGCGACCCGGAGGATAAGGAGCAGCTTGCGCGGATGGCGGTGGCGGTCGCGGCGTGCGCCAAGGGGCGGTACCGCACGAAGCTGGCGGCGTGGCGGAAGCTGTGCGGGCCGGTAGAGGTGGCGGGGGTGGTGGTGACTGGCGGAGATGCGGAGGAGCGCGCTGAGGTCGGGGGGGACGCGGAGGGGGAGTTGGAAGGGAGGGCGGAAGAGGGGGGAATGGCGGGAGAAGAAGCGGAGGAGGAGGTGGTTGGTGGCGCGGTGGTGGCGGAGAGGAGAGAGGCGGAAGGGGAGGGGAGAGGGATGGAGGGGGAGGACGAGGAAGAGCGGAAAGAAGAGGATGAGGAGGAAAAAAGAGAGGACATTTCTGCTGGTGATGAGGGTATTAGCAGCACTACCAGCAGCACTACCACCACTAGCACCCGTGAGATGGCTGACGTGGATGTCATGGAAGTAACGCCTGCGGGTGAGGCTCCTGCCAGCTCAGCGCTTGCCAGGTCAGCTCCTGCCAGCTCAGCTCCGGAGTCTGATGCTGCAAGGACAAAAGATGATGATGGTAAGGATTCGGCTACCAATGACGGTCATGTCAACGCCATGGATCTGGTCGCTATAAGCACGGTCTCGACCAATGAGGAATCTCCATCTGTCCCTGCACAAAAACTTGCCGACTCTACTGTGCCTGCAGATGTACCTGCAGGTGTACCTTCACCGGTTACAGCTTCAGCATCGTTGGCTATGTCACCACCTCCAGCTGCTCGTGCCGTGACCTCACCATCAACGCAGAAACCAGTGTCGCCACCACCAGTGGCAGCACCACCAGCAGCAGCAGCAGCAGCAGCAGCACCACCACCACCACCAGCAGCACCAGTGGCAGCAACACCAGCAACAGCAGCAGCAGCTGCTGTGGCGTCAGATTCCGTCCCTGTTTACGAGTCTGCCCCAGCTCCAATCTCTGCTCATGACCCTGCATTTGTGGCCGCCCCTCCCTCTGCCCCCGCCGCTGCTCCAGCTGCCTCGGCTGCTGCACGACCCGGCTTCACCCAGCTTCAGCTCCCACTGCAGCAGCAGCAGCAGCGCCAGCAGCATCAGCAGCCGCAGCCGCAGCAACAGCAGCAGCAGCTGCAGCAGCAACAACAACAACAACAACGCCAGCAGCAGCAGCAGCAGCAGCAACAGCAACAGCAACAGCAACAGCAACAGCAGCAGCAGCGGCAGCACCAGCAATACACAGTCCCCCACAGTTTACCTCACCACCACATGCCCTTCCCTCACCCTCCTCCACCATCAGCCTATCATTCTCCGACACCTGGCATCACGTACCGACCTATGGTGGTGATGGTACCAATGGCCATGGCACCTCCCCCTCCTCCCCCTCCCCCTCCTCCAATGGTTGTAGCGCCCGCTTTCCCACCTCCGCCTGCAATCCCTATGACTGGAACACCCCTATCTGCTCCCCATCCTCCCCATCCTCCCGCTCCTCCCCCTCCTCCTCCTCCTCCATTTCCCATGCCTGCATCAGCATTGGCGCCCTACCCCCCCACCTCCTACGGCCAGCATAGCCAGCACCAGTATCATCAATACCAGCACAACCAGCATTATCACCAGCAGCTTCTGCAGCAGCAGCAGCAGCAGCACCAGCAGCATCAACAGCCGAAGCAGCATCTGTTACATGTGGCTCCAGTTCAGCTTGCTCCAGCAGCAGCAGCAGCTGTAGCATCCGCAGCAGCCTCAGCTGCAACCTGCCTTGACACTTCATCCACTGTTCTTAACTCAGTCCCCCTACATCTCAGCTCATCCTCCTCAGTGCAGTCCCAGCTATTTAGAGGCGTGCGCCAGCGGCCTTCAGGGAAATGGGCCGCGGAGGCTCGGGATCCGACCACGAAGCGCCGGCTGTGGCTCGGGAGCTTTGACACGGCTGAAGAGGCAGCCCGAGCTTATGATGCTGCTGCACGGAAGATGAGAGGTGATGGTGCCAGGTGTAATTTCCCTACAAAGCAATAAGATTACGGTACATACCCTGCCATTCCCCTGCTACGAGTAGGACTGTACAACTCAGTGCATGTACATAAGGATGAGCATAGTTTCCCGAATTCAAGTGTCCAAATAATGGGAGTTCAACTCTACGTTTGCAGTTGATCTTCAGTGGCTCAGGGCGGTTCTATGTGGTACTGGTACGAACGTACACTAAAACTTTCTTGACCTTCTCCGTAACCTCCTAACATAGACCGTGCGCAAGGTCGACCTCAGGACCGTTCTTACAAAGATTGCCTTCACACGAGGATCATGTTTTAAACCAGCTACGGTAGGCCCAAGAGAGAATTCCAACAGTGTAGTTTCCATTGCAAGTACCGATACATATTCCACACATGTAACTAAAAACAAGGCGGGAAAGGTCTGGAAAGCGCACAAGCGCAGAGCCGGGACGTCAATAAAATACCTGCGTTTCAGAGAAAGAAGCTGTTAGCCACTAATGCTCCAAACAAATCATCCAACATAAAACTGCGCCAGAATTGCTAACGATGTCAGCAGAATTAAGTAGCAACCCTGGGATAGAACACCAGGACCGCGTCGCGTCTGCCTACTATCTTGGCAAGGATTCGAAGAGTCAAATCCATTAATAGAGGATTGGACCTAGATACCACTTGCCAGAATTTCTGGCCAAAACCTAGAAGAGCAGGCAACAAGCACTAACCTGGAAAATGGCTGCAGCTGGCTTTCGTAGACCGTCTCCCACCTGTACGCAAAATACACAAAAGGAGGAAAAACGGTTCAGACGAAGAGAAAAAAGAAACGTTGTACATGTGACTCGCATGGTCTGTCCAAAAACGTAATTGCAGCGAAGCCGCTCGTTATGGCGATGGAATATGCGAAATTCGAGCCGGGAGAAAGCACGAGCCCGAGGCTCGAACCCGTGAAGGAACGAGCCGTCAAGGCTCGAGCGATCTACAACCGGTCGAATCAGTCTATGACGTTTGTGCTGGATTCTGAGGCACGGTGAGAGCCACTCCAGAGGCACGGAGGAGAGCGACAGGCTAGTCGCTCAGCTCCCGTCAATTGTGGTAGCGGCCGAGGATGCCGAGCAGATTAATAAGGCAGGAACCAGAAGGTGTAAGACCCACCTCGAAATAGACGCGATGCTTGCAGCTGATCGAACAATGGCGATCCAATCCAGACGCTGGTCTCCTGAACCTGAACACTAGCTGCTTCAACTTACAACTCTCTGGCTATTTATGCTCCTAACCAACTTCGAGCTGCTCTGGAGGGCCCTGCTCTCACTAGCTGCTTTAGAGGGCCCTGCTCAGCAAAATATAGCTGTTGGAATGTGTGATGTGAAACCATGAAAACCCCGAGGGGGGAGGGCCACGTGAGGGCTTTTCGCGCTGCTACTTTCCGTTCATTGTGGTCCGTCCTTTCCATCACCCAAAGCGCCAAAAATCACTTGCCCTCGTGATTGGAGAGGTGACACGAGTGTGTAATCAGCGACACCAACAAATGTAACCAGCGCCTACGTAGCAATATGACAGTTTTGGGAGGCGAAGAAACGCGCACTAGATTGCGGCGGACATTTTGCAGCAAGGATGGTGGTCTGCCACCCCAAACTTGATAACGAACCGCAAGACGTCATAACATAGAAACCGCCTACATGAACACAAAATTCAACGCACAAAGTTGAATTCATATGAGACATTCTTGTGTACATGTAAGGATTTTTCTCGATATTCCTTAGCGCGCCCTGCAACATCGCGTACAGCAGCAGCCGTTGTTTGCCCGTTACTGCTAACGTGGCTTCGCCGACTTCGCGCGCACTGTTTCACCAAACCTCGCACTGCTGGCCTGGCCATGTCGGCCTACGCTTTAGGACTAGCCCGAGCCTCGCTTCCAGCATAGCACTAGCTAGCTCGCACGCACCGCGTTACCGTTTGCATGTTTCGCATATAATTATTCGCTAATGCCTTCGCTCACATTTTGTACTCGTTTTTACACCTTAGTGCAATTCTCGCTACTTCGATTCATTGCACCCGTAACACTTGGTCTCAGAGCCTCTTTCCTTTTTCGAACCGCGCATCTCCGCACCCGAGGAAATCAACATTTGATTTTTCACTCGAAGGGACTCACGCACCTTACCACCTATGAGCCGCTATCCTCGCGTTCTCTCGTAAACGCGTGCAGCCACGACTGCACCTAGACTACGACGAGCCAACGCCCTTCGGAATGGCAGAGCATCTTGACGCCACTAACCTCACGCAGGACCGCCTGGACGAGCTGCTGCGACAACTACACGAAAACTCCGAAGATATCGCGGCATTAACGGCGGAACGTACCTCCCTGCAAAATGACCTCGCACAAGCACAATCCCAGGCACCTGGCACTCCGATTCAGCCCGCACCACATACATCGCAACACGGAAATGTGGGGCAACCCGCAAGCGCCGCAAGTGATGGCGTCATCCGCCATGACGAAGACGACGACCACGGCACGACACACCCCGATGCGACGAATGCGGCCAGGAATTAGCCTCGAGTCACGATTTCAGCGCCGATGCCGATGAAGCCGCAGCGTCCGCCATGCTTTGACCCGAGTCAGCGGGGGGGTCCTACCGTTCAATCGTGGCTTTTCACGTTGAACGTCTTCTTCGATGCGAACTACGTCTCGGAGGATACGGCGAAGATTCGTTACGCCGTGTCGTTGCTGCGAGGACCCGCCATGGACTGGTGGCGTGTCATTGTCACGAAGCTGGTGGACTACGCGACTCTACCAACACGGGAAGGACAAACCGGACCCTGGGCGCCGTCGTATTTCGTGGAGATGCCCCAGTATCACACGTGGGATGCGCGGTGCGCAGGTCTGCGCGCTCGTTTCGAGCCAATTGCGGCTTCGATCACGGCGCGACAAAGGCTTCGCACTTGGCGCCAACTCGGTCCCGTCCAAGACTACATGAGCGGGTTTCTGGCGCTATGCGAGCAAGTGGGTTATGTGCACGAGAGCGAACACATCGACCGCTACATTGGCGGCCTGAAGCAGGACATCGCTCAGGAAACCCAGCTTCATGGTGTCACCGATTTTCAGGAGATTCTCGCCATGGCGGAGAAACTCGATTTCTTCTGCCGACCGAGACCGGGGTCCTACGGAAGCAGCAATTGGGGACACCGGCCTCGTGGGACGAACGAAAGCGCTACGATACGTGTCGTCGCCGCAAATGCCGCTGCCGCACCGTTCAAAGGGCGCTGCTTTGCGTGCAATCGGCCGGGACACCACAAGAGCGAATGCCCAGAAAAAGCTAAGGGAAAGGGGGAAGCTGAGCAGCAGAAACAGACCAAGCAGTAGGGAAACGCTGGGAGTCAGTAGCAGACGGGCCCTCTACTGACAGGTCACGCCGCTCGCCCGACCCAAGCGACCCTCACCAAGTGATTGTGCCGGTTCACGCAATCGACCACACCCGGCCGAATAAGGAGGGGACTACGGTAGACAGCCCTATACTGCTTAGTGGGAAAATCGAAACGGACTTAGTTCAAATCTTTGTAGACGAAGGGGCCAGCCACAGCCTCATCAACACTGCCACAACACGAAAACTGCGAATGCCACTGGACAGATGTTTACCTGAGATCGACGCAAGACTGGTCGACGGCACGCCACTGGCGATACGGGAACATGTGGACCGAGATCGGATTCGATGCGGGGGTAACTTCACATTTAGCCAGGAAATGCTCGCAACGACCCTCGACGGAACCGATATTTTACTCGGGCGTGATTGGCTGCGACAACACAATCCGCGAATCGACTGGACGACGGGTGACTGCACTGTACGAGTGAACGGTAACAACATCGCCTTACCTCGCTGGGGCTCGCCTGAGTCTTTGTCGGTGCGTGTCAACGCGATCACGATGAAACGCGCCGTAGCGGCAGGAGCTGATGTGTACGCGGTCGGCATTCGGGAAGCCGAGACGGCAGACAAAGGAGGGGATTTACAGAAGCTGCTAGCCGACGTACCGAGTGATTTGGCAGCACTGTTAAAGCAGTACAGTGACATCTTCCCGGACGACCTACCGACGAGACTGCCACCTCAGCGACCGCACGACCACAGGATAGAACTAGAAGCGGGGGCAAAACCGAGAGTACAGCGACAGTTCTGACTGACCCAACCCGAACTGGACGAACAGAGGAAGCAGCTGGATTACCTGCTCGAGAAGGAGTTCATTCGCCCTAGTTCGTCGCCCTTCGCATCACCGATACTGGTCACACCGAAAAAAGACGGGGGTTTTCGCATGTGCATAGACTACAGAGCACTGAACAGGGTTACCATAAAATCCCATTACCCCATCCTATGAGCCCACAAACTGATCGACCAACTGCACACAGCCCGGGTTTTCTCAAAAATCGACCTTCGAGGAGGTTACCACCAGATTCGCGTCAGCCCACCCGACTGCCCTTAGACAGCCTTCCGAACACGCTACGGATCCTTCGAATACACCGTCATGCCCCTCGGACTGACCAACGCCCCCGCGCTTTTCAAATGACCATGAACGAAGCCTTCCGCCCGCTTTTAGACAAGTGCGTCATCGTGGACCTTGACGACATACTGATTTACAGCCCTGACAGAGCACAACACTTACAGGATATCGAAGCAGTTTTTAAGATACCGAGTGAGAACCGCCAACTGACAAAAGCGTCTAAGTGTGAGTTTTTACAGGACCGGTTGCAAAGTTTTTTGGGGTTTGTCAACTACGTGCGCCGGTTCGTCCCCGACATGGCAAAGCTGACCGCCCCGTTGACCGACCTGCTGAGGAAGGGGGTTGAGTACACGTGGGGGGAGAAAGAGCAAGCTGCCTTCTCGGCCCTCAAAAATATGTTGTGCTCACCGCCCGTACTTCACATCGCAGATCCGCACCGTCCGTTCGAGCTCGTCACCGACGCTAGCGACATCGCTGTGGGAGGAGTACTGTTGCAGGACTTCGGGAACGGCCTCCAGCCAATCGCGTACGAGTCCCGCAAGCTTCACCCGCCCGAACGCAACTATCCGATACACGACCGCGAAATGTTGGCGATCGTGCACGCGTTCAAGGTGTGGCGATGTTACCTCACGGGAGCAGACGTGACAGTACGGACAGACCACCGATCCCTACAGAACCTTCGCGCCCAACCGAATCTCAACCCACGGCAGATCCGCTGGTTGGACTATCTGGAGTCCAACTTCCACTACACGGTCACGTACAAAAAAGGCGCATCCAACATCGCCGACGCACTCACACGTCCCACTGCCCAACTCCACGCCATCCTACTCGCCCAAACCAACCCACTGTTAACAGACCTATTCACCCACGGATACAGTACTGACCCATTTTTCACGACCGGAAATTCACAACAACTGGCAGAGGCCAGAGGAGTCTATTACGTAAAAACAGGCACCAACCACATCTGGGTACCCGCGTACTCGCTACTGAGGGAACTGCTGCAGGAGGCGCACGACGGGATTACCTCGGGACAATTCGGGGTAGAAAAAACGCGACAGCAACTGCAGCGGTATTACTACTGGCCGGAGCTGTTGACCGACGTACAGCACCACGTGGGCTCGTGTCCTACGTGTCAGGTGATGAAGAGCTCGCGAAAAAGAAAGGCGGATCAGTTGCAGCCGATTCCACCGCCTGAGCGCGCCTGGCAACAGGTTACCATGGATTTCGTCACAGGGTTACCTTCGAACCCTGGGGGTAACGACGCGGTTATGGTCGTCGTTGACAGGTTGACGAAGATGACACACTTCGCTGCCTGCAAGAAATTGATCTCAGCCGAACAAACCGCTCGCCTGTTCATCGCGGCCGTCGTTTGACTGCACGGGATACCAGCCGCGATAATCAGCGACCGCGACACGAAGTTTACCAGCAACTTCTGGAAAAACCTCTGGGATCAGTTCGGGACAAGGCTACAGTTCAGCTCGTCGTACCACCCTGAGACCGACGGTCAAACGGAGCGGACGAATCAGACGATGGAGCAATTGATTCGTGCCACGTGCGACGACCCGACCACTTGGGAGCACCAGCTGCCGCTGATCGAGTTCGCGTATAACAACGCCACGTTAGCGACGACGCAGTAGTCCCTCTTCTACCTGAACTACGGGCCAAACCCTACAGTGCCCATGACGCCGAGTCCGGACAACCCAACACCACGTGCACAGCAATTCGCCAAAATTCTGCAAGCTGCCCGCACCAAAGCCGATGAAGCAATTAAAAAATCCAACGCCATCGCTAAACGCAACGCTGACCGCCACCGCCGCCCAGTCACGTACCAGTGAGGAGACTACGTACTACTCGACACACAAAACTTAAGACTGGCCGTCGTACCGATATTACGACCCCGCTACTGTGGACCATTCCAAATCAGCCACATGATTACCCCAGTGAAAGCTCACCTACTGTTGCCGACGGACTGGTACATCAGCCCTTCGTTCCACGTCAGCCTGCTTCGCCCATACATCCCAACCACAAGCCAACTGCCTCGTCACCGCCCGCCATCCATGACTCGCCCTGCATCGGAGCCGATCATCGAACCCGAAAAAATCCTGAGCCATCGGATTCGACACCCCACGGGAATCAGGAGGATTGAATTCTTCGTTCACTGGAAGGATCGCACGCCAACTGAAGATAGCTGGGTGCCCCTGGCCAACATCGAAAACCATTTTGCCCTGCAAGTGTACCTGCGGAGCCGGGGTTTCCGCGACATACACGCACTCGCGTAGCGGAGAGGGCTTCTTGAGGGGGGGGGGGGGTAGTGTAAGGAATTTTCTGGATATTCCTTAGCGCGCCCTGCAACATCGCGTACAGCAGCAGCCGTTGTTCGCCCGTTACTGCTAACGGGGCTTCGCCGACTTCGCGCGCACTGTTTCACCAAACCTCGCACTGCTGGCCTGGCCGTGTCGGCCTACGCTTCGGGACTAGCCCGAGCCTCGCTTCCAGCATAGCACTAGCTAGCTCGCACGCACCCCGTTACCGTTTGCATGTTTCGCGTATAAATGTTCGCTCATGCCTTCGCTCACATTTTGTACTCGTTTGACACCTTAGTGCAATTCTCGCTACTTAGATTCATTGCACCCGTAACAGTACCCCATCCAAAGCTACAGAACCATTGTGTGATGATCAAACACACTGAAATCAATCAAGGCAATGACCACTTTACATTATGGCATGCTGCTGACAATATATCATGTTTTTTAAAATGTCAATTCGTGTTGCACTGAAAATTTCCATACCTTCCCCTCCTTTTGCTGCACCAGTTACTGCTGCTGCTGCTGCTGCGCCATCTGTGCCTGCCTTGCCTGTGGATCAGCCTTCATGGGCGGCAGCTTGTCACAGTTCCCACCAATCACAAACGACCCCGTGGGCCGCTTCGCCACATAATGTGCAGTGGTGGAGTCAAATGCGTCTGTGGGCTCACACGGGTTCTGCTCCCTTGTCCACATCTTGCACGCACCTGTGGAAGAAGAATTGGGGTATTGAGCATGGGTGTGTGGGTGTGTGGGTGTGTGGGTGAGTGGATAGGGGAGGGTGGGCAGTCCCCTTGAGCCGCAGTGTGCAGTGGTGAAGCCAACGGCATGTGTTGACATGGGTTCTGCTCCCTCGTCCACATCTTCCTTGCCCCTGTTGCAAAAGGTAGTGAGCAGGAGGGGTTTGGATGATTGAGGAGGGGCTTAGGAGAAGACAGAGCAGGAAAAGCTGCCATATGGCCAATGTAAACTGCTGTTTAGGAGGGGGGGTGGAGAGGACGGGTGGTCAGGCCGGGGGGGGGGGGGGAGAGTGGGGGAATCTCGGCCACATACTGTGCAGTGGTGGAGTCAAAAGCATCAGTGTGAAATCCAGAAGGCACACCGGGGGGTCCTGCGGCACTCAACATCATCTCACCTAGCTGCTTGAGACGCCCCAGCCGACAAGCAAGCAAGCATGCGTGCATGCGCTAACAACTGTACTCTTCGCCCCACTCACCTCGCTTGGACCGCATGTTGTACATCCAGAAGGCACACCCGGGAGTGCTCCGGCACTTCAAGGCGCGATGAGCTTAAAGGCTGCAATCCCAACCACAGCGCCCCACTCACCTCGCTTGGACTGCATGTTGTACATCCAGAAGGCACACCCGGGAGTTCTCCGGCACATCAAGGCGCGATGAGCTTAAAGGCTGCAATCCCAACCACAGCGCCCCACTCACCTCGCTTGGACTGCATGTTGTACATCCAGAAGGCACACCCGGGAGTGCTCCGGCACATCAAGGCGCGATGAGCTTAAAGGCTGCAATCCCAACCAAAGCCCCACTCACCTCGCTTGGACTGCATGTTGTACATCCAGAAGGCACACCCGGGAGTGCTCCGGCACATCAAGGCGCGATGAGCTTAAAGGCTGCAATCCCAACCACAGCGCCCCACTCACCTCGCTTGGACTGCATGTTGTACATCCAGAAGGCACACCCGGGAGTTCTCCGGCACATCAAGGCGCGATGAGCTTAAAGGCTGCAATCCCAACCAAAGCCCCACTCACCTCGCTTGGACTGCATGTTGTACATCCAGAAGGCACACCCGGGAGTCGCACACATCACCTCACCTTGCTGCTTTATACACCCAAGCATGCAAGCGAGCATGCAAACACCTAGAATCTGTAGGTTTCAACCCCCGCACCTCGTTTGGACCGCATGTTGTACATCCAGAAGGCACACCCGGGGGTTCTCCGGCACAGCAGGTAGCACGTGTGCGGGCGGGCGGGGCCGATGCCTGTGTAGGTGAAGTTGAAGTGGCCCTTGCCCTCGTGGTCAAACATGTACCCACGCGTTACCGTGTTGCACGTGAGCTTGGGACACTCGTTGGTTTGCACTGGGAGGGAGTGGGGAGAACAGTGGGGTACAGAGACAACTCGATGAGTGTGAGTGAGGGCGGGTGGGAGGGAGTAGCAAAACCCCTGTGTAGGTGAAGTTGAGTGGCACCTGCCCTCGTGGTCAAACATGTACCCACGTGTTACCATGTTACACGTTAGCTTGGGACACTTGTTGGTTTGCACTGCAAGGGAGTGAGTGGGAGCGAGGAGAAGGAAGGGAAAGAGGAGCTGGAAAGGGGGAGGGGAAGGGGAAGGGGAAGGGGAAGGGGAAGGGGAAGGGGAAGGGGAAGGGGAAGGGGAAGGGGAAGGGGAAGGGGAAGGGGAAGGGGAAGGGGAAGGGGAAGGGGATGGGGCAGGGGCAGGGGAAGGGGAAGGGGAAGGGGAAGGGGCAGGGTGATTTCCTCCTCCTCCTCCTCCTCCTCCTCCTCCTCCTCCTCCTCCTCCTCCTCCTCCTCCTCCTCCTCCTCCTCCTCCTCCTCCTCCAGTGGTGGCAGGGGGGGGATCTTATGTTGCGCCTAGTAAGGGGCATTCCTCTTGGTTTGTTTTCTTACTGCAAGCAAGCAGGCATCAGGGTGCACACAAGCACACAAGCACACAAGCACACACGCACGCAAGCAAGCAAGCACACAAGCACACAAGCACACAAGTACGCAAGCACACAAGCACACAAGCACACACGCACACAAGCACACACGCACACACGCACACACGCACACACACACGCAAGCAAGCAAGCCACAAGCACACAAGCACACAAGCACAAAAGCAAGCAAGCAAACTCACAGGCACCATCTTCCTCTGCCATCCGCTTCAACTCCTCCTCCTCCTCCGGTGGTGGCGGGGGCGGCGGGGGAGCATTCCTCTTCCTCCGCTTCTCCTCCAGAGTCTCCACCACACGGCAGTACCCCCCCACCACGTACTGGTTGCGCACCAGCCACCGCTGCGCGAAGTGTGCTGCTCTTCCCAGCAGGACCCACCCTCTGGCTTCACATGGATTCTGATCCGACGCCCACAGCTTGCAGTAACCTGGGAGGAAGTGGGAGAAGGGAAGTGGGTTGCTTGAGAGGGGCATGGCAGTACCCCCCCACCACATACTGGTTGCGCACCAGCCACCGCTGCGCAAAATGGGATGCTCTTCCGAGGAGTACCCACCCTCTTGCCTCGCAGGGGTTTTGGTCTGACGCCCACAGCTTGCAATAGCCTGGGGAACCAGGAAACAGCAGGAGGAAATGGGTGTGAAGGGTTCAGCAGTAACCCACCGCTGCGCGAAGTGTGCTGCCCGGCCTAACAACACCCAGCCCTTCGCCTCGCATGGGTTCTGATCTGACGCCCACAGTTTGCAATACCCTGGGAGGAAGTGGGAGAAGGGAAGTGCGTGGCTTGGGAGGAGCATGGCAGTTTCCCCCCATGCACTTCCCAGTGGGAAGTGGGAGGGTGGGTGGGAGGGTGGGTACATACTGGTTGCGTTGCGCGCAGCCACCGCTGCGTAAAGAGTGCCGCCCACAGGCTGCACTGCAGTAGCCTGGGGAATTTGCAGAGGCCGCAGGGAGGAAACGAGTGGGCATCGCAGTAACCACCCCACCATGTATTGGTTTCGCACCAATTTTGAGGCGCCTCAAAAGCCGCCCACCATGTATTGGTTTCGCACCAGCCACCGCTGCGCAAAGAGCGCCGCCCGGCCAAACAGTACCCACCCTCATGCCTCACAGGGAGTCTGATCCAACGCACAGAGCTTGCAGTAGCCCGGGGGGTAAGGATGCGGGAAGGGGGAAGTGGGTGGGGAGGCAGTGGGGAGAAAATGAGAGAAAGTGGGAGGAAGTGGGAGGAGGGGAGTGGGTATAGCACCTCACTCACCTTTCATGCTGCTCATGTCGTACATCCAGAAGGCACACTCGGTCACGTTGCGGCAGGGTTCAATGCAGCACCATAAGATGTGCTCGTTGTAACCTTGTTGACCACGATACACATTAGAATCTCACCTTTGGGGCTGCTCATGTCATACATCCAGAAGGCACAGTCAGGCACGTTCCGGCAGAGCTCCACGCAGCTGTCGGGCTTCTCAGGGCCCTCCCCCGTGTCCTGCACCAAAAGATGCCCCCCCGCTACATACTCCTCCTCCTCCTGCTCCACCACCAGTACCTGCTCCTCCGCCCCCCCTCCTGCTGCTCCCCCTGCCCCCGCCGCCGCCGCTCCTCCTCCTGCTCCTCCTCCGCCTCTTCCTGCCCCTGCTCCCGCTCCCACCCCTCCTCCAACCATCCCCCCTCCTGCTCCTGCCCCACCTCCTGCCCCTCCGGCTCCCCCTCCTGGCCCAAGACGGTGCCTCATCCTGCCTTTGCCAGCAGCAGCAGCAGCAGCTCCGCTGGCGTTACCAGCTGCGGCTGCAGCAGCGGCGGCAGCGATGGCGGCAGCAGAGGAGGCGTTGACGAGGTAGGAGCGGACGACGCGAGGGGGCTTCCGAGGCTGGATGGGGTGGTCCCAGAACATGCCCTCTGTGGGGAACTCGCAGGAGAGGTCGGCCGGACACATGTGCCCCACTCCCCCGATTTCATCTGAGAAAAGGGAGTTACTCGGAGGAAGGGCAAGTGAAGCATAGGGGGGATTCAAACGAACTTGATTCAGGAGAAAGCTAGAGGGGGTGGTCCCAGAACATGCCCTGTGTGGGGAACTCGCAGGAGAGGTCCGATGGACACATGTGCCCCACTCCCCCGACTTCATCTGAGGGAAGCACACACAGGGAAGACATGGGGAACGGAGATGCGAGAATGACTAAGGAAACACACACGGGCGAGATTGGATGAGTTAGAAGTCAGAAAGCAACTGGATGGGGTGGTCCCAGAACATGCCCTCTGTGGGGAACTCGCAGGAGAGATCAGGCGGACACATGTGCCCCACTCCCCCGACTTCATCTGTCGCCCAGTGACCCATAGGGGGGATACAGGTGAGCTTGAATTAGGAATAGGCTGGAGGGGGTGGTCCCAGAACATGCCCTCTGTGGGGAACTCGCAGGAGAGATCAGCAGGACACATGTGCCCCACTCCCCCGATTTCATCTGTTGGAAGGGAGTCAGCAGGCAGGCACAGGAGAGAGACAAAAGGGCTGGATGGGGTGTTCCCAGAGCATCACCAGTGGCGGCTGCAGTAGCAGCGGCCAAGGAGGACGCATCGACGAGGCAGGGTGGGGTGGATGGATCGAGGGACAGAGTTCCAGCTCTCTGTGTGGTCCTGGAACTCTGTGAGGAACATGCACCTCTGTGGGGAGCTCGTAAAGCTTGTCAGGCAAACATATGTGGCTCATTCTTGAGTCGACTCAAATGTCACCTCGTTACCATGGTAGGGTAGGGGGGGGTGGATGGATCTAGGGAATGCTCTCTGTGGTCCTGGAGCATGCCCTCTGTGGGGAGCTCGTAAAACTTGTCAGGCAAACACATGTGGCCCACTCACACTTGCGTGTCTTTTGAGCCAACACTTAGGCCAGAGACTCACAGAGCAGTATCACGACGAGGAGGTAGAGGAGGACGAGGCAGGTGGCTCGGCGCAGCGAGCACGCCCTTTACACCACGCCCTAATACAAGGTACCAGCAACTTTCAGAGCAGCAGCAGCGCGAGGAGGTAGAGGAGGACGAGGCAGGTGACTCGGCGCAGCGAGCACGCCCTTTACACCACGCCCTAATACAAGGTACCAGCAACTTTCAGAGCAGCAGCAGCGCGAGGAGGTAGAGGAGGACGAGGCAGGTGACTCGGCGCAGCGAGCACGCCCTTTACACCACGCCCTAATACAAGGTACCAGCAACTTTCAGAGCAGCAGCAGCGCGAGGAGGTAGAGGAGGACGAGGCAGGTGACTCGGCGCAGCGAGCACGCCCTTTACACCACGCCCTAATACAAGGTACCAGCAACTTTCAGAGCAGCAGCAGCGCGAGGAGGTAGAGGAGGACGAGGCAGGTGACTCGGCGCGAGGAGGTAGAGGAGGACGAGGCAGGTGACTCAGCGCGAGGAGGTAGAGGAGGATGAGGCAGGTGACTCAGCGCAGCGAGCACGCCCTTGTCACCATGCCCAAATTCAAGGTCACCAGAAACTCACAGAGTAGTATCACGACGAGGAGGTAGAGGAGGAAGAGGCAGGTGACTCGGCGCAGCGAGCAGCACGCCCGGAGCGCCACAAACCAAACGGACGGCTGCACCTCTGGCCGCCTCGCTGCCCTCAACTACTCACGGCCCCACTCCATCCCACCCACAGCCGCCCAACACACCCTTTTCATTTCCCCCTTCCCCTCTTCCCCAACAACCCCCCTCCTCCCCGCATCCCACACGCCAACAGGAGAATTCACATTGAGCATTAGGCTTATAACACGGATGCTTTAGAGAATTTCAGAAGCAGGACGGATGTTGTATTCACTGATGAATGCAGATGCCGTTCAAAGGTAACGTAGCTGGACAAGGCAGCAGGAGCAAGGATGGCGTGACAGGGTTGGGTAGGTGGGAAGGGAGGGGTTGAATGGAATCGGAGGAAGGCAGGAAAGGCAATGAACAAAAAGGAGAAGTTGGTAGTGGAAACTGCAGGAGCAGGGGGAATTGGTAGCGAAAGCAGCAGGAGCGGGAAGAGCTGGTTCGCGAAAGCACCTTTTTCCACAGTCGTCGCCTGTCGCGTGCATCCATCGTCGCTTGCAACGGTCAGCCAGAAGCGGCAGCAGGATGGAACCGACCGTCAAGGCTTCAGAACAGACAGACGTCACTGTAGGGGTGGAAAATTGACTTTGAGAGTCTAACACGCGGTTTTGCTGCAAGGTGCAGTGAAACCACGACTAGCCCGTTAGCCGGCTCAATTAACGGTCTGGCAGCTGGCACAATGGATGGGTCGGTCTGAAGTGTACACTGTGGTCGGTAAAACGGTAATTTTAAAGGTCAACACGTCATACGGAATCACTTGTGCGTAACAATGCAATCAGTCTAGTTGGACTCTACATTGTGGTCGACGGGTGTACTCAGGTAGAACCTGTAATGCTGTACTTCCTTGGAACATTGCGACAGGAAACAGATCAGCTCCTCGAAACCTCAAGACTACCTAGATTAGCATTCTAGAAAGCCAACTGCTCAGAATCCGACGAATCCCTGATCAGATGATGCAAATCCTACAGCTAATGTGGGTCTGAGGTGTGGGTGCAGCTGACAGAGACCGTGGGAGAAATGTGCTGGATCGCGCTTCCGGGCGAGTCGTCAGTCACGGAAAACAGTAAATCGTTCTTGGATTTCTTAGCATCGTACCGGTGGTTACAGCTACATTGAGCAGCGAGCTAAGACAAGATAGTTGAAGACGATTAACAGTCTCTTCGTAAGATAGCTAGCACTTCAGGATAATGATACACTGCCCGGCCGTTGTCGGCCTAACGCGTCCGCCTAACGTCTTCCAGTAGTCCGTCCGTAGTCGATTTTGCGGATAAATCATCACTCGATGATCCCTTGGTTTCTTCGTGCCTGCTCTTGCGCAAGACGAACGAAAAAATCGATCCGAGTTACCCGTTCCGGCTGAGTTCGTGCGCCCTCTTGACTCGCTCACCTCCCCCAGGCTTCTCGCGAGTCTCCGTGGTTGTGGTTGGTCGAATCTTCAACCTGGTGCTGGTCTTCGCCGATTGGCTAGTTTCCTACCCTCGAATCCAAACTTCTGAGGGCGGGTCATACTCACTTCATTTTGCCGGTTTCACACCCCTGTATCGAAATCCCAACTGTTCGGGTGACGATCAGTCAATCCGAACCCCGATACGTTCCAGTCCTTGAGGGTGTACACGGACCCAGCATCCCGCCCACACAAACTGAATTGAACAGAACGCATTGGCTTCGCGAAAATAGAAATCGTCGCGAGGGTAGCTTGGGTATTGAAAACCAATCGTTCCAATCGACGAAAAGAACATACTCGTTCGAAGCAGGTACACCCTGTTACTGGCGCGTGAGGCAGCGAGTGACGATAGTTCAAAGCTGCCCAGTTTGCAAATATTTCGGAAAATTTACGAGTGAGAAATGTGATCTGGCATGAGACTCGTCTTGCATGTTGGGAAACCGATCGCGTCACCAGTTTGATTTCAATATTTGACGCGGTTACCCTACCAAAAAGGGTTAAATTGAGCTGAGGTGGATGAGCTGGACCCGCCCTGACAGCACCGTGCGAAGAGAGCAACAGAAGCTAGCGAATTCAACCGCTCTCGCGAGCTAGTGCAAGCCTCCCTTCCCTTCTCTGCCATCAAGCCTTCGTAAGAGCATCGTATCATCAAAGCAAATCTGTAATTGTTGTTTTGAGGTAACCAAGGAGAAAATGTAATACCTGGTATATAGTCCCCGTGTTCAGAGACAGAGTTTTCCAACTAGTATCATCACACACTGAGCCTTGGTGAAAGGGTCATATGCTAAGCGCGACCCCTGCCAGTATAAGGGCCCACTCAGTCCAATTCTTGTTCCCAAGTCATTCCTCAATAGCAGGTTATTGTCAGAACTGCGTTGCTACGAACCAACTTGGGAGTCATTTTCAACGTACTTCTCTACACCGAGAAATATTGAGATTGAGTTGAGCTACCTGCTGTAGTTCGAGAATTATTTTTAACGAACCTCAAGCTCGACCAGACTAGAAGCCTTCTTCCTTCACCTCCATGAGCAACAGTCGTTGGATTCAATGGTTGTCCGACTCTATTAGGTCAGTGGTGCTGCTCTCCAGCCCCACTGCTAACAACCGCCATGTGCATCGTCCTCCTCAGTTTCAGAACTGTTGGATCGGCGTTTTAAACGCGAAGACTAGTCCCTGCTGACGTTCCCCGGATCGAAGGGTTCGCGATTCAGCCACGATGATTGTTTTTTCTCCTGTGACCACTCGCGACGTCTCATGATTTGTGCATTTGCGCGTCGATCGCCTTTCGAGATGTCTCGAGGTGAGGGATTTTTCTGCATACGAGGAACGCAGCATCTGATCAGCGAGACACGTGAGACACGTGAACACGGGAGACCTACAGAAGCAACTTCTAGCTAATAGTAACGCTCGAGGAATCAAACGGTAGCTGCTGGTCGCTGCCTCGTGTAGTTTCTGTTTTAATGAGAAGTGCAAGTTTCCAGAATAGGGTGTTACATATTTGCAAGTCCTGACCATCAGTCCTCGATTCCAAAAGTCACCAGTTCGATCAAATCACGGCCTTCTAGAGGGCTGTTTCCGCTGCTAATAACGAGAGCTGCGATTCTCGGATCCTCGAGACAGTTGGTTATTTGTCTCTCAGGAAAAGGCAGCTGTTGAAAAATGGACGGGTTTCGAAGATTCGCGGAGAAGCTGATCAACGATCCGCTGAATCGTCTGCAAGGCGGCTCAGGGGGAGGATTTTACGACCAAGTATGTCACGACCCCCACCGGAATCATTCAGTCATGTTCTAACATACTTGTCAGAACCTACCCTCACTTGAAGCAATGGTTTTGTTCTGGCTCTGTATAAAAATCACCGACAATCTATGTCTCACTCGTTGTTATTACAGGAGCCTCCATCGCCGGCAGCAGCGGCCACCAGCCGCAGGCGGCCATGGGGACCCAACGGCCCTTCCAGCGGCCCTGCCAGTGCCAGCGGCAGCAGCAACGGCGGCAGCAGGAGCGGCAACAGGGGCGGGATCACCTTCGGAGGAGGGGGGCTGAATCTAGGCGGAATCGGGGGAATAGGGGGAATTGGGGGAATCGGGGGAATTGGAGGGTTGGGGATTGGGAGCGGTGGTGCGGATGGTGGTGGTAGCAGCAGTGGCGGTGCTAATATCGGTGGTGGTGGAGGTGGTGGCGGTGGTGGCGGCGGCGGTAGTTTTAAGAGTTTTGGAGCTGGAGGCTTCATGGGAGGCCCTGGTGGGTTTTTAGGAGCCGGAACAGGAGGAGGGGCCTCCTTTTTCAAGAACATCCAACGGTCCTTATCCATAGCCGCGCCTGATCGTGGCCGTCCGCCTCCCGCCCCCACCCCTCGCGTCCCCTCCTCCCATTCCGCCACGTACGAGTCTCCCCCTATACGCCCCCAGCCTCCCCCTTCCCATGGCGCTGCGGTTCGGGGAAGATCATCAGGAGGAGCAACAGAGCTTCATATAACGCTGGACGAGATCCGGTTTGAGAACCAGAGCAGCAGCAGCAGCACCGGTGGATTTGGGGCGATTGCCAGTGGTATAAGTGGTAGTGGCAGCGGTGGTGGTGGTAATGGTAGTGGTGGGGACGGTCGTTCTGGTAGCACTGCTATCGTCCGCACCCAATCCGCCTCCTCCCCTGCTTCCCCAGGCTTCAGCGTCCTCTCTCTCTTCACCTCCCCTCCTCAAACCCACCACCACAACCATCACAACCAGCATCAGCAGCACAGCCAACAGCAGCAGTCGCGTCTGTCTCAGACCTCCCCCCGTACCACTGCTGCTGACGTCATCTCCTTCTTCACCTCCCCCTTCTCCCTTGGCCCCTCCGCCTCCCCCGCACCTCTCCCCCGCCAAAGCTCTGCAGGAGGCGCCTCCCCCCTCCGCAGGTCGTTACCAGGGGGGGTGGTATCTCCTGCGCTCTCTGGGGGCGGGGGAGGGGGGGGAATTGGAGGATTGTGGGCTTTGGTGACGCGGACTAGCAGCAGTGGGATTGGTGGGGGAGGAGGCGGGCTGGATGACGTGGCGGAGTCTCTGCCCTTATCTGCCACGTCATCAATGAACACGTCACTGGGGATCCTAGCTGGCATGTCGTCGCTGCGACCTGTGCAGGCGGAGCAGGCAGAGCCGTTGGATGCAAGCTTTTTCGAGGAGGTGAGTCTATGGGGATGGGGTGGGGAGTGTGGAGGGATGGTATGGGGAGGGTGGGGTTTCGGTGGGCGTTGGCGTACCGTGTATGTGCCAGGCTTGCATGTGATGAGGAGGAGTGCAGGCGGAGCAGGCAGAGCCGTTAGATGCAAGCTTTTTCGAGGAGGTGATCGTATGGGGGGAAGGGGGGAGAGAGAGAGGGGGGGAAGGGGGAGACAGGAGGGAGGGGGAGGGATGGGGAGGGAGTGGGAGGGAGGGGGAGGGCGTTGGTGTCTTGTGTGCGCTTTCAACGTCTCAATTAAAACACACATACACTTACTCTCCTTGTTATCCGCGTTACAGGACTTTGACCCTGTCCGCTGTGCGTTGGAGGAGCTTCCAGACGAACCCCTCTCGTTGCAACATCTTGGAACACAGGTGTGTGACTTGGGTTATTGTGCTTCCGTAGCAACTCATGCTTTACTTTCTCTGTGAAAAGGCCAACCAAACACGCACATGCTCATTCTTATCCTCATCGGACGATCAGCCTTTCCTTTGAAGTAAATTGCCTGCTGATGTGGCATCTGTTGCTGACGTGGCATCTGGCTGGCAGTGTGGAAAGCGGCAGCTGCAGCTGGATGAGGTGTCGGAACAGCTGGCGACACAAGTGATGAGTCACCACGAGGAGATGGGTGGGTGCTGCTGGGTGCTGTAGGGCGCTGGGTGTTGTAGACAGGGTGCTGCTAGGTGTTCTATGTAGGGTGTCATCAACCCCTTTCTCTTGTTGCCTTTTGAGGCGCCTCAAAAGTCTATGTAGGGTGCTATCAACCCCTTTCTCTTGTTGCTGAGGTTTAGCTTGACCTCGACTTCCACTCCCTTTTTTATCCTCCCTGCCATCCTTCTCACTACCCACCTTCCCCTTCTCCCGTCATCCCGCCTCCTGCCCGCCAGTGCAAGGGATGAACCTCTTTGCGGAGCTGGAGCGGGACCTTCAAGTGCTCTATGTCATCTGTAGGGTGAGTGATTGGATCGTACCGCAATGCACACGTATGCATGTTGTATGTACGATGTGTATGATATGTATGATATGTATGCCGGTGGAGCCTCTAGTGCGATTTGCATGCTATTTTCACTCTCCCTCCCCAGCGTTTTTATTCTGTTGCCTTCTTCGACCTCTATTTTTGTTTGTTTGTCTGTTTGCCTTCTCTGTTTCCACCTTCTCTTCTCTTCCGTTTCGAAAGATTGTGTAGCCGGTTGAGTTGAGGCGCATCGGATGCTTTAACACCCGCCCACACTCTCTTTCTCCCATTCTCTTTCCCTTTTCTCTTGCTCTCCCCCCTCAGAATACACGCCGGTTGCTAAACAGTGCACGCAAGGACATCTTATCGAACCACTTCCCCTCTCCCACCCTTCCTTCTTGCCCCTCCCTCCCTCCCCCCCTCCTTCCCCCCCCACTCTCTCTCCTCCCTCTTTCTCCCTCCTCAGAACACACGCCGGCTGCTGAACAGTGCGCGCAATGACATCTCAAAGAACCTAGTGGTGTCCAACAATGTGCAAAAGAAGCGCATGGCCACTGTGAGTGTGGCGAGGGCAAGTGTCAGGGTACGAATGGGTGGGTGGTGTGGTGTGGGGTGGGGTGGGGTGGGGTGGGGATAGTGAGAGAACCTAGTGGTGTCCAACAATGTGCAAAAGAAACGCATGGCCACTGTGAATGCAGCGGGGGGAGAGGATTGTAGCGAGGGGTTTTGTTGAATGTGTGTGTGAGCGTAGTGAGGGGAAGGGAGCATGGTCACTGTGAGTCGATTATGTATGTGCATACTGTAAGTTTTTTCAACATTTTGTGTCGAAGGCGAGGGATCTAGTGTAGGCACGAGTGCGTGGGAGGCTATCGCCCGAATGTTTGATGCAGCAAACTGGCTCAGTAAGGGACACAAATCCACTCCTGCTGCAGCACATACACCACATGCAGCACATGCAGCAGATGCAGCATGCAGCACATGCAGCACATGCAGCACATGCAGCACATGCAGCACATGCAGCACATGCAGCACATGCAGCACATGCAGCACATGCAGCACATGCAGCACATGCAGCACATGCAGCACATGCAGCACATGCAGCACATGCAGCACATGCAGCACATGCAGCACATGCAGCACATGCAGCACATGCAGCACATGCAGCACATGCAGCACATGCAGCACATGCAGCACATGCAGCACATGCAGCACATGCAGCACATGCAGCACATGCAGCACATGCAGCACATGCAGCACATGCAGCACATGCAGCACATGCAGCACATGCAGCACATGCAGCACATACAGCACATGCAGCACATGCAGCACATGCAGCACATGCAGCACATGCAGCACATGCAGCAGATAGCACAGATGAAGGCGCGCCTACAGCAGCTGGTGGAAAGGGGGGCATTACCCCGCCGCCCTGCAGCTGTTGACTCAGTGTCTGTCTGTCTCTCTGTCTGTCTGTCTTCGTGCCCCTGCCCGGAACCCCAGAGCATGATTCCCGTGTTGCAGCACATGCAGCAGGTGGCACAGATGAAGGCAAGGCTACAGCAGCTGGTGGAGGGCGCCCACTACCCCGCCGCCCTGCAGCTGACGCCCCTTGCTTGCTTGCTGCACCCAATGCCTATCTGTCTGTCTGTCTGTCTGTATGTCCTCGTGCCCTGCCCGGAACCCCAGAGTATGATTCCAGTGTTGCAGCACATGCAGCAGATAGCACAGATGAAGGCAAGGCTACAGCAGCTGGTGGAGGGCACCCACTACCCTGCTGCCCTGCAGCTGTGCTCGCGCTGCCTCGTGCTCGTGGAACAGAGCCGGTCACTGTGGGCCATTGGAGACATGAGCAGCAGCCTTGAGGTGAGGGGAGTGATAGCTGCAGAGGATGGCGTGGGATGAGGAGGAAGGGTTGGGAAACAGGGAACTACCCCGTCGCCCTGCAGCTGTGCTCGCGCTGCCTCGTGCTCGTGGAGCAGAGCAGATCATTGTGGGCTATTGGTGATATGAGCAGCAGCCTGGAGGTGAGGGGAGTGGGAAAAGATGGAGGGAGAAGTAGGGAGGGGTGGATGCCATTCTCTCCACTGAGCTGCCTTGCATTGTGCCGTGCTCACTCACCACTGTATGGAGAGCTGCTGCTCACCACTACACCCATTCACCTCACTGCACACCACTACAACCCACTCCACTCCACCCACTTCACTCCAGGGGTGGCTGGCACGATTGGTGGATGAGGTGGACGCCATTCTCTTCATTGTACCGTGCTCTCCAATGCACCTCAATGCACCCCGTTGCACCTCGTTGCACCCCATTGCACCCCGTTGCACCCCGTTGCACCCCGTTACACCCCATTGCGCTCCAATGCACTCCAGGGCTGGCTGGCACGGGTAGTGGATGAGGTGGACGCCATTCTCTTCACAGTCTGCCGCCGCTACAACCCCACCGCCTATGCCACGGTCAGTACCCCTTTACCACCTAACTTAACTATAGTCTCTTGCGGCTGCTACCTGCAGGCTGCCAGCCAGCCAGCTCTGGCAGGGAAGGTGTGTGATTTGCTTCTGTAGCTGAGTGATGATACTTCCCTTGTCCTTATGCACTCTCGCCTCCCTCTCTCTGCACCCTGCAGGTGCTGGATTCATATGCAGTGATGAACGGGCTGCCCGCCCTGGCAGAGAAGGTGCACAACTTCTTCTCCCAGGCAGTGGTGTCCGAGACCTATGATATCCTGCTGCAGTTCGTGGAGCAGGTGGGTGGGTGCGTGGGTGCTGGGTTGTTGTGGCACTGTGTGTGTGCTCATTCACGAGAGCATGCCTGTCGTGTCCGAGACCTATGATATCCTGCTGCAGTTCGTGGAGCAGGTGGGTGTGAGGGTGGGTTGGGTAGTGGCATTATGTGTGTGGGTGTGTGCTCATGTCATGTGTGAGAGAAGGTGCATAACTTCTTCTTCCAAACAGTGATGTCCGAGACTTACGACATTCTGCTGCAGTTCGTGGAGCAGGTGGGTGGGTGGGTGGATGGGTGGGTTGGAGTGTGAGTGTGCGCAAGTGTGTTCGTGTGGTGTTGTCCGAGACGTATGACGTCCTGCTGCAGTTCGTGGAGCAGGTAGGCAGTGTGTGAGGGTGGGTGGGGGTGTGAGTGTGCGCGAGTGTGATTGTGTGGGGGTGTGAGAGAGCTGGGTGGTAGCAGTGTGTGTGAGTGTGTACGAGTGTGCGAGTAACAATATGTATGTGGGAGGGAGTGTGTGAGTGTGTGTGGTGTGCGTGTGGTCTCCGGAACGCATGTCATACGACATCGGTTTTTCACCCACCCGTTGCGCCATGGCTTGCTCACATCACATGTCATCGTCGTCGTGCGTGCCGCCTGGTTGTGTGCTTGTGCAGGGAAGCACAGAAGACGACGTCAGAAGAAGCAGGTATGCCGCCTGTTGTCCCGATTAAATCTACCCTCTTCTGACTCCAACCTCTTTTGAATTCAAGTCACACTAGGCAAAATCCCCTTATTACACAAGTCAGGAGTTCAACTTCATTCCCTCATCCCTCCATCTCTTATCCTTGTGCCTCTTAACCCTGCCTCTCTCCTCTTTATAACAGGATGGCATACAGCGAGCTGTGCGGGCAGCTGTCGGACCGATTCTTCTTCCTCTGCCTCATTCGCACCATGGAGCTCGTTTTTGAGCTCATGTGCTCGCACCACGTCATGATGACCGCTCACCACCCACTGCTCAAGACAGTGAGTCGCATTGCCTGCTGCAAGCTACTTCTCATGTGTCTTTTGAGCTCGTGTGCTCGCACCACGTCATGATGACTGCGCACCACCCGCTGCTCAAGATGGTAAGCCGCGTTGCCCTGCTGCTCAAGATGGTAAGCCGCGTTGCCCTGCTGCTCAAGATGGTAAGCCGCGTTGCCCTGCTGCTCAAGATGGTAAGCCGCGTTGCCCTGCTGCTCAAGATGGTAAGCCGCGTTGCCCTGCTGCTCAAGAAAGCTGTTGCATCGCCCACTGTAAGCTCGTGTTTGAGCTCATCTGCTCGCACCACGTCATGATGACCGCCCACCACCCGATGCTCAAGACGGTAAGCAGCAAATGCGAACCCCATGCATGCACTTGTTTTCTGGGTCCAGTCCAGTGTCCTCGGAAATGAACATGCATTTTCCATACATGTGCTCTCTCTACCTTTTTTCTCTGCTCATTCCCCGGGTCTAAGACTGAGGCGCCTTAAAAATACACATGCATACTTGGTTGGTGCGCAACACAGCTCTTTCTCTATTATTCCGTTCCTCGCACTCCCCAATATCCGCTGCTCCTCCAAATCTGAACTTCCGACACACCATATTGTATCTTTTGCTACACACCAAGCGCCACCAAATCTGAACTTCCGACTCCTCATATTGTATCTTCTGCTCTCCACTCTTTCCACAGGTATCTGCTGCTCCCGCTGCCGCTCCGCCCGCTGCTCCCCCTGCTGCTCCGCCCTCCGCTGGTTCAAACGCGCCCCAAGTCCCGGCATCAGCAATCCCCATCTCCCAACCCACCGATCCATCCACACCTCCTCCTTCCTCCTCTCAGCCTCTGAAGGCTGACCCGGCGATTGCAAGCAGCAGCAGCAAGAGTGGTGGTGGTGAGAGCAGGGCGAGTGAGGAAAGTAGGGCGAGTGAGGAGAGCAGTGCTGCTCCGGACCGGTTTGAAGACTCGCTGTGTTTGCCAGCTGCACAGGCTGTTGTGTTTGACGTTCCAGCACAGGCAGATCCCAGCACAGCACAGACGCATCCCAGCGCGTCTGGCGTTGTCTCAGGGACACAGGCTACTGGTGCTGCTGCTGCACCTGGCGCCAGTGGCAGCAGAGGTGCTGGTGGCAGCAACAGCGTTGCACCCAGCAGTGCTGCAGCACCCACCGGCAGTGGTGGTGGTGATGGTTTCAGTGATAGAGTGGTGGGTGCTAGTGGCAGTGGCGGTGAGCATTGGAACTTTCTGCAAGACGTGCAAGATGATGTTGACCGCATGGAAGGGCGAGGGGGAGGGACAATAATGGGAGTAGGAGGAAGGGAGAGAGGAAGGGACGGAAAAGGAGGTGGACATATGCTGGAGGAGGGAGGACGGGGTGAAAGGGCACCACCACAAGCAGGCTCTATCAAGGGGAAAGAACCTGCTGCTGATGGTTTTACTGCTGCCACTGCTACTCCTGCTGCTGCTGCTGGTGCTGCTACTTCCTCTGCGTCTGCTGTTCCTGCTGCTTCTGCTCTCCCTGCTGACACACCTGCCAGTGTAACCAGCTCTGCTGCAGGGCCGTCAGCAGCCAATGAGCTGATGCCAGCTGTCCCGTCGCCGGCCAGTGAGCTGACGCCAGCTGTGCGGGAGGCGGCAGCAGCAGCAGTGAGGGGTGCGCTAGAGAAGGGTCGGAAGACGGTGTGGGAGCTGGCTGCTCGAAGGGTGGCGGCTCTTTTATCTGCTCCTCCTGTGTGCTCTGGCACCTCGGAGCAGTTCCTGCAGGTGCGTGCTTGTGCCTCTGTTCTGTCTACATCTCTGTTTCTGATTCGCCAATACAGGAAGACGGTGTGGGAGCTGGCTGCTCGAAAGGTGGCAGCTCTTTTATCTGCTCCTCCTGTGTGCTCTGGCACCTCGGAGCAGTTCCTGCAGGTGCGTGCTTCTGTTTCCATACCTCTCTTTCTCACTCAGAGTGAATCTTGCAGCAGTGAGGGGTGCGCTAGAGAAGGGCAGGAAGACGGTGTGGGAGCTGACTGCTCGAAGGGTGGCGGCTCTGCTGTGTGCTCCTCCTGTGTGCTCCGGGACTTCTGAGCAATTCTTGCAGGTAGGTGCTTCTGTTTCCCCTTCTCTCTTTCTCACTCAGAGTGAATCTGGCAGCAGCAGTGGAGAAGGCGGTGTGGGAGCTGGCTGCTCGAAGGGTGGCGCCTCTGCTGTCTGCTCCTCCTGTGTGCTCCGGGACTTCTGAGCAATTCTTGCAGGTGCGTGCTTGTGCCTCTGTTCTGTCTACATCTCTGCTGCTGATTCGCCAATACAGGAAGGTGGTGTGGGAGCTGGCTTCTCGCAGAGTGGCGGCTCTGCTGTCCGCTCCTCCTGTGTGTTCTGGCATCTCGGAGGCGGGGAGGAAGGGGACACAGTCCTCTGTCTCTTGGATGAGTTTGTGCTGGCAGGGAGGGGAGGCTTTCACCCAAGCGGGAGCGGGGAGTCTGAGTCGTAGCGCCAAGACGCACCTACTACCATTCACCCCCTGCTGCTTAATGCTGCCCCATGTGCATTCTTCCCGCGTGTGATGAGGCGATTTTTGAGTCGACTCAAAAATCGCCTCAAGACGCACCTACTACCATTCATTCACCCCCTGCTGCTTAATGCTGCCCCGTGTGTATTCTTCCCGCATGCCATTCCGCTTTTGAGTCGACTCAAAAGCACCTACTACCATTCACCCCCCCCTGCTGCTGAATGCTGCCCCATGTGTATTCTTCCCGGATGCCATTCCTCCCTCACATCACATCCCCTGCAGGTTCTCTGCCTGGTCGAAGAGTTTGTGCTGGCAGGGGAGGCGTTCACTCAAGCAAAGGCTGGGAGCCTGAGTCTTAGGGCCAAGAGGCACTCACCATTCACCTTCTGGATTCTGCTGCCTCCCTACCCACCCTCACATCCCCTACAGATTCTTTGCCTGGTTGAAGAGTTTGTGCTGGCAGGGGAGGCGTTCACCCAAGCGGAGACAGGGAGCCTGACTGAAGGCCAAGATGGCTCGGCACCCACCAACATGTTGACTTTTGAGTCGACTCAAAAGTCAACTAAGCGGAGACAGGGAGCCTGACTGAAGGCCAAGATGGCTCGGCACCCACCAGCATGTTGACTTTTGAGTCGACTCAAAAGTCAACTAAGCGGAGGCAGGGAGCCTGACTGAAGGCCAAGATGGCTCGGCACCCACCAACATGTTGACTTTTGAGTCGACTCAAAAGTCAACTAAGCGGAGGCAGGGAGCCTGACTGAAGGCCTAGATGGCTCGGCACCCACCAACATGTCAGCTCATTTATGCCTCCGTGTCCTTTCGTTGCCCTATTCAATCTCCCTCGTCACCTACAGATCCTGTGTCTGGTGGAGGATTTTGTGCTGGCAGGGGAGGCGTTCACCCAAGCAGAGGCGGGGAGTCTGAGGGCCAAGATGGGTCGGCAGTGCGACCAGTTCTTTCGGAACTACCACAGACAGGCACTGGAGGTGAGTGAGGGAGTGAGTGTGAGTGCGAGTATTTTTGTGACTGTGCGGGTGAGTGTGTGGATATGTGTCTATCTTTGTGTCTGGGAGTTCAAGGGCCACGATGGTTTGGCAGTAGACCAGTTCTTTTGGAATTACCACCGGCAGGCACTGGAGGTGAGTGAGGGAGTGAGTGTGAGTGCGAGTATGTTTGTGACCAGTTCTTCTGCAGCCACCACCAGCATGAGGGAATATGGAGTGGCAGTGTGTGTAAGTAAGTGAGTACGATGGTGGAACGAAATACGTAGCTTTTGCTCTCTCCTTCCTCCTCCCTGCAAGCCCCCGAGGCACCATCTCATCTCCTCCCGCGCCACCCTCGCTTCCCCGTGTGGCACAGCATACGTAAGTCTCGCCCAATCTTCCTGTGCTCATCCCGACCCTGTGGCAGGTGCTGCGTATGGTGGTGGAGAGGGAAACATGGCAGCCCCGTGATTGAAGAAGTGTTTAGAGACGTCTCAAAACAATCTTCCCGTGCTCCCCCCGACACTGTGGCAGGTTCTGCGTATGATGGTGGAGAGGGAAACATGGCAGCCCCTCCCCCCGTCCTCCCAGCAAGCCCCCGAGGTGCAAAGTCTCATCTCCGCTCGCTCCACGCTCGCCCGCTCGCCCGCCAAAATGCTCACCTCGAGTCCCAGCGACTCTGCTCTTGCTGGGGGCGGAGGAGCAGGAGGTGTGGGGGGAGCGGGAGGAGCAGGAGAGGGAGGAGCAGGAGGAGTGGGAATGGGTGTGGGAGGGGTGGGAAGGGAGGGAGGTGTGGAGGCAGGACGTGTGTGGGATTTTAGTCACTGGATGCAACTAGACCAACCTTTCAATGTAGAGAATGTGAGGGGTGGGAGGGAGCAACTGGACGCAGCAAGCGGGAGAGGGAGAGGAGCGGGCGGAGGGGGAGGAAGGGGAGCAAGAGGGGTTAACAGCGGTGGAGTGGGGTGGGATGGGCCGCAGGGGATGCTGAGGGAGTTGGTGGTGGTGTCGCAAGGGGGGATGGGGGGAGTGGCGCGGGAGAGAGCACGGGAGAGGGATCGGGAGATGCTGCGAGATAAATTCATGGATATGGAACGAGAGAGGGAGAGGGAGAAGGAGCAAGAGAGGGGAAGGATGAGTCCACATTCAGCGTATCAGAGCCCAGGAGGAGCATATGGAGCAGGGGTTTCTTCTGGGGGAGGTGGATATGGGGTAGGTAGGTTTGGAAGTGCAGCAGAGGGGGTGAACGAGCTTCGGCAGTACAGCTCTGAGCGAGTAGCTCCAAGAAATGCCGCCCCAACTCCCACTGGCTCTGCTGATGCTGGTGGTGATGCTGGTGGCGGTGGTAGCTGGGGCAGTGGGTATGATTTGAAGAGTAATAGCTACAGCCACAGCAGAGGTGGTGGTGCTGTTGCCGCTGCTAGCCCTTCCGGTGTTGCTGCTGTTTGTAGCGACCCTACTGCCGCTGTGAGTGGTGCCAGCAGTGGCATGAGAGGGGTTGGGAGCGGTTTATTGAGGATGCGAGAGGAAGGGGAAGGAGTGGAGCAGGAGGAGGAGGAGGAGGAAGAGGAGGAGGAGGAGGAAGAGGAGGAGAGTGAGGAGCTGTTAGCTGATTTCATTGATGAGGATGGGGAGGGGGAGGAAGAGGGAGGGAGAGAGCGGGAGAGAAGGAGCAGAGGCGGAGGCAGAGGAGAGAGAGGCAGAGAGGGAGGCAGAGACGGAGTGCCTAGCAGCAAGAGCAGCAGCAGCGTGCAGAGAAGCAGGAGCGGGGGACGGGGAGGAGGAAGAGGAGGAAGAGGAGGAAGAGGGGCAGGGGGGGGCAAGGCAGGAGCGTCAGGAGGCGGAGGCGGAATAGGAAAGGGAGAAGGAGGGAGGGGAGGGCCCGGAGGGGTGCAGAGGAGTGGGACAACAAGGATATACTCCCCAGCACCACCATCCTCGTTATTGCCAGACTCGTTACTAGGCCGCTCACAGAGTGATGGCAGGCTGGGAGGCCAGGGGAGGAGGCGGGCTGGCAGTGGGAAGGAGGGAGGCGGAGGGGTAGGCACTGGTGGGAGCAAGGGGGGGAAGGCAGGGAAGGGGGGGAAGGCAGGGAAGGGGGGGAAGGCAGGGAAGGGGGAGGAGCAGGACTTTGCTGCCACTGCATCTGCTCTCGGTGCTGTCAGGTGGGCTTGTTTTTTCGTGTCATGTAATGCTGTGCCGTGCCATGCCATGTCATGCCATGTCATGCCATGTCATGCCATGTCATGCCATGCCATGCCATGCCATGTCATGCCAAGTCATGCCATGTCATGCCAAGTCATGCCATACTATGCCGTTCCATGCCTTGCTGTGCCATGGCCACCCATCTCCACCCAAGTCCCTTCCTTCCCCACTCCCCCTCCCTGCTGCCGCCCTCCCCATGCTGCCCTCCTCATGCCGCCCCCCACCTTGCTGCCCTTTCCTTGCCGCCCCTCCCCTCACCGCCCTCACCCTACCACCCTCCTTCTCCCGCACGGCAGGCTAATGGACTATCAGGTCACGCTGGTGTTCTCTCTGGCAACTCCCAATACCCCCTGTGCCGCCTTCCCCATGCCGCCCTAACTCTGCCCTCCTAACTCTGCCCTCCTGACTCTGCCCTCCTGACTCTGCCCTCCTGACTCTGCCCTCCTGACTCTGCCCTCCTCCTTTTCCCCCACCCCACCAGGCTGATGGACTATCAGGTCACGCTGCTGTTCTCTCTCGGACCCATCTCAGCTGACGTCATCATGGTGAGCAATGGGCCATGCAGCACATTTTGGGGTGAGCTTGGTTGCATCGTTTTGTGGTGCTGAGACCTGCCTCTCAATCAAAACGAGCAATTCTGACTCTACCTCATCACTGTGTTTTGTTATCAGTTGACTTTTGAGTCGACTCAAAAGTCATCTCGTTACAATGTCACAACGAGCAATTCTTACTCTACCTCATCACTGTGTTTTGTTATCAGTTGACTTTTGAGTCGACTCAAAAGTCATCTCGTTACAATGTCACAACGAGCAATTCTTACTCTACCTCATCACTGTGTTTTGTTATCAATTGACTTTTGAGTCGACTCAAAAGTCATCTCGTTACAATGTCACAACGAGCAATTCTTACTCTACCTCATCACTGTGTTTTGTTATCAGTCAACAGGTGGGCTGCGGAGGTACTTTTATCGTTGAATGGACCTACTCATATCCTTTTTTCCCTCCTTACCTCTTACCTTACCCCCGTCTCTCCTCCCTCAGTCCGTGTGGCAGCTATTCGACCTCTACCTCATCACAGTGTTCCGCATATTCGGCCATCGGGAGGCCTTTGCTGCCCTGCGATCCGCCGACCCTGCCGCCGCTCACTGTGAGTCCCCACTCTTTCACACTCAAAAGTCACCGCTCACTGTGAGTCCCCACTCTTTCACACTCAAAAGTCACCGCTCACTGTGAGTCCCCACTCTTTCACACTCAAAAGTCACCGCTCACTGTGAGTCCCCACTGTGCCCACTCTTTCACACTCCCATGGGGTTGCCTCCCCCCCTCTTTCACACTCTTCCTTTCTCATCTCCGTTCGCCCTTCACTCCTTTCTCCCCCTTTCTTCCGCTCGCTGCATCTGTTCTGTTCCTTCCTCTTATACTGGCACAGTGCTATCCCCCAAGCTCTGTGGCGTGCTCACCAAAATACGAGCTGGTTTTTGAGAATTCTCAAAAACTTTCTCCCGCTTTCTTCCTCTCGCTGCATCTGTTCTGTTCCTTCCTTCCTCCTAGGCGATGTAGAGTATTTTTGAGAATTCTCAAAAATACTCTATACTGGCACAGTGCTATCCCCCAAGCTCCGTGCCGTGCTCACCAAGATTCTGCACAAGTTTGAAGCCATGGGGCTGCGCCCTCTCCTTCCCACTATCCCGTTCCTATCTCACTTCCCCCTCCGTTTTCCCCTCTCCCTTCCCTTCCCTTCTCTCCTCCATCCACACAGTGCTATCCCCCAAGCTCCGTGCAGTGCTCACCAAGATCCTGCACAAGTTTGAAGCCATGGGCCTGCGTCCTCTCTCTCCTCCCTCCTTCTCTGATGCTGCTGCCTCCGCTGCTGCCTCTGCTGCTGCTTCTGCTGCTGCTGCAGCTGCCGCCTCTTCTCTCGAATCAACTACAGGGGCATCTGCTGCTGGTGCTGCTGCTGGTGCGACTAGAGGTGCTGGTGCTGGTGCTAGGGGTGGTGCTGCTGCAAAGGGTGGTGGAGAAGGCAATGGGAGTGTGGCAGGGCGGCCAAGTCTGTTTGATGGCAAGACCGGCACCAGGGTGCTCATCTCCTCCTCCAACTTCTATGCTCTCAGGGTGAGTTGTGATTCAACACAACAGGTTAGTTCCAGGCCGGTTCAAACAAACTGGCACCAGGGTGCTCATCTCCTCCTCCAACTTCTATGCTCTCAGGGTGAGTTTTCTTGAGTTGTGACTCGAAACATGATATGATAATCGAATTGCCTCAAATGATGACACTCAATTTGACACAAACCATGACCTTTGTGTCGATTCAACGCTCTCCACCTACCAGGCTACGCTACGCCACACCCCTTTCACCCCTCACCATCTCTCCCACCCTGACCCTCGCTCTCACTCACACCCGCTCTCTCCTCTCTCTCTCCACGCCATCTCCTCCCTTCTCACCCTTGCGCCTTCTGGGTGTGCCCCGCCAAACATAGGAGCGCAGTGTAGCGATCAATCCGCTCCGCTGCTATGGCTGTCGCACATAGTGAAGGCAGCACGTCAGCGCTCCGCAATTGCGCCTTCCCATCGAACACACCAACCCCACCTTCCACTCACTCCTGCCCCCTCTCGTCCTCCGTCTCCCACCTATGCCAGGAGCGGTGTGTGGCGATCGAGTCGCTGCTATGGCTCTCCCACGTGGTGCAGGCAGCACGGCAGCGCTTCCTCTCGCACCTTCCCAAGTCACCAAGCCCACCTTCCATCCACCCCCTCCCCCTCCTCACCCCACTCCCACTCACCCCTCACCCTCTCTGTCCCCCATCCCCCAACCCCAGCAGCGGTGTGTGGCGATCGAGTCGCTGCTGTGGCTCTCCCACGTGGTGCAGGCAGCACGGCAGCGCTTCCTCTCGCACCTTCCCAAGTCACCAAGCCCACCTTCCATCCACCCCCTCCCCCTCCTCACCCCACTCCCACTCACCCCACACCCTCTCTGTCCCCCATCCCACCAACCCCAGGAGCGGTGTGTGGCGATCGAGTCGCTGCTGTGGCTCTCCCACGTGGTGCACGCAGCACGGCAGCGCTTCCTCTCGCACCTGCCCAAGGCTTCGTGGCCGCTCCTTGAGTCCTACACCTCCGAAACCGTAAGTTACTCATCATTCACAGTACTCTCTAGCTCGTATCTAATCTGGGACTGACAACTGATACACGCGCCCTAGACACCTCTTTGAGTCACTATTCATACTACTGCCAAACTCCTAGATTTCATAGCATTGTTGGTATATTCCTGGTGAGCTATGTGAGCATGTGATGACAGCAGCGTTTCTTTCGTGTCCCATGTCTCCGCTTGTCTTTGTCTCCCACATACATCTCTCCCTCCCGTCAAATCGTCTCCTCTCAGCTGGAGGTGGTACCAGAGCTCTGCGAGCATGTGATGAGAACAACCTTTCAACTCCTGCATGTCTCCATCCGTCCTCCCATCTCTCCTCCTGTCATGTCTCCTCTGTCATCTCTCCTCGTCTCCTCTCAGCTGGAGGTGGTACCAGAGCTCTGCGAGCATGTGATGAGAACAGCTGCTCGATTGCTCATCAACTTCACCAGGTATGGTCTCTGACAGGTCTTGAAAGCACCTAGTTTGAGACGTCACAAAAATTGCTCGATTGCTGTGCTCTTCAACTTCACCTGGTAAGCATTCTAGCAGGTTTTGAGACGCCTCAAAACTTCACCAGGTAAGCTTTCGAGCAGGTTTTAAAGTCCCCTTCTGCCCTTCCAATCCCAATTTCCATCCATGGGTTGGTTGGTGTTAATTTTGGTCTAAAGCTGTCCTCTCGTCTTTTTTCCCCGCTGCTCTCCGTTCACCGTGCTTGCTGCCTGCCTCACACTCCCGTCTTTTGAGAATTCTAAAAAAACATACGCTCTCAGTTCACCGGTCACAAGCTTTAGGTAGAGAAATCTTTTTCCCCGCTGCTCTCCGTTCACCGTGCTTGCTGCCTGCCTCACACTCCCGTCCGCTGTGTTGTCTCCTAGGTGACTTTTGAGTCCACTCGACTTTTGAGTCGACTCAAAAGTTTTTGAGGTTGAATCACAACTCACCGTGCTTGCTGCCTGCCTCACACTCCCGTCCGCTGTGTTGTCTCCCTGGCTTCCCCAGCTACGCGGACAAGATAGGCTTTTGAGGCGCCTCAAAAGTCACCGTGCTTGCCTCACTCTCCCGTCCGCTGTGCTGTCTCCTTTGTTTTCCCAGCTACGCGGACAAGATACGCTTTTGAGGCGCCTCAAAAGTCACCGTGCTTGCCTCACTCCCGTCCCCGGTTTTTTCTCCTTTGCTTCGCCAGTTACGCAGACAAGATCGCAGCAGGGAGATGGGAGTCCCACGACGTCACGTCCTACCACAGCCCGTACGTTATTGTGTCATGCCGCATGCATTTTCTCATCAAAGCATACATACAGCATGCATTCTCCATCCCTCCCTCCACTCCATTCCCATCCCGCACACCAACTACACGGATGCACTATTGTCAGGGTTTCGCCTCTCGCAATGTCCTTCTTTTCCCGCTCTGTTCGTCCCCTGGCCCAATCTCCGCCCATCCCACCTCCCAATCACTTCAGCTACATAAATGCGCTGCTGTCAGAGTTCCGCCTCCTGCAAGCAACGCCCTTCCCCCGCCCTCTTTATTTGTCCCCTGGCCCAACCCCCCCCACTTTCTCCCACCTCCCAATCACTTCAGCTACGTGGATGCGCTCCTGTCGGAATTCCGCCTCCTGCTACAGAGATTGAACCACCTGGGCATCCCAGTCCAGGTATTGTTGATTCGCATCATCCTCATCATCTCGCGATGTTTTTTTTTTTGTGTGTGCGTCTCTTTTTCAACGGGAGTGGGGAGTCCCTTTGATAGTTCCTTTGATAGTTCCTTTGATAGTTCCTTTGATAGTTCCCTGCCTGCCGGTCTGTTTTGTATTGTCGCCATTTCATCCATTAGCGCTGCTTAGGCAGGTACAGCAGCAGCTGGTGCAATTCGCAGTGGAAGCCGTAGAAGCCGTAGCAGGCAAGATGGTGGAGGGCTTCTCGCGAGTCATTCGAGCTCTTAACTGTGCTGCTTTGCCCCCTATTACCTTGTTATTGTTGCCTCTACTGTGCGGATCATGCCATCGAATCCCACAGGTGCAGCACCAGCTGGTGCAGTTTGCAATGGAAGCCGTAGCAGACGTGCTCGTGGAGGGCTCTTACCCGGCTGGTGCACTCCTGGGGGGCTTACCTGTGTGCTCCTCTGCGTTGGTTTGACTTTTGAGAATTCTCAAAAGTCAAACCAACATCGTGGAGGGCTCTTACCCGGCTGGTGCACTTCTGGGGGGCTCACCTGTGTGCTCCGCTGCGCGCTGTGCTTTCTGCCTGCACTGTGCATGTGTTGTGTGTCTGACATGGCATGACCCCCACAGGTGCAGCACCAGCTGGTGCAGTTTGCAATGGAGGCAGTAGCAGACGTGCTTGTCGAGGGCTTCTCGCGAGTCAAGCGCTGCTCCAATGAAGGCCGGGCGCTTATGTCCCTCGACCTGCAGGTACCCTATCACTCCCATTCACTGCCATCCACTCCCAATCAGGTTTTTTTTTAGAATTCTGAAAAAATCCCTGCGATTCAAGCGCTGCTCCAATGAAGGGCGTGCGCTTATGTCCCTTGACCTGCAGGTACCCTCCTACTCCTATTCACTGCCATCCACTCCCAATCAGGGTTTTTTTTAGAATTCTAAAAAAACCCCTGCGAGTCAAGCGCTGCTCCAATGAAGGGCGTGCGCTTATGTCCCTCGACTTGCAGGTACCCTCCAACTCCCATTCACTGCCATCCACTCCCAAGCAGAACCTGCCGCTGCCAGCCAGTACTCCCCCAAACCAAAAACCAAAAACCAAAAACCATCACATTTTCAGTTACAACACGACCGAATCCACCTAAGTCAACTCGTAGCCACCCTTAGGATCCGGACAAGGGACTGTAAGTGTATGGCAGACAAGTGTATGGCCTGCCTGCCTGCCTGGTACACTTCCTCCCCACTTCCCTACGTGGTGGAAGGCCTGCTGTCGATTGGCAATACACTCATCTGCCTGCCACTCACAGCCCCTTGCCTGCCTGATACATTGGTGCAACTTTTGAGAATTCTCAAAAGTCACTCGTCTGCCACTTACGAGGTGACTTTTGAGTCGACTCAAAAGGCTCCACTTAGAGCCCCTTGCCTGCCTGATACACTTCCTCCCCACTTCCCGACCCTCCTGGCCAATTAACAGCAGGCTGCTATAGCTTATGGGCACCGCCGAGTGAGTGTCATTGCAGCAGGCTATCAAATCTCGTCCGTTTGTTTATCTGCCCACCTTTCCTTCCAGACGCTGATCAATGGCTTGCAGCAACTCACAGGGCGCCGCCCAGACATGCAGATTGTTGACACGTACATCAAGGTGGGAATATGGGGTATTTGCTTTGCTCCAGGCCGGGTGTCCACAGTCTGCAATAGCCGTGTTCACTCACAGGGCGCCGCCGCCCAGACATGCAGATTGTCGACACATACATCAAGGTGGGAACAAAGCCGTGTGTCCGGCCGTATGGGGTATTTGCTTTGCTCCAGGCCGGGTGTCCACAGTCTGCAATAGCCGTGTTCTGTTCACTCACAGGGCGCCGCCGGGACATGCAGATTGTCGATACATTAAGGTGAGGGAGTTGAAGCGTGCATATTTCTGAGTCGACTGAAAAGAAGCTCTTAGGGGCTCAAGGTCGCTAGGCTGTACTTTGTTATGTATGAACTGCTACATGTATATGATATGGGAGGTGTAGCTCTCAGAATTATTGGGGGGAGGGTTTGTTCTGTTCTGTGTAGTCTTCCCAACAACATATTGTGGATTGTGGTTGGTCAAGTCTGGTCTTGGTTCTTGGTCCTTGGCTTCTTGGGTGGCACATCCCAACCAAGTGGTCCCAACACTAGTGAGTGAATGTACATGTGATGTGAAGTTGAGCGTATTCGCCCCACCTCATTTCTGAGGCGCCTCAGAAGTCGTCTCTCTACCCGCAATCTTTTTAGGCGCCTCAAAAGCAAACCAAGTGGTCCCAACACTAGTGAGTGAATGTACATGTGATGTGAAGTTGAGAGTATTCGCCCCACCACACCTCTCAGCCAATCATTGTCCACATGTCGCCCGCTTTTCTGCTGCCACTGTTGCCACATCCCCACACCCCTCCTCCCCCATCCCTAACCCTTCCCCCCCGCTTCTCTTCCCTGCAGGCCGTCTACCTACCTGAGACAGAGTACCTAGATTGGGGCCTTATGAGTTGTCTCAATTACGCCCTCCAAACTCCTACCCTCCTCTACCCCCCCCACCTCTCTTCCCTGCAGGCCTTCTACCTGCCCGAGACAGAGTACCTCTACTGGGCGCTCAGCCACGCTTTGAGAGAGAGTACCTAGCCTGATTGAAGCCTTTTGAGTTGACTCGATCACCCCCCCCACCCCTACCCCCTTTTACCTCCCACCTCCCGTCCCTGCAGGCCTTTTACCTGCCGGAGACAGAGTACCTTTACTGGGCGACTTCTGAGTTGACTTGAAGCCCCCCTCCCCTTCTTCCCGCACCCCCCACCTCTCTTCCCTGCAGGCCTTCTACCTGCCCGAGACAGAGTACCTCTACTGGGCGCTCAGCCATCCCGTGAGTAACCGCATAACCGTGTAGACATGTAATCGGTAACCAGGTAACCATGTCCACTAGGTAGCATGATGTCCTGTTCTGAGGCGTCTCAATACAGGTAACCATGTCTTCCAAGTAACATAGGTATCGTGTAATTAGGCAGTCAGCCAGTCTCAATCCTGGCTGGTTCGTGCCAGCTAGGTAATTAGGCTGTCTGTCAGACAGGCAGGTAACTGGCCAGGCTGTCTGTCTGTCTGCGATCCCTACCTCCACTTCCAGGAGCGATCCCTACCTCCACTTCCAGGAGCGATCCCTACCTCCACTTCCAGGAGCGATCCCTACCTCCACTTCCAGGAGCGATCCCTACCTCCACTTCCAGGAGCGATCCCTACCTCCACTTCCAGGAGCGATCCCTACCTCCACTTCCAGGAGCGATCCCTACCTCCACTTCCAGGAGCGATCCCTACCTCCACTTCCAGGAGCGATCCCTACCTCCACTTCCAGGAGCGATCCCTACCTCCACTTCCAGGAGCGATCCCTACCTCCACTTCCAGGAGCGATCCCTACCTCCACTTCCAGGAGCGATCCCTACCTCCACTTCCAGGAGCGATCCCTACCTCCACTTCCAGGAGGTTTTTATGCTTTATAGTGCCTGTTTTTAGGTATGTTTTAACCTTGTATCATATCCCACATCCAGGAGTATTCCCACGCACAGGTGGTGTGACTGATCAACCTGGTGGCCGTGATGAAGGGGTGGAGGAGGAAGACCCGCGTTGACCTCATTGACCGAATTGACCTCCGCTGTGCCATGCCGTGCCCGTCTGTTTTCCCCCACTTCCAGGAGTATTCACGAGCTCAAGTTGTTTCACTGATCAACCTGGTGGCAGTGATGAAGGGATGGAGGAGGAAGACCCGCGTTGACTTGATTGACCGGATCGAGGGGCAGGAGATGAGATGAGCGTGAGGGGGCAGGAATGAGGATGAGTGGGAGCTTCTGTACCCGTGTGTGTAGGAGGAAGGCTCGTGTTGACCTCATTGACCGGATCGAGGGGCAGGAGAGCAGATGAGCACCGGGAATTAAAAGGAGGGATGAGCGTGCCATGCACGAGGGGCAGGAGAGCAGATGAGCACGTTTTTGAGAATTCTCAAAAACCAGCTGGAATTAAAAGGAGAGATGAGCGTGCACGAGGGGCAGGGGCCGATGCGCGTTGCTGGGAGCAATGGTACACGTGTCAAGGGGTGATAGTGGGGAAGAAATGGACGAGAGAACTCATGTTGACTTCATGGACTGGATCGAGGGGCAGGGGCAGGCGGGCAGTCGAGCGAGGGGGGCAAGAGCGGAAGTGAGCATGTGTGAGGGGTTGACGGCGAGGAAAAATGGAAGAAGAGTTGCGTTGACCTCATTGACCTGTTGGAGGGGCAGGACGGGCAGGCAGGGTAGTTGAGTGGAAATGAGCTTCAGTGGTTGAATCGTTTTGTGCGAGTGAGGTTGTGGCAGCGAGAAAGCAATGGAGGAGGAAGAATCGCGTTGACCTCGTTGACTAGGTATGTTTTTTGAGAATTCTCAAAAAACATACGTTGACTAGGTGACTTTTGAGTCGACTCAAAAGGCAGCGAGAACGCAATGGAGGAGGAAGAATCGCGTTGACCTCATTGACTAGATCAAGGGGAGGTGGACAAATGGAGGGCATGAGGCAGAAGAGAATAGAGAGGGTTAAGGCCACGAGGCAGGGTAAGGAGAAAGACTCCCGTTGCCTCGATTCACTGGATTGAAGGGCAGGATGGGGGAGGTGAGTAAGAATGGGAGAATTTAAACAAAGGGCAGTGGTAAGATGCCATGAAGAGAGGAAGAGTTGGAGGGGAAGAATCGTGTTGACCTCATTGACCCATGGTAGATTGACTGACTGAGTGTGACTGGTCGACTGACTGACAGACTGTCTGACTGACTGAAAGACAGATACACTGACTTATAGGCTGATTGCTTACTGACGAACATGCACAGCTGATCGGTTAGAAAGCCCAATTGGTCGTTAGAACTACTTGTCTCGCTGTTTGGCAGGGCAGGGGTGATGTGGGCCAGAGAGGGAGAGGAGGGTGGAGAGAGGAGAGGGAGAGTAGGAGAGGGGGTCAGTGAGGAAGGTGCTTGACAGGCTGACTGGGCTCTATAAATGCTGATTTAGAGGTGGCTCGAGTTTGAGTTCAGGGGCATCTCAAGGCGCAATGGGCCGTTGGGAGTTAACTGTTGGGTCCTATTTGTTGGGCGGATCTTCAGCCTGGGTTTCTCCGAGGTGACAAATGGGTGTCCTCCACCAGACTACTTTCGAGGGGGCTCAAAAACAGGAGCGCTGCTGGTGCTGTGCATTCGTGCCGCCTATGGAATTTGCTTCATGGGCATGAGGTGGCTTATGCTCAGGACTCACGAGGTGGTGCATTGGCTCAGGGCTTTACTCATTGCCAGCAGGTGAGCTCCTTCCCTCTCTGCACACACTGCTACTCTCTGCACACACTGCTACTCTCTGCACACACTGCTACTCTCTGCACACACTGCTACAGCACAGTGTTACAACAAACTGTTTTTTAAATTTCCCACACCATCCTTTGAGGTCAAACTCCCTCTGCTCGTTCTCCCCGACGCCGCCTTTCATTGTATGCTTCCTAGTTGTGCCCTTCCCCTCTGCTCGTTCTCCATCACTCCCCCACCCTGCCCCCACCGGCCGTTGCTCGTTTGAGGTTAAACCCGCCCTTGCCCCCTCTCCCCATTCAAGTCTTCCCAACCCTCTCTCCCTCCAACACCCTCCCCCAACCACCATCTCGTCCCCTCTCCCCATTCTCTGTCACCCCTTTACCTTTCTCCATCAATTCTTTACTTTCGCCTCCTTGGCGTAATTTTCTGGTGAAGGTTGACGTATCAATTCCACCCCTTACTCTCCACAGAGTCACCCTCTTTGGTACAAGGGCTATCATAGGTTTGTAGAGTACGTCATAAGTTTATGAAGCCATGTCTCTTTTGTTTATATTGCGCTTATTATATGCCTCGTCTTCATGTTCCTGTTGTTTTCTGTATTGTCGCGTGTGTTACAGGTGGGAGTTGTGGTGTGCTACCATGGTATATGGATCATTCCAGCATGTGCAATATATCCTTAGCTTCCAGGAAACCCTGGAAGCCCTGGGTTCAATACTTGAGAGGACATAGAGGGTCGGAAAAATAGTTACACTGATTGCCCAGAGCATATTTTCCAGAAGTTAAGTTTTCTCTGACAAATCAGAGTAACGCTCATAATTCACCCTGAATTTCAGAGTTCCCTAGAAAACAGCTCTGGAAATCCGAGTAGTGGAAATCCTAAAAAAAGCCCTGGTAGGGACCCTTTATCATGCAAAGGTGGCTGCCTGTTGCACCACCATATGTCAGTCTCATCTCACAACCAGACGAGACGACCATGTACACCATAGATGCATGTATCGGTATTGGTATTGATCGTTGCTATGCCTCGCTTAACTTGTCCAATTGGCAGCAAGATGATGGGTGGATGGGTATCGGTAAAGGTTATAGGGGACATCCCCTTTGGTATTACTCCGGCTGTCGATCGTAATCCGCCTACCCACTTATTTACGCGCCTCGCTGGGTATATCGAGGTAAGGAATATCCACTCCCAGATGAGCAGTGCGAAACCCCCTTCTTGGGGGCTAGCAGAACTCACCGGCACTGAGGTCTGAACCCAGAACCTCATCATCGAAAGTCCCATCTTATTTGACTGGATGATGGATGGGACGGGAGAGTACCGTATGCGGTTGGTGTGGCTGAGTTTAGATTGCAATTTACATCTTGCCGTTGGCGCCAAGCACAAATTTGATTGTGATGACAAGAAATCACCCCAAAAATTGGCCTCCCGGATATAAGACCCCCTCCAGTTGTAGACCCCCGGGTCTATAATACGGAGGGGGGTACGCTAAATAGGTCGTTTTTGTTATACCCCCCTTAATGGGGGCTAACATTATAAGACCCCCCTCCCCCTAGAGAATTGGTCGATTTATTGGCAATGAATGCAATTCTGATAGCTTTTCTGCCCCTTTCCACACCAAACCCCATAAAATTTTCATAAATGAGGGGTACAACAAGTCACAAAAGCACATATACGCATCATTCTGTCAATTTCGTGTACTAATTTTGAATGCTAAACACGAATTCCATTGCGCGTATTCCCTTTGAATGCTAAAAACGAAGCACATAGTGTTGACATGTTTGACTTCCAAAACAGAAGTAGTATCCTTGACATTATGATAAGACCCATAACTTATAAAAAGTAGCCAACTGTTAAGACCTCCCCTCATTTTTGGGGTGGGATTCTTATAATACCCCCGGGTCTTATATCCGGGGTATTACGGTACAATACATTACACAAATACTGATACAACCAAACGATCTAGTGGATAGGATAGGATCTGTTAAGTCTAAGAGGAGACAATGAAGTCTATGTAGTGACCTTGTCGAATAATAATTGAAAGAGAACAAGATAATTAAAAGATAGGAGTACAAGAGATTAAATAGAAATCTAGCTAGCCATGTACTCTGAGGGGTACATTCCCTTATTAGCTGTATTGCATAGCTACAGTAACTGTTATGGGAGAACCAACAGAGTTACCCGAACCTACCGAGGAGCCGGAGCCGCCAGTACAAGGACCACAAGAAATTGAGGTCATCGGCGCTGAATACAGTTACTTCAGAATCCTAGTGAAGGGACTCCCAGTTCGGGAGTGGCCCAACCAGTGCCTGCTCGTTACCGAAGACCAAGTCGAAGCCGGCGACACCGACGACATCATCGGGATTCCCCGCGCGCTTCTGGAGCGAAAAGCAATTCGCGCGCTCGCCGTCGATACCGACAACGCCGCCGACGCAGGACCTGAAGGGGAGGCAAACGACGAAGCAGCGCGACAAAAATATTATCAGAAGACGGTCGGTTACGACCCAGAAACATGGCACCAACGGCTAGGACATCCCTCCCACGCCACGCTCAAAAACTCGC